AGATATGTCAAGACCAAAAACCGTAGGTGCATTATTAATGTTAATTTAATTCAAATGCCAGATAGCTTAAACTTAGAAATAGGTATTAATAAATCCCAGTCCACTGCAATCCAGGCTATAAAATACAAATGAATCTGGCAGTCATCTTCTGGACATGAACATAACTGCAGCTAAAACCCTACAATGGGGAATGAGGGGATTTTAAACTGACAGTTTATAGCCACCAAAAAACTTAAATAAGAATAAAGGCATTTGGTTGGTTCAAGATGTAATACCAATCAGTCAGCACCTGTGGAACTTTGACTTCTATTTTCTGGTTTTGTTTAAATGAATTCTAGCCTGATTTTCTTGAGTCCTGATCTCTATGGTAGCAGAGATAGGGCCTGTATTTCGTTACCAGTGACCCACGTCCTTATGTCTACCCCAAGAGCAGGGATATAAGCTGTGTCCAAATAGGTTCTGAATTCTACAGACTCATCAAATTGAAGCAATGAATCATTAAGAACTACTTTGTCTCCTTTGGGAGAATGACATGTCTTCAATATTTACGTAGCTTATTCTTCTATATATACATATGCAAAGCTTTCCTGAACAGTAAAGGATACAATATGCATAGTGGGCGATCGGACCTTTACAGGTGAGGGAAAGCAACTTCAGAAATGAATTATTTTCTTTGCTTTATTATTTTTACCAAGACAGAGAAGTATTGTATTGAGAGATATCTATTTTCATAATCAATATGTGCCTAAATTATATTTAAATCATTTCACTCTGTACTATATTTTCAATAATTATAGAATGTGTTTTCATCCACTTAAGGGTACCTCCGTAGACATAACCTAAAACTGCAGAAGAATCTGAAAGATCTAAACATGGTATGCTTAGACACTGCAGATTTTGGATATAATGTATACTGCATTAATAAATGATGTGAAATGTTGAAAAGGAGTTTCTTGTCGTACTTTTGAAAATCAGCACTTTACTGTATTTTGCTTACATTTCTTCAACATATGTTCATGACCAGCCCCAAGAGTCTGGGTGAAAAAGAAAATGCAACATAACAGTATAATGGATTTGTCTCTGAAAGTGCCATTAAAGTAACCTTGCTTCTGAAAGCATGATTATTTTGTGAACCTCTTTTTAAAATCTACCATGTTAACAGCACAAAGAAATTTCATTAATTCTGAGAAAACAAGACTACCTTCCAATAATTCATTTAATTTGTGTTACTCTTTAGCTGATGAACATTATAGGTTAGCTTTATTAGGTTAGTTAAGTACATTGTCCCCAAAACATTTTCACCTGACACCTAGGAGAGAATTTTGACAGAGGAGTTTCAAAATAGTAAATACTGTAAATTAAACCTAGTGATGGAATGTGTGTACACACAGATAAAAATACAGTTGGAGGTGGGGGACTAGGAAAGGGTTTGAAACCTAAATTAGTTTACCTACATGGATAAAATTCAGTACTCATGTAATTGTTGAGAGCCATACATAGTATTTTGTAATATAATCTAGTTCTTTCAAATACAATTTCAAAAAAATTTTAGTAGGAAATGTTGCAAATTCATTTTCTTATGAAGGTTACTATCATAAATCAGGACCTGGAATATTTTCTCCAGTTGCTCATTTTATGAATTGGTGATTTATACTGTAAATCTACCCCCATGTCAACTTCAAATCATGTTTAATGAAAAGTCCTAGAATTTCATTAAATTTCCAAGGAGGTGTTATCTTTAAAATTAAAAAGTACACCTCTACAAAGAAAAGTGGTTACATTATTTTCTGTATAAAGCCTCTTATTCAAGGATTAATTCTCTGAAAGCCTTTCACAACCTTTAAATATGTCAGCAGGAGTTCATCACACATTCTTCCTGCTGAGATTTTACATTAGGGCAAAAAAGAGGTTTGCATCCATCACTCATCAAGATTACGAAGTCATTATTGTAGCACTTGTAATTTTGGGGTGTTTCTTTTAATGTTGAAAATGAAACCATTTTCCCTCTAAAGCCATACACTTTAAGGTCTGGACGTTTCTAAATTAATAAAAAATTATGACAATTATAAAATCCAATTACTTAAACCCAGCTTACTAAATTAAGCTTCATGATAAATGGATCTATCCTTGGAACTATAAAAAGGTTCAAAGTTTGTCACTATCAAAATTCCATTAATTGCATGTTTAGTCTCTTATTTGATACTGTAGAAAATAAATCTGGCCTTTGCCCTTGAGATCTATGTGACCTAAGTATACAACACAGATTTGGCATAAAGCATATTGAATGTGTTTATACACCATGTGGCTCTGTTCATCCAAAAATTTCAAAACATGTTTCAGAAATGAAATACCAACTGGTAGAAATAACCTACAAGATATCCACAGATGCTTATCCAAAGAGAAGTGCTTAAGCTGACTATAAGGGTCAGAAGTCTTAACTCCCCATTTCCTTAGTCCTGACCAAAGGCCACATCTGCTTAAGCAACACTGTTAGAGGTGCACCTCTTTCAGCAAATAGGAGGTCAGTTGGACGATTTGAACACTGTTCAAACTAATGCACTCTTGAAAAAGCTGCTCATTACCTTTGTATTATAGTGAGAGAACTCGCATGTCAGAATGGCACTTAAATCATTCAGCGTCTAAGGAAATAATAAATGAAATACATCACTTAATATTTTTAAATTCCCCTCTGTTTGCAATTATACTTGAAGGCTTATCCCCTTCTCCTATCATGAGACTCTGACAACCTCCACAGATATGGCTGGGTAAAGCAGGGCAGCCTGGCTCTTTATGCTGACATCCTTGAAAATGTAATTGTTCCAGAAAACATTGGGCAATGACTGATTGGTTTAGATTCTACCAGAGGAGAACTTGCCAATCCTAGCTCTAAAATGAGCAAATATCCAATTATTTTAAACCATTTTACTGCTTAGCTAATGTAACAGCCCTCACAGACAGTTGTACAAGAAGGTTTAATTCTATGTCAGATAAAACATCTTTGATGCAGAAATCGAGGAAGCATTAAGCCTAATCTGGTGTAAAGGTCTTTTTTATTCATTTGTTCACTCAAACTTACACTTATCCAATGCTGACTAAATGCTAGGGATTTAACAGGTGTTTCAACTAGATGATAAAATGTAGTCATGATAGTCAAATACTTTTGACTATCCTGAGTTACAAACCAGGGGTAAATTAGGGGAAGACAATCATGTATTCAAATAAATGTAATAAAGAGTAATGAATGGTTCTCTCCTTGCTTTGTAAATGTTCATACTGTGTAAAGTATCCTAAGGGTTAGCCACTGGGTTGGAACACATATCTCTAAAATTTGGATAACGATAGCAACGATAATAATATCATTATCCAAATTTGGCAGGACTGTTATAATAAGTGAGGTTGGTCTTAGTCACATGCCAGTTAACTACTATTATTTCTCACCTTTGTGTTCTTACTACCTTCCTACTACGCAGCGATTTGCATATTTTAACTCAAATAAGTATCTACTTAAATGAGTCAAATTGTCCACCCACCAGGTGGTCTTGGGCTTAGTATATTCTTACTACAGTGTTTCTCAACTTTTTGATGCTAAAGAAGGCTTTCCAGGTAAGTCAAGGAAGGAACCTGGTGGGTAGGAGACGGGAATTTTCAGACTCCCATGATCTGCTTTAGGATCCTATACAGGTATAGGTAGGTTTAGTGCCAATAATCACTTATTATGTATAAATCAGCTCCTCTTACAAATGAAGAATCAAAGAGCTGAGACCAGCTACCAGGCATCCTGACTCAACTTCTTTCTATAAATATTACGTGGCCTCTCGTGAAAGCTTTTATGTGTGCATTTAACATCACTTAAAGTACGACAGCTATTTCCTTGAACTCTGGATAGGTCTGTCAGTTTCCTCAAGAGAATACCACCTAGCCAGATTTTAATCTCTGAATGGTGGTCTCAGCTATAAAAGTCTTAGCTGAGGTTTTAATGGCCACAATTGAAGTAAATTTAACAGACACACCAGTGGGTGTTCCAATTACACACACTATTAAGGGCTTTATGTGAGGATTTAAAAAAAAAAATGAGCATTAAAACCCTCATAGTCCATGTGCAGTATGATTTACCAGCAGGAAAGATTTCAGTCCCAGAAAAGTTTCATATAAAAAGGAAGCTAAGAAATGACAAATCACAGTACTCCACAAACTCCCAAAAGAAGCTCGGGATTTCTTTTGGCTCTTGGTCCGCAAGCAGGTAAAACGCTTTGTGTTTCTAGCGCTTGTCCTAGACCACATGCTTTGTCTGTCTGTAGAGCATTTTACACCCACAGGGCTAAATCCAGGTGTGACAATATCTAGAGAAACCTTGACCCTTCTGGTCCTTGTCACCCCAGGCCACAGAAATCCAGCGTGTGGGGAATAATTACAACAGCTCATCGACCAGTATTTGATTTTGTCTTTAGCCTCTTTCCTGACTGATGAAAATTAACTTGAAGACTTTGTGAGCGTTCCTCCCGTCATTAGCTAATTCCAGCCTGTCTTGGCCACGGAGGCATCTGGTCTGGGGCTTAGCGCTTTGAGAGGTGTTGAGTTCTCACTCACGCTCACAGATGGTCCGGCCAACACTTATGCGTGGAAGACACTCAGCAAAATGTAATTAGTGCCACGGTGTATGCATTTAATGTCATACAACTTTATATTAGCCAGAGATTCCTAGCAGGAGCCACCTTTCCAAGCAGATGGCCCAATTCTCCGTACCTCAGGAACTGATACAGTTGAAAACTAACTCATTGCGGGGTGGGTGGGGGAATGTTAAGGCAAAAAGGTGAACTTGATAAGGGAAGGAATCCTGGGGTTTGGATAGCCAAATAAGTACTAAAAATAAAAATAGACTAGCTTAGTACTAAAATATACTGAGCATGGAAGTTCCAAGTACCGCCTTTATCCCCAGTGGCTGAAAAACCTGAAGCAAGCACATAGGGATGTGTGTCTCAGCGTCTGGGGTGGAAGCAGACCATCGCTACTTCTGCTTTCTGCACGGTTAGCATATAAACACGAGGCTTCTCACCAGAAGGTCTTTCTTGCTCAAGCCAGTCTGGGTCCATTCTGGCTGTTGCATTGCTGTTCCTTAGCATGGAGCCAATTCCAAAACTTGTAGCTGGACTTCTCCTGTTGACCTTCTGTGTGGTGGGCTGCTCCGGCCAACACTGGTCCTATGGACTCCGCCCTGGGGGGAAGAGAAATGCTGAACATTTGATTGATTCATTCCAAGAGGTAAGTCTCTTTCATCTTCAATATAAGACATGGCTTATGCGGTTCAATTCTGTGTTAACATTCTGTGTGTGTGTGTGTGTGGTGGGGTGGGGGGCACCTGGGTGGCTCAGAGGTTGAGTGTCTGCCTTTGGCTCGGGTCGTGATTCTGGGGTCCTGGGATCGAGTCTTGCATCAGGCTTCCCACAGGGAGCCTGCTTCTCCCTCTGCCTGTGTCTCTGCCTCTCTCTCTGGGTCTCTCATGAATAAATAAATAAAACCTTTTAAAACAAAAACAAATCCATTGTGTGTGTGACCCAACCGTACTACCCTGCTCTACCCCTGGTATTCTGGAAGAGGTGAGACACTTGCCAAGGCAGGTCCCATTCTTGCTCTCTATTCAGGTAGGGACTAAGGAAACAGCAGGAACAATTCCAAGAGGTGCAGCAACATGTGCGAAGTGGTGTGTCGCACTCTGAGTATCTAGAAATGCCAAAGGAATTCAAAACGACGGGATGGGCCCAAGGTCTCCAGAGCTAGATGATTCCTTGAGATTTGGAGAGAAAATCTTAGAACTTCTGCTTATTTTTTTTCATATTTCATCTTTTAAAAGTATCGATGGTACTAGGCCAGTGTACATTTTCATAACTTATAAATAAGTATTCTTATCAAGAGTGCAGGCCCTATCATTCCTTTTTACTGAAATGGGTGTTTAAGGAAAGAACTTGAAGGCTGCTAATGGGGAGGGTTAGCAAACTCAAGGACACAAAATATATCCCGAAATATATCCTGGAGTGGATTTCATATAAATTAGATTTCAGTACTAGGAGCAGCACTCACATAGGGTAGTTTTTTAATCTATTAAATGAGACTTCTTGGGGTCATATGAGGATAGCAGGAGAAAGGCCTTAGATGCTAGCTGGCTAACCGCCCCCCCCCCCCAGATGATAGTGGATTAATAAAAATACAGTTGGTACTGTTTCTTAATGGGAAAAAAACCAAGACCTAAAGGATGAGTAATTCGGGGCTGGGACACTTAATATAGTGCTGAGAATAGGAAACGAGAGAAACTTAAAATCATTTATCTTTCTTTGAAAAGAAATACCTCTTTTTGGAGAAATAATAAAGATAATTTAGCATGAAATAAAGATGCCCCAGAAACTGAAATCTCCTCTCCACAGATCATATGTGAAGTAAGTCATAGTTAACTATGACATCGTTAATAAAAACTAATAGAAATCATTCCGATTTGTAACTAGAAACTCCTAGACATTTTGTATATTGTCCGCTCATAAGGTTCAAAGTACTTCATTCTCATCATCTGTAGGGAGAAAATATTCTCTCCTTACCACCACCATCACCTTCAGGAGGCCCCACCCAATTGTACAAATGCCTCAGGGCGGATCTATGTTCTTAAAATCCTCATCCCACAATTCCCTTGACTTTCCACACATAGTTCTTGGTGAAAATGGTGGAAAATACCCATTCCATTTCTTGATCTCCTTCAGCAAAAATCACGTTCTTTTTCCTCAGATGGCCAAAGAACTTGATCAACCAGCAGAACCTCAGCACCTGGAATGCACCATCCACAAGCCCCGACCTCCCCTCAGGGACCTGAGAGGAGCTCTGGTGAGTCACAGTGGAAATGACAGGGACCTTTAGAGATGGAGAGATGCGACCCCTCAGGTTGTCCACTTAGGACAACCACCTCTTGGCCTCTGTGAGGCTTACCTTCCTGGCTGCCTGAGTTCCTCCTGGGGTAGGGCCTATTTGTCACACACCCCTTTTCAGTGGGTAGGCAGTGCTAATGGTTAGAACCTTTTTCCCCTTAAATTGAAATCTCTCTGTAACCTTTATCTCCTAATCCTGGTCTAGCCTTTAGGATGACTAATACATTTCTGTCCGCTGTTACATGTCAGTTCTTCTCAGGTATTAATTGACCACCGCAACCCACCCTGGACTCTAATCTAGGCTAATCCACCCTTCTCTGCGGGACTCCTTAATTCTTCACGGATGTTCTTGGTTTGGTGTGGTTTTTTTCCTTGGATAAATGTAGAACTCAAAAATGGTGCTCTACTTCATTTTTTTCCCTCCCTTGGAATAAAAAAGAATTCCAAACTGGTAAATTCATAATTCAGAGCCGCATATTTGATTTCCAATTTTCTGATGGGATTATAACAATCTCCAAATCCCCACTCCAAATGGGAGCCTACTACCCTAATGCAGGTTTTTGATAACGAGAAAGCAAGTATACAGAGCACTGGATATAGAGGTTGGAGCTTGAGCTCATTGTTGGGACTTTTAGAGCTCCTGTGGTCCCCTTATTTGCGGCAGTTGGGGCACTATAGCTAGTTACAGCTATGCCCACGAGCAGGGAAAGCCTGAATAAATCATATATAAACAGGGATCCCTGGGTGGCGCAGCGGTTTGGCACCTGCCTTTGGCCCAGGGCGCGATCCTGGAGACCCGGGATTGAATCCCATGTCGGGCTCCCGGTGCATGGAGCCTGCTTCTCCCTCTGCCTGTGTCTCTGCCTCTCTCTCTCTCTGTGTGTGACTATCATAAATAAAAAAAAAATAAAAAATAAATCATACATAAACACAAGCTATAGCTTTCACCTTCTCCATTGACGACTTCTGCACCCATGGTTCAAAGAAAAAAAATCAGACTGAGATCGTTATTGGCTTTCTGTGTCCATTCCTACTTACCATATAATAAAAATCATAGTGAGCAGTGAAATTTCCCCAACGTGACCTTAGAAAGAGGGGAGACAAAGCAGGGTTAATTACACTGCGATCAGGGGCGCCTGGGTAGCTCAGTCATTGAGCATCCAACTTTTGGGTTTAGCCCAGGTCCTGATTCCAGGGTCCTGGGATCAAGCCCCACATTGGGCTCATGCTCAGCGCAGTCTGCTTGTCCCTCCCCCTCTACTCTTCCTCCACCCTCCACCCCATTCACACTCTCTCTCCCCCTCTAAAATAACTACAATTAAAAAAAAAAAAAACAAAAACAAACTGAGATCAGACCTTTCTTCACCTCCTTCATAGCCTGTCCTTAAACTATTAATGTTATGGTTATTAAACAACTTAGAAACACATGATCTAATATCTCTCTCTAGCACTTTTTCGTGCACAAAAATAAATGGCTCTCTTCTTTCTATATCGGTATTTCAGAAATTAAGATATCAAAAGCACAGTGAAATCCAGCTAGTAAGACCAACCTTGATATATTTTTTGCTCATGTATTTTTTAGGAAAGTCTGATTGAAGAGGAAACTGGGCAGAAGAGGATTTAAATCCGCTGAACCAGAAGGATTGGCGACACAAGTATAATTCTGACATTGACATTTGTGACTCGTTGAACATCTGTGAATTGTGTGAATTTCAGATATGCTTACGCTAAGTTCACATATTTCATGGTGAAAGTGCTGTGTTGGAATAAAGTGGCATAAGCATGAAGTGTTTAAGGCAGAACTCTGGTGGGGGAGGGGCACTGTAAGCCCATGAAGGGGAGACGCTGGGTATGGGGCCCAGGAGACAACATAAAGTCGACATTATTGTTGACTAAGGAAATCCCCTGGCTCTCCGCCACCACTCCATCCCAAGAACAGTCACCTTGGGCTGGGCCCCAAAATCTGATTCAGCAAGTTTTCTGGGGGAGATCGTAGCTATATTTTTGACTATACACCATCGAAGTGAGGCCACGGCCAAGGTTTCCCCCCACTTGGAAAGCTGTTCCCTTCCTTGACTGCCTCCAATCCCTCTGAAAGTCAACTGGAGGCTGAGAGGCTAGGGAAAGAGGAGGCTCTGCTGGGCTCCTAGTCCAGTGCTCCTGCTGGCCACATGTGGTCTCCATGTGTTCACCACAGCAAGAGGTGTGTGCTGAGGCTTGGGACTCAGGCCTAAAAAAACAGTGTTCATCTCTTTGGGTGATCTCTCTTGAGAAATGCACTGGAGTACAGAGTCTGTTGATGAAATTCAGGTGCTCCCATGCACCTTGGTCAAATAGCATTGCCACCATTCATTCTCCACAAAGACCAGTGTCAGGCTGTGTGCAGGGACAGATGCATAAATATTGTCATTAACCCTCACAATGACCTTGGAAATTAGTTATCCTTGTCTTCCCTTTAAAATGGGGAGACCCAGGTTTAATGGACCCACTCAGGTCTGTCGGGGTATGTGGGCAGGGCGGTGAAGGGCAGCTGATGGTATTAGATTCCAAAGCTAGTACATATTTTGTTAATTGGTTATATTTTGTTAATATATCCTTAAACAGGATCCTGAAGCTCATGTATTGGCTTCGTTTACTAGTGACCATTTTTCTGTGGGGTCCCAGACACTATGACACCAGTTCTCAATTAGCCTCCTAACTTCTAATCATTTTGAGACCATTTGAAAAACTAATTTCAGAAAGGTTGCCTGATGTCACAGCGACAAACTGTGCCTGGGTTCACACGGCAACGATCAAGGCCCTTTCGCTGTTTCAGTCAGAGCCTTCCTCCTCCTCTCCTTGCCCCTCCATCTCAAAAAAGGGCTTGTGTTAAGGAATTAGAACCGGGGTCTTAAACAGTCCATGGGAGAGAAAAACCCCCCTTTTAATACAGATCAGCACAGTGCTAGATTCCCCCAAATATCTCCATTTGAACAATCTCTCAAAGAATTTCCTTACTCCCACTTTAATAAAATTAAGCAGAGATATAGTTCCTAACCTACTTTGCAGAACAAAAGGTAAAACTGCCTATTTTCACTAATCAATACATTACAAGGCACAATGAGAGGCTTCTACCTGCCAATTGCTCAGTAGCTATTTTTTTGTTACTAAAAACAATACCATTTACAATCTTTACATTAATTAGTTAACATATTTAAAGAACAGGGCAACACATTTTTTTAAAATATTTTATTTATTTACTTGAGAGAGAGAGAGAGAGAGAACAGGTATCACCTCTGGAGGGGCAGAGGCAGAGGGAGAAGCAGACTCCCTGCTGAGCGGGAGTCCAATGAGGGGTTTGATTCCAGGACCCTGAGATCATGACCTGAGCCGAAGGCAGGCACTTGACTGAGCCACCCAGGCGCCTCTCACAATCACTTATTTTTTACATTCTGTTTGGAGTCTCAGTTTTCCAGAAGCTATGGGCTTCTCTGAATGGGCTACAGAGATGCTCATCCAGCCACCTGATGGTGCAGATGTGATAGGCTCGGGATGGCATCCAGTAGTTTGCGACTTACATGAACATGTTGGGTATTTGATTCTCAAATGACCAAAGGCCTAAGGAGGAGAATGAAAATGACCTCTTTATTAAAATTTTACACATTTTCCCAAATCTGAAGAACTGTCTACCTCATCAACGCAGCTTCAAAAAAAGTTCAGTGGTCATTCAAAATAAACGGTGGGGAAACATACCAAATGTTCCCTTTAATAAGTTCTCAAATATATAAGGCTTTAAATGATCAAGTGTCAGAAAGAATGGCCTGAGGATAGACCATTTTAGCAAAGGGCTTAGAAGTTGCAGTATCCTGGAGATGACTGGGGAAAAGCCAAGAATCACTGCATGAAATAACAGCAGTTTTAAATTTTGACAGTGGACAGTACTCTAAAGTAGTATTTCTATGGAGATTTTAGATCCAAAAAGATTCCTGAGGCTCACTGATTCAGTCTTGGGGGCCCAAACCATTTGCATTTTTAGCATGCCAGGGATTCTTATGTACACAGTGGGGCATTATTGCCCTAAAAAGCAATAGATGGCAAATGTTTAAAAGCACTGGGACATTTTCTTAAAAGAAAAAAAAAAATCTTAGGCATAAGCCCAGGACTTTAAACAGTGTGGCTATTCTAACTGAAGTGTGGCTGTCCCCACCTCTCCCCAATGTGACACATCACCAGCTGGGAGTTTAAGAAATGAACATCCATTTTGCACACCAATCTTCTCAAGTTGTTATTTCCTCTAAGGTAGTGATTTGCAGCCTTGGCTTAACATTGGAATGACATTGGGGAGATTCAGAAGGAATATGGTGCCTGGGTCAAGCTCCCCTCTCTTGGAAATTGATTTAATGGGTCTGGTGTGTGGCCTCTTCCCAGGTAATAACTAATGTTCAACGTAGCTTGAGAATCAGTTTCTATCCTTCCCAAATAAGTTACTAGCTACTCCTTTTATTTCCCTTTTCAGTGAATGAATGAAGAAACAACCTATCGTATTAAATCAATTGTTAGAAGCCATCAGCTCCGATGCCAGAGGGATGGATGGAGGGGATAGAGGTGAGGGAAGAACCAAATGATCTGTAGTTGTTATTGCTTCCAGGCAAAGATGACTCCATGACCCCACAGTAGGAGTCTCAACTAACAGGACCTGTAATGAAAGGAGGCCAGAGGCACTGGATGTGTTGGTAAAGTTCAGGAATGATTTCATTCCACTAACATAAGAGTAATAATAGACTAAACACGATAAACTTCAAAATACATTTCCATTTTTAATTTAAAAAATAAATAACAGCAAATCTGAACAAAATTTTTCTACTTCAATGCACATCTTCCTAAGAGTTCATGTTTGAAACCCAACTAGTTTACAAACTCCAGGCAACAGAGCCCTTGACAAAGTCTAGATGAACAACTTACAAAATTTGACTAATAGACGAGTTTAGGCAGCATAGGTGGGAGACCAGCTTTGGCTGGATTATAAGAAACAGCCTGAAATCATCACCTTAAAAGAACTACCTTTTTCCTTTTTTGTAGGTGAGAACTGGTGGTTCCACACTCAACCCACCCAAAGAGGAACTTATCTTTTCCAACTAATTTTAAAATCCCACCTGGTTAATGGCACATGGACCTAAAAGCCATTGTACAGAAACTTAAGTTGCCTTCTGATTCTCTTTCTTACTCAGAATCAAAGCAAGCCTAGGCTGAAGGGATTCTAAAAACCACGCAGCCTCAGATATGTTTTACCTGAGGATATTGAGGCCCAGAGGCTGACTAAAGGTATTGGTCTTGCCAAAAGGTACATGGTCTTTACTGTCCTGTTCTGTGTTGATGGTGGGATTTTCCCCCCTTTTTTCATTATGCCGAGCAGGGGCAGGAGGGCAGGTACAGCTATGAACAGCCTCCTAAATGCCTTTTGCAGAAGGATGGCATGGACATGAGAGGGATCTTCTGGGGTTCTGGAAGTAGTCTAGGTCTGGATCGGAAAGGTGGTGACATGGTGCATGCTTATGTAAAGCTTCATCCATTTGTAGCCCTAAGATTTGTGCAGTTGAGCATATGTATGTATAGGACTCATCTCAATTTTAAAGGAAGAAATCACCCCATGATCTGGGGGCCAGTAGAGGGGAAGGACTCTCACAGCTTGGAGAAAGTTAACAAAGGTGGATGGTTATCTCAAATCCCCCCTCATCTCTTAGGGATCTGCAGGGTGACAGCATTTTTCATGGGTCTCCCTGATGGGAGATGACTGCGATTCTGGAATCAAGATGTGAATAAGGTACAAGAGGGGAGGCCCATGGCCCAAGCAGCCTCATTGAGGGTTTCACTTTTCCCTAATCCCACTCTCTTGCCAATACCACAGCACAGACTCTGCACATCACGCTGTTCCCATTGAACACAATGAACTGCCACATCCCCAGGGTCTCATAAGGTGTCTGGCATTCAGTAAGAGCTTAATTAATGTTGAATGAAACGATTCTTGAAAAAAAAAATCTCAAAGACAAATCACTGGAACAGAGAGAAAATAAGGGATTAGAAAAATCCCATTAACTAATATCCACAAAGGTTGTGATGGTTTGGGAGCTATTTTCAACATCCTTTAATGCTCCAGAGTTCTTATCAGAGAAAATGAAGACCAGTTCTGTCCTCTTTTATTCCCGGCCCCTCATCTCTCCTAGGTGCAAGGTAATCAGAAAGCATTTCTTTGCAGTCTTCCTCTTTGACTTCAGGACAGACTGATTATCTTTTGTCTAACAGGACTCTTTCTGACCAGTGGCTTCCCACGTTCCCTGTAATCTGTTATCCATGACATTACCTAGAATTCTATTCAGGAAGGAGAGACCTAGTATTTGCATTAATGTGGAAGGGGAGACACATGGGAAAAATATATTCTATTAAGAAAGGGAAGAGTATCTGGGCACTGGTATAGCAGACTACCCCAGCCCCTGTTCAAAGATCACACCACAGCCCTCACTTGCACTGCTCTGAAAGGACATATTTGAAGTCTGGTATTTTTTTGTGACCAGTTTACATCTTTCTATTTTATGGGCAGCCTGAAAAATAGGGTGAGTGAGGCCTACACACCCCCACTAGCCAGTCTGAGATGCAACTTCTTAGAAACTGCTCCAGGCCCCACAGAAGCCCTGAATAACCTCTCTGTTCCTTCTCTTTGTTCTTTCCACCAAAATCCTTTCCAGTTATTTTTTTTCTTTCCAGTTCTTATTAGCACTTCTCCTTTAGTTATAAATAATTATGTAAGAGATTCCAAAAGATGCCCTCTTTTTCAAAGGGACTGTATGTGCTCAGCTAACTTGCACTCACTTTCCAAATTACTTCGGGGGAAGAAAATTATCAGTAATGCTCAAAGAGAATTCCAGATCTTACTCAGGCTGAGCAGAGGAAAGGAGCATGTCGTACCTACTACTTCAGACAGGTCGATCTCATCTGAACTTCACCTGTGGGACAGGTGTTATTCCCTGTTTCAAAAGGTGAAGAAATGAAGGCTCAGCTGATTTCAAAGAATTAAAGGAGTTTGCCAAGTTAACTGATGACACAGCTGGAATGGTCTGAAACCAGATGGTTTATTTCCAAAATCCAGGTTCTCTCTTTTATCCCCTTGAAGGTTCTCCTGAGTGGAGGTGAAGAACGGCCTTTTCCTCACCACATTTAAATATACACACTAATTGTTTGAGCAATGCTGGCCAAGTCTCAGAGGTTTTTATTTCCCTGACTCTGTGAAGCATTAGTACGTCTCTTCTAAGAGGGGTAGTGTTGAGACAGGCACACAAAGGGGCAGGCAAGCAAACCTGAATTCTTGGCGGTGAAATCTCTTTTTCCTCTCTCTACCTCGAGGCAGGGTGTGTGTGTGGGGGGGAGGGGACTGGGCCCAGGTGCAGGAGGGACTCTGGGAAGCTTCCCCACCTGTTGACCTAGGGGATCCACAAAAGGTTTTGTACTTTGCCATAACCATCTAAGTTGTATAGAAATATCTGGGACATTCCCATTGTTGTTGCAAGTAGGGGTGGGTATTCATCATGGAGTTTGTCAGAGTTGTCTTCTCGATCTAAGTGTTATCTGGGGATAGAGCCTCGATCAGCAAGCTGGGTTATTAGTAAGAATCTGTAGGCAGATTTTGCTTAGCTTTGGTTTCCCTGTCTACAAAACGAGGGGGTGGTTTGTATGACCTTTAAGGCCCTTCTAGCTCAAAATGTCTTTAACCTTGTGTGGTCATTTATGTATATGTAATATTTGATCAGCTAAGCCACCCCATTTCTTCTTGTGAAAGGACTATTGACATTAGTACCATAAACATGTAACCAAATTAATTCCACAATCACGAGGAATAAATAATCAGCGGGAGATATTGCACTGTATTCTCCAGGGTAAAATCAGGTGGCAGAGAGGGGCCGCGGAGCCATCCATATGGGATCTGGACGAGAAGTTGTTGAATCCGGGCTTCTAAGTCCCTTCTGTCCAGTGATTTGAGCTCAGAGGAGGTAACAGGGCAAGAAACTGTGCAAAAGAAAGAGCTTCAAGGCAGTCTGTAGCAGGAAGGAGTGACGGGATGCAGCAAGGGCTGAGGGCCGTTAGTCAGGAGTGTGAGGGACCCCTCAGAGGGGGTGGGCAGCTCTCCCTCCCCACATGTAGGGGGTGTGTGTGGGTGGGGTGGGCAGGAGCTCAGACCTCACAATCTGTCCATGTTTTTTCAACAAAGATAGCTATTCATACGCGAAAGTAGCCAATCTTCATCACCAAGATGTTCTTTTCCTTAAAGGAGACACAGCAGACATCGGAAAGATAGGATTATTTTGGATACCGAAGTACTTGATGTGGGTCTCTTCCAATGTTATCGGGGACATGGCATGTCCCTGTAAGAAAACCACATGTCAAGCATAGCTTTTCACAAGCAAAGCAAGGAATTCTTCCAGACTGTATGTAGGTTCCTGGGGTTGTTCCTCCAACACTACAAAGAACATCTCCAGGCTTTTGTAGGCTGCAATGGCTCTGTGCCAGAGGCTGAATTTAATCATGGTGAGGAAGATCTCTCCTTTGAGAAACATACAGGATGTGACCAATTCTGGAATCTTCTTGGACTGGAGGACATGTGATGTGGCCTTAGGCATCCATCAGAGAGAAGCCTTTCAACGAGCAACCAGTTTTGAGCTGGTGAAGCTGACTCCAGCTTTAGGAGAGGTGGTCAGCAAGGGGCCCTGGGGAATGAGGACCGTGCCTCCTCTCAGGCATCAGCCGTTCGAGGTGTTCAGAGTTGCAGAGAGAGGACAAGATCCTTACTGGGATCCAGGCTCAGAAGAAAGTAAGCCAGATTTCCGAGCTTTGGGAGGTGGTGGGGGTGGGGCTTTGGCTTCTCTTCGGATTGGCAGCGGAGGAGCAATCTGAGGGAGCAGACACAAAAGTCAAATGAGTCTTTTCTTCTTAATCTGCTTTCTCCTCCACATTTCTGCCACTGCATGTAAGCATCTAACTGATCTGAGTCTATCTGTCCCTTGGCAGGGACAGAAGGGGAACAACACTCATTTATCTTCCCCTGTTCTCTGAGTTAATCAGACATACACCAAAGAGTTATATCCCCACCATTTGGGTTCTATAGCAGGCACTCAATAAGCATTTGTTGAATGAATGAAGGAAACCCATGAGAGGCCATTCTAGAATGACTGTCACTCACTCAGGAGTAAACTCTTCACATGTGAACCAGAATTCACTTCCGACTTCACTCATCTGTACCCAGGGTGAGGTACAGAGAAAAGGTCTACCTTTGATCTGATGTAAAGGTCTGCTTACATTTTGTTTCTTCCCATGGAAACTCCCCTATCTTTTATGATTTTAGGCATGAATCAAGAAGAGACTGGAGTGACAAATCTATGGGAAACCTGCCCAGTAAAAAGCTTGGAAAACCAACACTGCACTCCCACCAGTGGTACGCTCTGACCCCCCAACGCCGGCCTTTGGCCTTGTTCCTACCTCTGTGGAGTTCCTCTGGCTGCTCTCATAAGGCTTGCTTTTGGGGGGAGGGGGAGGCGGGACAGTAGTAGTCATCAGCCCATCTGTCTGCAAAGATGGGGAGCCTAGAAATGATACAAAGTCGATGAAGGCAGAGAGAAGAATTCATCAAGGAATCTCATGGAACCTCTGCTTGCCATGTTAACACCTAAACCAGCGTGGCCATCCAACTGCTAAGGTGATATTCTGTAGTTTCTGTGGACAGAATGGAAAAGACCTCTTGCCCTTCATAACAAATATAGCACTGTTTACTGACCAGAAGGTTTCACAAGAAGTTCCAAAGTAAAACCACCCCCCCACCTTTTTTTGCTTAGGGTTTTACTATCAAGCTGGAAATGAAGACATTTTCTAGAACTTAGCGTATTAAAAATAGGTACACTATTCTCTGATCTATCCCAAGTGCTTTAGAAAAAATGTCTGTCACAAAGTAAGTGGCCAATATATATTGGTTAAATTGAACTGAGTTGTCTTAGTTGGATTATTTAAAGGGTGAGATACCATTTCCTCCAGGAAATCTTACTTAATTAGCTCTAACTCTTGGTTGACTCCTGTGTCCTATCTTGGTCCTAAATGGTGATTCCATTTTTTCTACCAAGGGTACCTTGGAATTCTTGTCAGGCAATGTGGACTGCCGATTCCCCAAGGCCTGACTGTAGACAGTACATGGTGCAGGTCTATTTCTCATCCTTTTTTTGGGACACTTTCGTATACAAAGTGCAGAGCTACCTACCCAATAGTTTGTAAGCTACTTGCTTCCTGTCTAGTCCCCGTCTAGCTCTACCTCATTTATAACTTCACAAATGGAAAAAGAGTCATGAGACCCTCTGAGTCACTATTCAGAGAAGGTTAATGTGTCCTAGGAACCCATAGAATCCTTCAAACTCTAATTTTACTATACCCACTACTGTGGAATGAGCCAACTTTACAATAATCTCACATACTGGGGCAGCTGGGTAGCTCAGTCAGGTATCTGCCTTCAGCTCTGGTCATGATCCTAGGGTCCTAGCATCGAGCCCTGTATCAGGCTCTCTGTTCAATGGAGAGTCTTCTTATCCCTCTCTCTCTCTGCCCCTTGTGCTCACTCTCTCTCTTTCTCAAATAAATAAATACATAAATCTTTTTTTTTTAAAAAATAATCTCATATACTATGTGGCTGTTCTGGCTAAATATCGCCCAAATCCATAGATATACTCCATTTCCTACTGAAACAAAGAGAAGGGATATGTCTGTATCTCTATATCTGTATATGTATATATATATATATATATATATATATATATATATATATATATATATATATATATAAAAGACTTACTTAAGGTCCTGGTAGCTTTAGGAGTGAGTGGAGGTGGGCTCAAGGGTGTCGACTGAGGAGGTGAAGAACCATGAAATGGCGTCAGCCGATTGTCCGACAACTGGAGACTCTTTGGTCTTTGTGCTTTTCTGGCTGGGCTCTAGTGGGGGGTGAGAGTGGGGCACAGCAAAACATTCTCACCGTGAGAAAGGCTGAGCTCATCATTGCTCTGAACCACCTCGTCTGCTGAGCACAAACGTGTTAGAGGGAACCATTCCGGGAGCCACTCTTGAGCTTACCCCGCTGTCATGTGGTGAGCATGGCAAACACACGGACAGGGAATCACTAAGCAGACATTGTTCTCTGGCCAGCCATGAGCCTGATCTTGACCACAGTTCGACTGTATTATTTATGTTGGAAACGAGCCACCCTGATCTCAGGGAAGGCTGGTCTTGCCACACTTAACAATTTGATGTGGCTCATAGAAGAAAACGCACTTTTTTTTTAAGTTAAAAGAAGAGAAATGACAACGTTTGGACTGAGTCATGGAATATGGTGGTGAGAACCATAACTCTAAGCAGCAGCCCACATGTTTACATTGTGGGTACAAGGTCTTACACCAATACTGATTTAGCTGCTCCGATTCTCCTTATGTGCTTTTTTTTTAGCACAGCCTGAGATGGAACGCCACCACAGGCTGCTGCGTCCTGAGAAAGCATGGCCAGGTGACTCACAGCTCTGATGGGAATGGGCATGTGCCTGGCTACAGGGAAAGCACTAGCAAAGCTCTGGTGCTTGTTTGCTTTGCTCCCCACCCACCCCCCTGTAGTAGTTGCTGTTGTTGTTTTACCATCAGATCAGGTTCTGGCACTTTTTCTGCAATGACTTGGGATTTGCTCACGCTCCAGTCTTTTCTCTTGAACTTGCTGATCCGGTTCTCACTGTCCTCTTTGAGGGGCAAGTCTTCAACTCTAGCACCTGACGAAGCCCTGCGTTCCAGAAGTGGCTCGAGGATTGACCTATCAGCCAAGAACAAGGCCCAAAATCACAAAACCCTGACCACTTGGGAGTCAAAATTTACTCCAAGAAAGACCAGGGGTGGGACGCCTGGGTGGCTCAGTGGTTGAGCTCTGCCTTCAGCTCAGGGTGTGATCCTCCATCCAAGGATAGAGTCCCACATCGGGCTCCCAGCATGAAGCCTGCTTCTCTCTCTACCTGTCTCTACCTCTCTCTCCGTGTCTCTCATGAATAAATAAATAAAATCTTAAAAAAAAAAGACCAGGGATTATGACTCCTCAAGATAATCTTGATCTGTGACTTCCCTCTCAGCTTCTACATCTGAATTTCCAACTGCCAATTATTTTTTTAAAGATTTTATTTATTTATTCATGAGAGACCCAGAAAGAGAGGCAGAGACATAGCGAGGGAGAAGCAGGCTCCCCCCTTGGGGAGCCTGATGTGGGCCTTGGTCCCAGGATCTCAGGATCATGCCCTGAGCCAAAGGCAGATGCTCAATCACTGAGTCACCCAGGCATCCCTCCAACTGCCAATTAAACATGAACACAAATGAGACCACCAAAGTATGAAAGGAAAACATCTCTGAACATTCATCTTATCCCAGAAAGAGAAAGTCTTACTAAATTTATAGGCAAAGACAGAGTTCATACAGTAAAAGACACATAAGTAGCTTCAGGCTACTTGGGTAACAGCATATGTCCCAGAGATGGCCAGCCTGTGTTCAAATCCTACCTATGCTTACTTCTTGGGTGATCTTTTCATACCTCAGTTTCCTTATCTATGAAATGGGGACAGTAATAGTACCTACCTCATATGCTTAGAACAAGTGCCTAGCATTGATGCATGCTCCCAAAATGCTTTTATTATAGTGATAGATTTTCAAACACCATAGTGAAACCTGTTTCATTCAAGAATCATGATTAGGTGCTAGACAGAGAGAGGAAGAGTTTGATGAGAAACAGGATAGTCTCACAATATTCTCCCATAAATTACTTATTAACTACAAAGAGAGATACAGTAACTATACAGAAAAGAAAATGGACAAAACCTCAACGACATACACCATCAGTTAACACACTAATGGGGAACAAATGAACATAATGCACTTCTGGATATGATACTTTAAAAGAACATAACATGACCCAAAAGTCTACAACTTGAATCCTAAGCACACAGAAACATTAGACAAGCACAAATGAAGGTGAATCCTATGAAATGACTGGCCCGTAATCTTCAAAAATGTCAATATGATGAAAGACAAGACTGTCTTTCATCTTTTTCGAAAAGCCAAATTACTTGAGATTAAAGAATAAAGAGGTGTGGCGAAACACGGCAACTTCTGGTATGGGATCCAGTCAGGATCACACGCTATGTATAAAAATCATAGTGGGACAACCAACAAAACTGGGATAAGGGTTAGAGCTTACAGCCTTGTATCGATGCCAAATTTCCTGAACATCCAGGCTGTACCGGGGTGTGCAGTTATATAAGATGATGTGTTTGCTCTTATTGCATGAAGCATGCAGCCTACTCTCGAATGGTGGAGTGGGGCTGGTGAGGGAGAGACAAAGAGAGAGGGAATGACTGTAGCAAAATGTAAAACGGAGGAAGGCTAAAAAAGATATTACACCTTTATGATGGGTATTGCTTAGAGCTTCTGAATGGGTATTTAATAAGCCCTGGCTTGACTAAAAATTGATAGATTTTTACTCCATGAAAATAGAAAGCTTGGAGGGATGAATAGGCAGAGGGCAGAGGATCTTCAGGGCAGTGAAATTATTCCATATGATACTACAATGGCAAATACTTGTCATTATACATTTGTCCAAACCCACAGAACTACAACACCAAGACGAAACTTCTAATGTGAACTATGGACTCCGGGTGACTACAATGTGCTAATGTTGGTTCATCGGTAGTAATGAATGTACTGCTCTGCTGTACATTCTTAATCTTGCTATGAAATTAGAACCACTTAAAAAAAAAAGCCCATAACACACACACACAGACAAAAGCTGTGGTATGAAATAAGATAATACAAAAACAGAGATGAGCTCTTAGTATTTAAGAAAAAAATAGAAGCTTCGGCAGAAAGCGTTATTAGTAAACGAAAACTCTCTGCTGGACATAATTTAGATGGCAAATATATTTAATATATAAGAAACTTTTACAAGCCAAAAAGAAAAATATGAATAGTTCAATTTTTTTTAAAGTGCCAAAGGATATAAAAGGTATTTCATGAAAATGGAAATCCAAATGATTTTTAAAAAGTCAGCATCACTAGTTACTAAATACTCAAAAATATTAAGACAAGATATTTGGAGGAGGCAAGGACTTTTTTATATTATGGAAAATTTCAAATGCATAAAAAAGTGGAGAGAACCTAAGAAACTCCCATGTGTATGTCAGCGTCAGTAAGGACAACTCAGTCAATCTGCTTTCTTACAGACATTAAGCCACATTCCATGCCCCTCACTGGATCATGTGGAGGTGATTATTAGATACCATATCATGTCATCTATAAATATTTCAGAGTATACCTCAGTAAGGCAAGGACTCACTTCATAACTACACTCCCATGATTGGTCCCACAAAAGGAGTAATTCATTTCATCGAACATCCAATGCTCACAATTCCTGACTGTCTCATAGACTTTCTCTTGAAGTGGCTTGTTTGAATCAAGATCCAACCAGGATTCACTCACTGTATTTGATTGATAGGTTGCTTCAATCATTTGAAGCTTTTAATATTTATGTTCTCCCTTCCTGCAAAGTGTGTTTGTCTTGGCTCTGTTGAAGGTAAAGGGAGAGAGTTTCAGGAGAGTCTGAGTAAGGCTTATTAGCCCCTCGAGTCACATGGGAAATGCTCATAGATGGCAGTTTCTTTTTTTTTAATTTCAAATTAGTCTTTCCTTTTTTATTATTTTTTAAAAGACTACAAATGTGGGTTTTAATTTTTTGGTATTTTTCTTCTCTTTCCTTTTGAGAGAGAGAGAGAGAGTGTGTGTGTGTGAAGGGTGGGAGGAACAGAGAGAGAATCTTAAGCAGGCTCCACTCTCAGCGCAGATCTCAATGTGGGGCTCAATCTCACAACCCGGAGAATAGGACCTGAGCTAAAATCAAGAGTTGGATGCTTAACTGACTGAGCCACCCAGGTCCCTCTTTGGTATTTTTCAATTGTTAATATATGTAAGGGAAAGCCACTCACTATTATTTATCTTAAATCTGCACTGATTAAAGAAATACCATAGAGCCCAATTCCAAAAAAGACTCTAATTATTCTTAATTTTTTCAAAAGATTTTATTTTTTTAAGTAGGGAGATCAAAGAAATAGGAAAAAAGGCTGCAAATAGACTAAAGAACATATAGGAATTTGATTTTGTAATGAAGTTGACATTTCAAATCAGTAGAGAAAAGATGGTTTGTTCACTAATGTTACAGGGAAAACAGTGACCGTGTGGCCAAAAAAAAGTTGACCTCTGGGCAGCTTGGGGTGGTTTAGTGGTTTAGCGCCCCCTTCAGCCCAGGGCATTATCCTGGAGACCTGGAATCTAGTCCTGTGTTGGGCTTCCTGCATGGAGCCTGCTTCTTGCTCTGCCTATGTCTCTGCCTCTCTCTGTCTCTCATGAATAAATACATAAAATTAAAAAAAAAAGAATTTAAAAAAAAGTTGACCTCATACCTCACACTTTATACTTGAATAAATTTCAAATTTAGTGTGAATAGTGAAACTCTAAAATTAATTTTTGCAGCCTTACAGTGGAGAAGGCCTTTAATCATAATATAAAATCCAGAAGTCGTGAAATCAAACATTAATTTATTTGACGGCATTAAAAAAAAGTCAGCACAACTCAATAAAAAATGAGAAGCAAAGTCAAAAGACAAAGGAGAAACTGGAAGGTATATTCCAACTAATATTTCAGACAAAGAGAACACAACAGAACAATGTACCCAAAATACATGACCATATTTTGCAGAAAATAAAATACAAACAGCTAATAAAAAATGAAAAGAAGCTCAGATTCACACAAAACAAGAGAAATAAGACCAAACCAAAATGAAACCCTATGCCATGAAAATATTCTCCATGTATCAGATTGGCAAAAATTAAAAAGGCTGATAATATAGAATTTGGGGCGATGGGGGTGATGGGCACCCTTGTAGGTTGCTGATAGGACTGTAAATTGGTATAATGTCTACAATTTTGAAAACTGCAACTATAAATGTTTGACAAAGCAATTCCACTTCTAGAATATTCCTCATATGGATATGCCTATATTTACAAAACAAATTATTTTTAAGAATATGCACTGTTGCATGGCTGTGATGGCCAAAGATTAAAATCAACTAAACATCCATCAACAGGCACTGGTGGAAGTTGTCCTGGTGAAGACATATCACAAGATGTCTGCAGCTTAAAGCAAAGAGGAGGCTCTTTACATCCTGAAATGGAAGGATTTTCAAGACACAGGAAGTTAAAAAAAAAAGCAAGGTAAAGAAAGAATTACGTTTCCACTCAGATAAAAGAAAGTGTGAGGAAGAACATGTTTTTAGGTATTGCTTGTGTGTGTATGAAGAGCTGCTGGGAAGGCAGCAAGAACCTGAAGCAAGACATCACTTGCCTCAGCAGGGCAGGACTGATATGGTCAAGGACTGACAGGTGGTTTTTCATGACTGATCTCTTTTGTACCCTGGAATTCCATATCATGTAATTATATTACCTATTTACAAAATGAATATAAATTTTACAATTACTTTTGAAAACTGATTCAGATGAAAAATAATCAGACTCTAAATTACTCTGAAAAAAAAAATGAATGCGACAGGATGATGGGTGATCATTATCCTATTTTTTCCTAACTAGTATCATTATGTAAACAATGATCTTCCTCATGAGGAAGACAATGAGAATGATCCAGAGGCTAACAACGATATACTCTGAATTACTTCTCGTATAAGGGTGATGCATCTACATTGACCAAGGCTTCCTTTGGTGACAAAAGGCAGAGGTTTAGTAAGGAGATACCCTCTCCCCGCTCCCTACTGCCCCCAGTAATTAAGAATTGAACCCTTACCCATCAGATCCTGGTCTGGAAGGAGCGTTATCGGATGAGTTAGAAGAGGTGGAAATCACAGAGGATGTCACTGAAGTGATGGACAATCTCCGCAGTGTAGATGACATGATGTAGGGTAGTACGATGGACCCTGTGCGGCTTTGCTTCCTCTCAGTCAAGCTGGGTGGCTGAAGAACAACACACAATGTCTCACAGTGAGGTTAGCCTGGAGTTCAGCCCCTGTGGACTGGTGCAGCCCCCATTCTGTCTGTGGCAGTGCCATTTGCTTTGGCTGGCACCCACTGCTGCCTCACTTGTTAAATACTGCAATGATTTATATTCTTAATTAGAAACACAACTAGGTTAAACCATCCTTGTTAAGACTAGAGGAAAAAAAATCCCCAGATTTTGCTGCCAGCCACATAAGGGAGGAAAAACCAAGCTGTTCATTGCCTAGCCCCCACTACCACCAAGAGAAGAGCTAAACCTCGGTCTGCTTCCCCAGTTTTGCTTCTTTCAGCCACCAAGAAAATAGAATACTACCCTAATAGAAAGTTTTATATTCAAACTGTAGACCCAATGCTCAAGAAATAAATGGTGAATCTTAAGAAGTAAAGGAAGATTGATCTACTTTCATTAGAAATGTCTCTAGTAGGACTGATTTGCCCCAATAGGACACCCTATCAATTTTACACACAAACACTGGCCTGGATCTAATAAAAACTACTCATTAGGTGAAAGTCACAGTCCTTCTCATCTAGGAACTTGTGTAAAAGACAAATGTTCCTAGGAAAAAGCTCTTAGCTGGCAACAGGTTAGGAGGTTAGACACGACTGAACACTTGATTAAAAGCAATGATCACAAAGATACTCTGGAGAGAAAAAGGTAGGAAATATGGAAGTGTGGAAATGGGAGGCAGGAGTACACCAAAGGAAATTCAGAGCTTTGGTTCAAGGAAAGAGAATTTGAAAATCAGGGGTTCAAGATTGAGACAGTTAAATAGTAAGGCGGACTCTTATTAAAAAGAGCAGAAATAGGGTACCTGGCTGGCTCAGTTGGTTAAACATCCAAGTCTTGGTTTCAGCTCAGGTCATGACCTCAGGGTCATGAGATCAAGCCCTGTGTCAGGCTCTGCACTCAGTGGGGAGTCTGCTTCTCTTGCTGACTACCTCTCCCTCTGCCCCTCCCCCTGCTCATGCATGCATATGCATGCTCTCTCAAATAAATAAACCAATCTTAAAAAAACACAATAACCACAATGGAAAACTGAAGCTGGAGTCAAACATTCAATCGACTGTTGGAGAGAAAAGGTTATTTATTTGTTGTTAAGTAACCTTTATGCCCAACGTGGGGCTTGAACTCATGACCCCAAGATCAAGAGCTGCATGCTCTATCAACTGGGCCAGCCAGGCACCCCAGAGAGAAAAGGTGACTAAGCACATGCACCAATCCACCCAACTTCTCAGGAAGAAGAAAACTGTCACAGGGAGAAATGAGAACTGTCGGAAAAATGATGAAATCAACTATATGCATTGTAAAATGCACTTCACAATTCTTTCTTCCTTTGAAAGGTGTGAAGAGTGGCAACTTTTCATCAAAATGAAAAATAAAGACTAGGAAAAATACTAAGAATTGGGCTAGAAAGGCCAGGAATAAGCAGCATCCGGGAGCAGGAACACCCCAAGTGCTAGGAGAGTAGTTCACGCATTATGGGCCCAGACCAGCAGCATCAGCCCCACCTGGGCGTGTGTCAGAGAGGCAGACCCTCAGGCCACCATAGACCTTCTGTTAGAAACTCTGGAGATGTGGCCCAGCAATATCTGTTTTCACAAGCCTTCCTGGTGGTTTGGACAGTCACTAGAGTCTGAGAACCCCCATCTAAGCACACTAACTTTAGAAGGTCACTAATAGCACCATGTCTTCTCCTCCCTGCCTCCAGTATTTTCATGCCATTCCTCTGCAATTTTGACTCATTTGGCAGCTGAAAAACTCATCATTATCAAAACAGGTAAAAAAAGACTGAAGAAGGCAACAAGCTACTTAGACAAAGCCAACCAGTGTTATAACACCGTAGAGCTTTTCCACTTTCTCCTTGAGCTCTCGGAAACAAGATGACAACCGGTCATGTAGTGGCTTTAGCTGCTCTGTCAGCTTCTCCCCATGGATGCGGATCCCCTCCGTCAGCAGAGGCATCTAGGAAAAAGGGCACGAAAGGAAGGAAATACGGTTTAGGAAGAGGGATACTTCAGATTTGGAGATTGGGGAAGGATGAGGGTAGAGATGGGCAGGTCAACTGGTAGACACAGCATCTGCCAAATGAGAGCGCTACTTCTCCGTGTAGGGTTTGGGCACTGGACACCCTTGGGTCAAGGATGCAGAGAAATACACAAAGATACAAGCAGGCCCTAAACTGGGGATGGATGGACAGTCGAGGCAAACCCACCTGAGCCTGGGGGCATGTCTGTGGCTAAGGCCCTCCTGGTTTTAAACCTTAGAGTGAAATGGATGGCTGCATTTTCTCCCACTGTTCACTTAAGTAGAGAGAGGGAGGGAGAGAGAGAGAGAGAGAGAGAAACTGAAGCCAACATTCCTCAGCTGGAAACACAGCTCAGCAAACCAATCTGTACTTTAACCTCTTCTCTCAGAAGGACCCTCTCTGCACTGTACAGTCTAATGGAATGCTACTCCTGGAGTCACTTAGCCAAACAAACAGATAGGCTGTGATTCCAAAGGTAAAAAAAAAAAAAAAAAAAAAGAAAGAAAGAAAGAAAGAAAGAAAAGCACCCGTCAAAGTGGGCTTGTGGATTTAAGCCCTAGACAATATCTTGCCATTGTGCACGTGTGGACCCCCATGGAGCGCAGCAGGTGGGGGGGTTGCTGTTGGCCACACACCTCCCTTAACGCATACCTGTAATGCTATCAGACGCTTCAGCAGCTCAATCTTCTCCTGGTCTTCGGGGTGCTCCTGCAAGTACTTTTCTGTAAAAAAAGCCTAAAAGGGAAGCACATGCAAGTATTAATTAGAATACATTCCTATCTGTGTATTTGACTCTTGAGGGAGGAGGGGGAGCCTGGATGGGTGAAAACTGTCTTCTCTTCTAGCTGATAAACCTGGAACGACTATGGAAACACTCAATCCTCTCCTGGGATGACCTTGATGCCGTAGCGGACAATTCTAAGGGTATGTGCTATTTTGTGATTTTTGGAATCATGCAATGCCTAATCACAGTACCTTCTCAACAATCACCAGACACACACAAGTGCACTAACCAAATAATTATCAGCAGAGCAGAATGGCATTTCTTAAAATAACTTTCCCAAAGGACAAAGGCCAATGACAATATCTAAAGGTTATTCGTTAGATCAAGTGCACAGATATTATAAAGGAAAAAGGAAATAATTAATAGGCTGGAGATGGCTGATAGTTTTGCTCCTCTACCATCTGATATAGGCTGTATCACATTTTCTTCCTATATTAAGTGAATATGAATAGCCACACTTTCTATTTGTCTATCCAAAAGACTTTTTGAGGGCAGCCCAGGTGGCTCAGCGGTTTAGTGCCACCTTCAGGCCAGGGCCTGATCCTGGAGACCCGGGATCGAGTCCTACGTCAGGCTCCCTGCATGGAGCCTGCTTCTCCCTCTGCCTGTGTCTCTGCCTCTCTCTCTCTCTCTCTCTCTCTCTCTCTGTGTGTGTCTCTCATGAATAAATAAAATTAAAAAAAAACACAAAAGGCTTTTTGAGGACATGAGATATAGATGTGAAAATGTTTTATAAATATATTTTTTAAAGATATATTTATTTGAGAGAGAGAGAGAGAGAGAGTGTGCACAAGCGGGGGGGAAGAGGCAGAGGGAGAGGGAGAAGCAGACTCCCTGCTGAGCAGGGAGCCCCACATGGGGCTTGATCCCAGGATCCCGAGATTATGAGCTAAGCTGAAATCAGATGCTTAACCGACCAAGCTACCCAGGTGCCTGTTTTAAAAATATTAAAAGCACCTTGCGTTTAAGCTTAATATATGTGAAGACCATGTCACACATAACAAAGTTAATAAACATTCACGGGTCCCAATGGCTAAGCCTCTACAATAGTGAAAAAAAACCCAAACTCAAACTATAAACATAGGTGTTATGGAACAGACCATTTTAAAGACCATTCATTAGGGAAAAAAAAGTCTGTGGTGAACATTTCCAATACAGTCCTAAAAGGAAGTTATATATTTTCTCCCTGTACCATAACTATCATTTCTGAGAGTGTTTTCAAAGACCAGCCTTCAAAGTTCCCCTCACTCTTCTTTTCCAATACTTTAAAAGCCATCCCTCTGTATGAGACCCAAGGTCCTGAAACTACAGGATACATCCCCCCCCCCAAAAAAAAAAATGATCAGGGATCAGCTCATTTTGTGTGGAAAAAGTATATGCAAACTCCACCTGTGGGAAGATATTATGAGTTGAACTGTGGCCTCCACCTTGCCCCAATTCGTAAGTTGAAGTCCTTTTTATTTATTTGAGACAGAAAGAGAGACCATGAGGCAGAGGCAGAGGGAGAAGCAGACTCTGCTGAGCAGGGAGCCCGACCCGGGGCTGGTTCCCAGGACCCTGAGATCATGACCTGAGCCAAAGGGAGCCGCTTAACTGACTGAGCCACCCGTGTGCCCCTGATTGAATATATTTGCTGTCCTTATAAAAAGGGGACGTTTGGACACGGTGAACATATTGTGAAGAGGCACAAGGACAACACGGTCATCTATAAACAAAGAATATTCACCGCAGGGTGCCAGCAACCCCTCAGAAATTAGGAGAGAGGTGGGGACCAGATTCTTCCTCATAGCCCTCAGAGGGAATCAATCCTACTGACACCTGGATTTTAGACTACTGGGCTCCGGAACTGTAAGGCAATATATTTCTATTGTTTTCAACCAACCTGTTTGTGCCTTTGTTCTGGCAGCCCCAGCAAACTAACACAACAAGGAATATAAACAAATGCAGGTCAAGTATCACAGACAGGAAGCAAGCGAGCACATCTGAGAACACTCTTTCTAGCCAGATTCATATTTAAAGAGAAATGAATGAAAAAGTAGTATTGCTTAAACCTTCATCCACCCTTACCTTCCAAAGACAAGCAGCTTAAATCTTCAAAAGTCAAAAAAAATTTTTTTTGATATAAGATAAAATGCACTGAAATTCCCCAAACATCAGGTTGAGTCAAATGTTGGAGCAGAGTGCTCTGAAATTAATTTTTTTTTTAGGAGAGTCCTGCCTCGCAACAGAGAGGGGCTGATGAATTACAGTAAACAGATCTTGCATTCCTAAAACTCAGGTTGTGATTAATGGGCTGCTTTAAGATAGGTCATTCGTATAGGTAGGCGATGATGGACTCCCCAATTAATTGCAATGGGGGTCACTGGTGATCAATGACTTTACGTTTTTCGTATGTTTAGAAATGCACAAACTCATACATATTAATCAAAAGTACAAACTAAGTATTTTAAGCTAAAGATCTGAAATTTATGTCTACCTGCCCTACTTCCCCTTTTTAAAAAACTTCAATGAGAAGCCAATGACATTGGAAAAACCTTCCTATGAAATTATATCCTATTCACAGATATTGGCATATATGAATTTGAGTTCACGGGGATTATGTAAACAAACAGAATACTTGGAAAAACACAGTTGGCCTAGCTTATACGAAAAAACATACCAACATCATTAAGGTATAACAAAGTATTGTATTCTGGATCCTGGTTTTACGTTGAATTTCATTATTACAGGGGAGATTGGTATTGACACCTAGCATGGGCACACTAGAATTGGCCTCTGGTGTGGAGTCTTCCCCAGCTGCTGAGGGTCATAGGCCTGAAGAAGGTTCAAAGTTTGATGGGAAAGGAGAAGAAAGATGGTTATAGCAGTCACAGAGCACTAGCAGCTCTAATACTCAGGAAGGACATTCAGATCACATTTGGCTCTGAGCGGACAGGAGGGAGGAAGAAAACCAACGCTCATCAGGGCTCAACCATATGGCAACTGCTCTGTGATGTTCCTTACACACAAGATGCCTTCCTCAGCTACCAGCCACTCCCAAGCATTACTTATTTTCCTTACTTTTTTCAGATATGAAAAAAGGGGGCTCAGAGAGGTGAAGTATTTCAGCCAAGGGCCCACAGGGGCCAATGGCAAGCCAGGATTGGGTCCCAGGAGTGGCTGATTCTAATGCCCTGGTCTTCTCAGGACTTGTGTACAAATGCAAATAAGAGAATTCGCCCATTTAAAGTCTCCTCGCCCTTCTCAGCCACTTTCTCTGCTTTCTGTTCACTCTCCAGACTATGCCACAGGGGTGCAGCAGTCAAATATTTATTTATATTTAGGAAGAGGACTCCAAAATTACTTAGCCACTGAAAACAACTGAACAATTAAAAATCCTGCCTCAATTAATTACTCTTAGCTGAATTTTACCTATTGAATCCATTACCTCTTTTTTTTTTTTTTACCTATTTTTTAAAATTATTTTTAAAGATTTTGAGAGGGAGAGAGAGAAAGAGCAAGAGAGAGAACATGAGCAGGGGGTGGGGCAGAGGGAGAGGGAGAAGCAGACTCCCCACTGAGCAGGGAGCCTGAAATAGGGGTTGATCCCAGGACCCCAGGATCATGACCTGAGCTGAAGGCAGATACCTTACTGACTGAGCCACCTGGGCACTCCAATTACCTCCATTTTAAATGGTGCTACATCCAAACCCTATGCAATGGATTCACATCTGGTGAGCACTCTTTTCTTGTTTTTCCAGAATAAGACACAACCCACTTAGTTGAACTAATTTAAGGGTACAGCCGGGTCCAGCATTTGTCCATACAGCCTACGGCACACCAAGTTGGGGTGGGCATTCCCAGCCTAACTCTGCCTTTCTCTCCCTGCTTCTCCACTTCCAGAGCACCCTTACAGAGGAGTCCACCTGTAAACTTTCTCTCAGGGCCGAGAGGGGTTGGGAGAGGGAATAGCAGGTAAATCAAGCAGACATGGTATATTAGATCGGTGTGAGGTCAGGGACAGGCTTTTCATTAGTTTCACTTGCCCACTTGTAAAGATGGCAGAGTGAAAAATCTCTCAGAGAAGCTGTAATAAACTAACTGACCAGCTGCATGGTGCCACTGAGAGGCATGGAGATGCACGGGATTCACCTTTTCGTAGTTGGAGTAGCCCCCCATGACAGCCGGGTCTACGATGCCACTGAGAAGCATGGAGAGAGGATGCACAGAGAGGGCTCGGTCCCAGGCATGCTGCTGCACACAGTTGCTGATCTTCTCATTGGTGAGTTCCATGGTTTCTATGGCATTCTCCAGGGGACTGATTTCCTCCTGTGACAGAGGACAAGGGAGAGGAAGAACATTTTGTGAGCTCACAGCAAAGACAGAAAAGAAGTCCTCAGTGTGCCTTTTAAAGGGTATAAAATCGGGCAGCCCTGGTGGTGCAGCGGTTTAGCGCCGCCTGCAGCCCAGGGAGTGATCCTGGAGTCCTGGGATCGAATCCTGCGTCGGGCTCCCTGCATGGAGCCTGCTTCTCTCTGTGTGTCTCTCATGAATAAATAAAATCTTAAAAAAAATTAAAAATAAAAGGTATAAAATCCTCACCAAGCAATAGAAGAGTGAGGTTTTGCTTGTCAAGGTTGTTTATTTGGATACCACACTTAATTGGAAATGGTTTTGCTAAGTTGCCAAGTAAGCTACTTAAAGTCTCCTTGGGAAGTACAAGAGTGACCTAAAAATTAGAGCAATAGCAGTGATTATTTCTTGGTGCAAAGTGTCCACAGGAATTTTTGGGGAAAAAAATTGGAGCCATAATAATGATTGATTTTTAGGCAGAGCTTTCTCAGAGATTTTTGAGAAGATCGATGACAACAAAGTAATGGGTTATCTGATCCAAGATACTTCTGCAGCACCCAAAATGTTCCCTGGCAAGAGGCTTGATGTTTCTTGCCTGAGAAAAGGGAAATGATATTGGAAGCCATACACTCAAACCATACGTAAGTCACCTTAGTATGATTTCGTGGTTAAAAGACGTCAGAAATCATGGGATGTGTTAGGATATTCAAGTTGAATTTTGGATGAATGTGAAATGAGATTCAGTAAAGATTCAGAAGGGCAACCTCTGTAGAAATGTCTTCAAAGCCAGGTTTCAAGAAAAATGACCTTCTTCATTTTCCCCATTGAAAGCCATCATGACTGTCTACTACAGCCTTGATTCCAAAAGTCTCTATCCAAAAATCCTATTCTTACTGGAAAAATAATAATTTATTATTAGTGGTATGGAACATATCAAATTTCAGTTCAGATTTGTTCAAGATGTATTTCTTGAAAGTGTATCACATGTCAAGTACTGCGCTGTGCTCCACAGTTACAGCAGTGGCTAAAATCTAATTCATGGCTGAGAGGAGCCTATGGTTTTATGATGGGGTCTCAAGACACATAAGCATGGAAGTAACTTGTTAGAAATAAGTCCAGGTTGCAAAAGGGCACAGGGAAAAGGCATCTAACCCACTTGGGAATTTCAGAGGTGCCTTCCAGGTGAAGCTCGTACCTAAAATGAATTTTGATGGGAGGTAGTTAGGTTCAGAAGTAGCATTCTGGGCAAAGAAAAATGCCCCCACTGTTATGGAGGGTTGAAATAACATGGAATGAATTTAGTTCCAGAAGATTCCAAAGGAAATCTCAGGCAGAGCTGAGTCATGAAGCCTCTGCATGTGTGTGCTAAGGAACAGGGGCTTTATGCTCTAGGCACTGGGGAGCCATAGCAAGGTTATAAAATAGTCGGCTTTCCACTGTGGAACTCACACTCGGAGGCAGTGAGGAAAACAGGCCTGTGAAGGCCAAGGCAGGAGGCCAACAAGGGGGCTTTTTCTATGGCATCCACCAGAGATGAATGAGAGACTAAAACAGGGTATGGCAGTAGTAGAGCTGGAAATAAAGAAAATAGACTTAATGAATCTTAAAAAGGTAAAGGGGGAGATTTTGGGGAATGATGGAGAAGGAAGAGTCTGGGATGACTGGTGATGTGATTAGCCACGAATGAAAGAAGAGGAAACGTTCTGGGAGAGAATGTGATTGACGGCAAACTCAAAGGAGACATTCCGAAAATGGTTTGGTGCACTGGCAGGATCATGAGGAGACAAGACTCATTTGCTCATAAAAGAGTCATTCACTGTGAGTAACCTTTAGGGTTGGCCTTGTAACATCAGTTGTACAAAGGAGTTCTATTATACAAGCACGCCTTTTATTTCTCTTTTGGAAAACAAAGTTGGCCAGAGGAGGCTAGAAGGGGACTTAACAAAGGCTCTTATTATATTTGGAGATACAAAGAATTTTCTGAGTTCCACTTTCAGATGACTCACCGTTGAAATTTGTTTGACTTCAAACCACTTGAGAATCCCAGGAAAGGTATACGCAGTTGTATATGTGGTCCTTTCAATCCACATGGTCTGGTGGAAGGAAAGGAAATAGGAAATGTCATTTCCTGGGTAAAAGAGCAACACTCCCTGGTTGAGGTCAGCGAGATTCTAGTCACAAATGCTTCCTTAGAGAATGGGCCATATTTTGAGGATTCTGGAGGTTTAAAACTACCAGGGATCATCTACTTGGGCCCTCTGACCCTCCAGAGGGGAAATGTGAGGTCCAGAGAAGTGTGATTTGCTGATACTGGCAGCAGCAGTGGAGCCCGATGATAGAGCCCAGTTTTGGGGTGGGTTCCAGTCTAGAGTTTTCCACTGTGATGGCCTGATGTCTAAGTAGTAAGCATGTAGCACCTCTATCCCCAGGGCTGCCATCGTTTCTGTTGTCTGCATTGGTTAGGTGGAAAGCCTTCATTTGGATGCCAACTTTACGTTGTTTTAGAGGGCAAACAGGGTGGACTCACAGCAAATTCATTGTCTGGATCCTTTTCTCCTTTCCGGAAAGGCCTGGAATATCTGAATTGCTGCACTTCATTGGCTCTGTAGTAGCTGGAGAAAGACATGGCCACAATGCTGTAGTTTCTCTTAGAACAAGCAGTCCTTGCTCAGACTTCAGTAAAACCTGGGCCGCATCTTACACAGACCAAGTGTTATCCACTAAGCAATCTCAAAACAGTCTCCCTAGTGAAGGTTGGAGGAGATGCACAATTTGATCTTATTTTTATTAATCTTAATTTTATTATTTATGAATCCATTCCAGTTTACCATTTAAAAAGATACATGTATTTATATCCATGTTTGTGTTTTCATTTGTATGTTTTTATCACAATTCTACTAGCATTTTATCTTCTCAGGAAAAAGCATGAGGCCTTTGATCACTGGGCACCCCACCAGGCAAGGTGAGGTCAGCCCACTTCTCAGAGTGCTTCTGAGTAGAAATAAAACCCAGGAGATCTGAAACATAACAGTCAAATTCCTGATTTCCTTCTGTCTGCCTAAAAAAATCCAAGACCCCCCAAATCTCTTTTGAGTTACCAGGCTTATTTTATACTGAAAATAGAATAAAGAGTTGTGGTCTGAATGCCAAAATTCACATGTGGAAATCCTGACCCTCAATGCAATAGGATTAGGAAGTAGTGTCTGTGGCAGGTGCACAGTCATGAGGATGGAGCCCTCATGCATGGGATGAGTGCCCTAATAAAAGAGATCCCAGAGAGCTCTGTCGCCTTTTCTGCCATGTGAGACACAGTGAGAAATAAGTCAGTGAATCAGGCAGCAGGTCCTCACCAGACACCACATCTGCTGGTGTCTTGGACTTCCCTAGCCTCCAAAAACTGTGAGAAATAAGTGGCTGTTGTTTATAAGTCACCCAGTCTGCGGGGTCCTGCTATACAAGACCCAGAGGTTTAAGACAGCAGAAGATCCTCCAAATGAGTTTAAGGCCTTGTTTTTGTTTTTTTTTTAAAGATTTTATTGGCTGATTACTGATTGAGGGGGAGTGTGCATGAGTGAAGGGAGAGGGAGAGAGAGAATCAAGTGGACTCTGTGCTCAGCGGAGTCTAACTCAGGGCTTGATCTCACAACCCTGAGATCATGACCTGAGCTGAAATCAAGAGTCTGGCGCTTCACTGACTGAGCCACGCAGGCGCTTCCAAGACTTTGGTTTTGATGTACTTCAGATAAAGTGTGTGAGAGGGAAAGTGTTTTTAAGACCAAAAAACCCCACTTACTTTAAGATCTGCTCTGGAACTGGTTTGTCCTTGTAGCTGGGCGGCAGGCTCATCACTGGCTTTACGGTGAAACACTGCATGTCTGAGGAGCTCATTAAGGAAGGAAAAGGGGCCGGGCCATGAAGCTGTCACAGAAAGGACCACCTGTTCTCCCTGCTTTGCATGGAAATGGTACCTGCATTAATTATTCATTTTTACCGAACGCCAGGACTGCACTGAAAGCGAGGTTCCCTTATGTATTACCAAAATGCCTTATTAAATCATGATCCTAGGACATTTTTAGGTCAGACCCCTGGCAAGCAACCTTGCCACAGGAAAATAGGCTTCAATGAAATATCAAGGAAAAGGGATTTGAAACAGTTTTAAATCATTTCTTTTGGCCAAGCAGGCCTCTGAGACAGCCAGATGCCAGAGCCTGCGCAGTAGGAACTTCTGGTATCTTTGGATCTTCCTTGTTTATGGTGGACCATAGCTGGGTGCTGAACTAAGTTCTCAATATGTTACCACCAATAAACACAACAATAAACAGTCGGATGTTACAAATCTCCTACAGATGAAGAATTTAAGGCTCCGAGAAAACCCAGAGCATACAACTGGTTCACGGTGAAGTCAGGCTTCAAACCCAGATCGGGGGGGGGAGGGGGGACCCTGTCTCTTGGACTTGATAGTTAAAAAAAAAAAAAAAGACTTTTTTTTTTTGTTCTTGCCAGTGCAGATATACTGTTTCAAAATCTACAGCATTTAAACTCAAGTTTAAGGCCTTGTGTCTGGTTAAAACAGCGACTGCCGGGACTTCTGGGCAAAGTGTGCAGCCTCCTGGGCGCAGAAACACATGGACATGTACTCAGATGCAGTATTAGAATTCACAGCTGCTGACTTAGAATCTCTCTGTATGACACAATCTGAGAACCACTGGGCTGTGCCTTACCCTGGTCTAGTTGACAGAGCGGATTGAGGGCCCAGTGATAGGAAATCCTAAATCCAGTTCCTGAAGACCTCACCATTCCCATACCATGAAGGAACCTCCACTCTTTTCTGAACCCATATAACCCAAACAAGGATTTATCCTAGCACCTGCTATGTATTAGCAGGCTGCTGCTCTCTTACATGTGTGCCTGTCTACTGGTCTGTTATTATCATTGTCGATCTTTCTATGATCTTTCTATAGCTACTTACCAGCCTAGGTGTATAATAATGGCCAATATGTACTGAGTTTTTATTATGTACCAGGTATTGTTCCCAATATTTGACCTATGTTTACTCAATCTTTACAAGAATTCTGTGAGAAAGGATGAACATCATCCTCATTTTGTAGACGGGAAAACTGTGGCACAGAGAAATCAAGGAACTTGCCCAAGTTGACGTAATCTGAGACTCGAACCCAGGCAAATGTTAGTTCCAGAGCCCGTTTTCTTATCTGCCTGCCGCACTGGCTCTGTCTTATTCACCTCTCTCTGAATACTGTTCAATTTTAGAACATTTTTATTTGAGCACAAAACTTATGAAAAAAGTTAAAAATAACTTTGTTATGGACCTCTTGGTGTTTGTTCTTTTTTTAAAGAAAGTATATAATTAATTTTTCAATAAGTCATTGCATTGTGACAAAGGAAGAGCTATATAACTTTACCCAGAACCCAGAATTCTGAACAAGCAGTCCATGTCATCCTCAAGCTCCCCCTATTGCTATAAAACATTTCATATTCAAGATTTGCTTATTATCTATTTCCTTTACTTCATAGCCATGAGCTAAGGATGTTAGGGTCCCAAAGCTTTTACAAGGAATGGAAAACTGAGGCAGAACAGCTAAATGAGTGGTCAGAGCACAGGACATAACCATGCGCAGAGACATGACTGAAACCTTAGCTTCTGTGGCTGGGCCAGGCCATGTCTCCACAAGGCGAGGATACACTGCTTTGGGGACGATTTGATTTCCTCTCCCGGGGGCGTGGTGCTGGTCATCTTCTCGGCATTGGGGAACTGGGTCAGCAGCCTCAGGCTGAAGTCTTCTCGCCTCTCATACTCCTTCCCCCGGTAGATGAAGATTTTGTTCTGCAGATCAGAGACAGCAAGGGGAGTGATTATGTGTGAAGAGTGAAGAGGCAACTAGAGATCCTGGTGCTGAGGAAGCCACAGGCCTCCCTAGCACAGCTGGCTGAAGTGCATTCCCCCAGCAAGTTCTCACCAGATATCTACCCTGCAGCAACCATCACATCTGGCAAGAGTTCACGTTTTACTGGGGGAGCTAAGTCACAGGCATAAAGCTGCCTCCACAGTGCTTCTCACAATGTGGCCCCATGACCACAGCTGGTCTGCAAACAGTCTGCACTGATCCACAAGGAAATGAGCTTGTGCCCTAGTACAGATCCACAATGTCACTAGGCACGCTGTGGAAACGTAGCTGATTTTTTTTCATAGCAAGACCTTCTCAATGAAGGAAGGTAGTGCACTGATTCATGTGCAAGCCCTCCTCTTATCATGATCTGGTTGTGGACCAGCACTTTGAATGTCACTGACTTAGAGAACAAGAAAGTATGAAGAGAGTGAACACAACAAATCTCCGTTAACAGAGAACAGGAATAATTTATAGCAGTCCCCAGGCAATCCTGAAAGTCACTGTGAATGGCAATACCAAAGGCTCACAGAATCTAACTGCACCAAATCCTATTCTCTCCATCTCAATCTACATTCTCTTTATGTTTAATAAAATTAATAAAATTGGATTTTTTTTAAGAAAGAGATTTCCTAGGCTCCAGGCATGGGTGTAATCTGACTCCTTGCTGCAGTTTAAATGCGAGTTTAAATGCAGCCATGTTTCGAAGGTTCCTGCTCATCTGATGCTGCTCAGATGAGTGCTCAGCTGTGGCAGCCCATACATGATCCATTTTTAACTAAACCTTGGGATCATATCGTCCTCGAAATGTTTTTTTAAAAAATCCCTTGTCTACTCATGTAACAAATATGTATTGGACAAGCAGTGGATTTGCTAAGACAGTAGGGATATAATGTTGACCCTACTCTCAAAAAACACCTTCTGGGGGACAGAAACAGAAAACCAGGAAGTAGGACATTTTATATCATGCAAGTAGCATGAAGGTGCTATACCTCCTAGGATTAATACTGATGGCAGTAAAAATTGCCACATCTTCTGGAATGGACCCTGACATTTTTCCAAGCTGGGAAAGATTTATGTGACTAATCCATGCCTTATGAAATTTGATCATTCAGGCAAAGCTGCAGTAGGTAAGGAGGCAGAGTATATGGCAGCACTGAATGTAAGATGTGGACAGCAATGTGAAGGGAACAGACAAGCATGAGGTCAGCACAGACCAGCATGGCCTGAAAGAGGGCTTCAAGGAAGACCCAGGATTGACCAGGCCCGGACAGAGGGAAAGATTAAGAAGAGGGAAAGAGAAGGGGTGGTCAACCAGCAGGACAAGGGAACAGGATGGGGCCACCGAGCAGAAAGTCTGGAATGGAGGTAGAAGAAAGTAAGTGGATGAACCAGAACACTGGAAGGCAGGCTTCAGTTCCCACAGTCCAGGGAACTCACTGGAGGTTCTGGCAGGAGGGAGCGACGTGATGAAAGCAGTAGTGTAACAACCTCAGCGGATAGTGGGGTGTGTTGCCAACCATTGGAATCCTGGGCAGGCCTGAGTGGGAGAAGGAGAAGCTGCAGGATCTGGAGTCTGACCCTGGTGTCTGGTGAAGGGCAAAGAAGATGGGGGGGCGGGAATCACCGAGGATTCTGAGGTGGCTGGCCCTGGAGCAGGAAGGGCAGTGGTGCCGCTGCCAGAAGCAGGGGAGGAGGAGGCCTGGCTGGGGCGGGGGGGTGGGGTGGTGGTGGTGGTGGTGGTGGTGGTAGGAGGCGAAGAGGAAAACGCAGTTTTAGATATTCTGGGTTTGACAAAATGATCCATAACACAGAAGGGCATGTAGGTTACATCATTCTGAGGATTTTACATGCTTCCGTGCACTCTAACAACACAGAACACCCACAAACCACGTTACAGTTTATAAAGCACGCCGGTACGCTATTCATTCCGAAGCAGCCCTGTGACGTGGGCAGTATTTCTCTAACTTACACAGCAGAGAACTTGGAAGTTTCAGGATTTGGTTAAAATCATACAGTCCCCCAGCAGATGATGGAGACGCCACTCTGTCAACCTGAAAACCTAATCTTTGCACTGAATTGGTGCTGTCTCCAGCTCATGTCCTTTAGCTCACATGACACAGCAATCTCTCTCTCTCTCTCTCTCTCTTTCACACACACACACACACACACACACACACACACACACACACACACACACTCGGCCAGCAGGCGCCATCGTCTTATCGGGACTGGCCCACCGAGACCGACAGCCAATTTCAGACTAGAACCCACTGCAAGGCTCCTTTCCAGACCCTCTCCTCTTGGTGGTCCATTCTCTTTCCCTGCACTATCCCATCCAACCTCGAATAAGCCACCAACTTCATCTCCAGTCTGGAAACTGAGTTCTGGGTCCGTTGTACCAAATTGTTGACTCTCATCTTTTGGATGTTCCAAATGCACCTCACACTAAGGATGGTCCAAGCCAGACTTACATGACGAATGTATAAAGATCTGAAAGGCCATCTGTGATCTGGGAACCAAGCCACCTACCCATCCTTCCCTACTTGCCCTCTTGTTCACAATCCTCCAACCTCTTGGCTTTTGCACCTGGCACCACATCACAACTCTTAATGGTCACCTTGCTTATTCCCTCACTTCTTCCAAGTTTTTGCTCAGATGTCATTTTCTTTCTGATATCTTCCATTCACTCTACTTAAAATTGCAACTCCACCCCCATCACCTGCCTCTCTCTTCACCTGCCCCGACATTTTCTCCATGATACTTATGGAGTGTCTACATGGGGTGTGGCACTGTTCTAGGCTGTCAGATGTACTAAATGTTTCACTTACTTTTCGTGTGTCTCCAAACTAGAATATAAATTCCATAATTTCAAGGATTTGGGTTGTTTGGGACTGTGCCCCCAAGCCTATAAAACAGCAAGGCCCAGAGTAAGAGTTCAATAAATATTTATTCAATGAATGGATTGAATCTCTCTACACCGTGACTCTATTCTTTTCTAGTCTTGCTGTCTTAGTGGATGGCTCCACAGCCCTTCCAGTTATGCAGCCAGAAACCTAGAAATCATTCTTTTTTTTTTTCCTAGAAATCATTCTTGCCACCTCCCTCCTTCCTCACCCACATGTCCCAACAATAATCATCAAATGCCATTACTCTGTCATTCTAAATCTTTCCATTTTTCTCTAAAGCCACTTTCTAAGGACGACCTGCCTTCCCTTCCTTCTCTCAACATCTGCAATAGTCTCTAGAGGCTATCTATATACATCCAACCACTGTCCGTACCAGCCAGATGGTGACCTTGCCAGCACACAGAATCCAAAATGAGGAGAATCCCTCCTGCTTTTGGGATACTGACAAAACAGCCAGGGCAACCCCACGGCCCCACCATGGGTGCTCTCCCCACAGCCCATACTGCAACTCCCCGCACACCGTACTGCCTTTGGTCCCGCTGCATTGGTCTTTCATTCCTGGGCACTGCCATGCTCTTGCTGGCCACTTCCTCTGCCTGGAAGGCTTTTTTCCTACCACCTTTATCTCTGTAACTCCAAGCTTGCCTTTCAAATTGCACCTGAAGCAGAAATTCCCTGGGAAGTCTTTCCTGACTCTTAAAAAAAACTTCAGGCATAATTTACATATAGTAAGATCTACTCTCTTTAGTGTAAAATTCTGTGACTTTTGACAAACATAACCATGATCATAATCAAAATACAGAACAGTTTCACCACCCAAAAATTTCCCCATGCTTCTGAAACCCAACCCTCACCCACAAATACAAAATGATGATGCCTCTTCTCTCTACCTCTACTGTAAATATTGGTTTGGCCAGGTGCCATAGAAATAAAATCCAAGTATGTAGACTTTATGATCTAAGTTCTTTTACTTGGCACAATGCATCAGAGACTCATCCACATGCTTGTGTACCAGGAGTTTATTCCTTTTTATTACAGTGTAGAATTCCATTGTATGGCTATCCCACAGTTTGTTTATTCCTTCACCAATTGAGGGACATGTGAGTTGTAGCCAGTGTTTGGTTGATTATAAATAATGGTGCTATAGACAATCATGTGCAGTTTTTTTTCGTGTGAACATAAGTTTTTATGTTACTTGGGTAAATATACTCCCTGGTTAACCAAGTCTTATAACCTAGAATACCCGTCTTGGTCAGTTTCAATTTCCATTCATTTGTGTGATTATTAACATTACACCCATGAGGCTGTAAATTCCACGAGAGTAAGGACCATATCTGATTATCATCTGCCTTGTATGTGCCTGGCACACAGTAGGTGCTCAGTAAATAGTTACTGAATGAATGAGTTTCCTCCTCATTGAGCACTATGAGAAATGTACTTCCTTTCTCACTTTTTCTTAAATCAGTGGAAGGAAAGTGGATAATGTGTTTAAATACAGCCAGCTCTACAGAGGCTTCCTTTGTGAGTGCGGGGGAGTGAGGGGTGGGAGGGAATAAGATTTGGGTTTTTAGATTTTAAAATCGGTATCACATAAGAAAATTTTGAGAAGGAAGAAAACACATGGTCCTTCCCACTATTACAACACCTGTTTTTATTTTTGTGAAACTTTCGTAGTCCTGTCTTCGGGATATTTGCTTTCAAACCGGCTCTGGCTGGAAATAAAATAAACAACTAAATACATCAATCCATACTTTTCCCCAGCCTGAGCTGTAGCAGCAGACCAGTGGAGGGGATGGTTCTGTTTTTCCCTTTTTCATTCCACCTGGGAAAAGTCATTTTACAAAAAAGCTGCCAGAAACCCCGAGGCTGGGGGTGTGGGGTGAAGAGGCCGGCCACGCAGGAAGTGGTTTCCCTCCCCGACCTCCCACAGTGAGAACTTAGGCCTCCAGCTGCTAACACACAAGGTCCATCTGGAAAAGAGATGAAGACCCTCCCTCCTTCGGACTGCATGGCTTAATGGCTTGGAGGACCACCCTGAGGTTTCTTACCCGGAGGAAAGAAGGAAAGCCCTGTCCGTAGTATCCAACAGCAAAGTATTCAGGTTGAGGCCTCATTGCTTTAATGATGTTCTCATAAAATGAGGCTCTTTTTTTCTGGAAAACAAAATAAGACATTCCACAGGGAGGTTACAAGGGCACCACGGAGGGGTGGGGAAGATCAGACTATTTGCTTTGTTGTTTCCCATGGGCCAACACACAAATGAAAAGTCTTAGGAAATTATCTTGTAGGCCAAAAAGTTATCCCTTTCTTGGATGGAAGAGTTTGGACCTGGGCCCGTGAATGAGCCTCAGAGGGTCTGGCAATCTCTGACGTTGCCTGTGGGAAGATGCTCGCCTTTGCATTCCTCTGTGGAGGGAGGCCTTGTGGTGTGTAGCTATCACCCGCTTCCTGAAGAGGGTTCAGTACCCCCAAAAGGTTAAAAAGCCCTCTCTGAGATTCACAGAGGGTGGCTGCACTTAAACAGAGACGTGAGAAAAGAAGATAAAGAACTTTTTGGTTCACACAGGTGGTTTGGATAAAAGTCCTTGGCTCAGCAACAAGTGCCCAGAAGGTGGTGGTGATGTTCTGTTTTTCAGTATCTGGTCCCAGCCCTAGCTTTAATCCTTCCCAGGGGAACAGGTTTCCCAGCCAGGGCTGAGGGCAAGCCTTAAAGAAAGAAAAATAGGTAGCCAGACTTAGGGTCTCTGGGGCATGTCCCTAGGCCCCCCCTAGGTCCCATGACTGTATTACATACTTTATTTAGGTGAAGGTTTCTAGCACAATGTTTTTGTAGCAGGGTAACGTGTTCTATCACTAACAGTTCCATTTAGTTCATGAAATTTAAAGTGATTTTTGTGTGTATGTAGCAGGAGATGGTACAACACACCAGCAAGTTCTTTTCAAAGTTATCTTGGCAACTCTCCCCTCAAATAAACTACGCTTGACCCTTGAACAACAGGTGTTTAAAATGTATGAATCCACTTACGTGCAGATATTTTTGATACATACAGTAGAGTACCAGGAACATTTTTTCTTCCTTTCAATTTTCTTAACATTTCTCTCTAGCTTACTTTATTGTAAGGACATAGCATATGATACATATACAAGGTATGTGTTGATCAATTGTCCATGTTATCAATAAGGCTTCTAGTCAATAATAGGCTATCAGTAGTTCAGTTTGAGGGGAGTCAAAGTTATATGCGGATTTTCAACAGTTGGTGGGGGGATTGGCACCCCTAAGCTCCCCACCCTACATTGTTGAAAGGTCAACCATTATTACTACATAACAATGGGTGACCTGACTTTTTGCGATTCTGTTACTAAAAATTATCAAATGCAATGTGTGCTGGCCCACCACTGGACCTTTTTAGAGGGTTATTTTTGTTTTGCTATATGGTTTTTAAATAGTTGACTTGTGCCAATGGCCAGGCCTAACACATAAGTTCATGGAACTGTAAAAGTATAGCACCCTAGTGACATTTTGGGAGGAGGGAGGCAAAATCTGAGAATCAAGATCCAGCAGAAGCATTTTACAACTTAGCAAAATGTGCACAAGGGAGGAAAAAAAAAGCAAAAAACCCCAAAAAACAAAAACACATGCACAAAAAAAGCAAAACTCCCCAAAGCTCAAAGGTTAGCAGTTCATTCATTCAGCAGGACCCTGAGGATGTGAACCACAAACAAGTAATTTTGATGAACAGAAGATGTCAGAAAATATTTGAAATATGTATAGTGTTCACAGAAGGCAGAGTAACTGAGATGGTAAAGAGGGGATGGGTCAGGAACATGGAGGGTCCCTACCCTAGGGAAACAAAAGGCACCGAGAAGGGAGAAAGGTCTATAGGCAAGGATCTGGAGCCCTTTAGCACAGATAATCTGGAGGAATAATGATAACACCTTTTAGACCTCATCTTTTTTTTTCATTTTTCTTTTAAGGTTTACTTTTCCATTGTAAAGAACATTGTTTATCTTGACTCTCTCAAACATACAAAAACATTTTCACAAACACAAATTTTAGTACGCCTGTTGGCACTTGACGCATTCTGACCCGGACTCACCAGAAGGTTGCCAAGGCCCTCGTAGTCAAATACTTTGCTCTCATATGTCTCAGCCAACTCTTTGCTCAGCTTGATGGCCTTCTCCCACATCTTTGGAAAAAGAAAAGTAGGGTTATGAGTGGTGAACAAAGTAGTCACTGATCTGTGAAAGCCATGGGAGAGCCTCTGACAATGACTAAGGACTCGGGTGGGTTGAGTTTCTGCAGACATTCTCACCACGCCTCACCTCCTGGATCAATGAAACCTTTTCTTCTGACATGATAAAGCTACTGTATCTTGGCTGCTTTGCCAGGGGCATCTTCTGTAATTATGTTTGCAAGAACATGAAGAATGCTATGTGTCCCAAACAAAGCAATACTGCATTTAAAGGGCAAAGCATTAAGACCACTGAGAGCAGGGATCCCTGGGTGGCGCAGCGGTTTGGCGCCTGCCTTTGGCCCAGGGCGCGATCCTGGAGATCCGGGATCGAATCCCACGTCGGGCTCCCAGTGCATGGAGCCTGCTTCTCCCTCTGCCTGTGTCTCTGCCTCTCTCTCTCTGTGACTATCATAAATAAATAAATAAATAATTTATATATAAAAAAAAAAGACCACTGAGAGCGGAGAGGAACCGCTGGGTTGCAAAGCCTGGGTTCCGAGAGCATGAAAGTCTTGTTGGGGGGGAAAGGAAGTTGGTGTTGGCTCTAGTGCTGGTTCTGGGGTGTGTGTGTGTGTTTTGTGTGCATGTGTGCTTTGAATCAGATTGTTTGGGAGGAGGGGAAAAATGGAAGAAAGGCTAACTATTCTGTTGTCTAGAACTTAAGTAAACTGTTTCTCCAATTTTGAGTGTTAATTCCCTACTTCTGACCAAACTACCTACTTCGTCAAACAGAGTTTTAAGAAAAATGCCTTAGAGTACTTGTGACCATGTAAGTTATGGCCTACTTCACATATTTGGTATCTGAGCCAAATAATAACACAGCATCTGATAATTTCCTACTTGATTCTTATTAACCAGGTGCTGTGTTCCATTGTTTCTGACTGCTGAAGGAATGTATGTGCAGTTCATATACAGTTGTAAAACATTTTTAAATTAAGTTTTTTAAAATCAACATTTGCCAAATTTACCCCCTTTGCAATTTTAGGGCCTGGATCTCTGAAAAGGCTCTGAAATGTGCCATATGGAAATCATTCCAGATTGATTGGGCCTGGAGCAGGAAGCCCATTCAACAGTATCAAAAAAGTCAAGTTCTCTCATTTCCCCAAATACTAGTTATGCCAGTTAACAGGGAGACAGCTTGGCACACAGCTTCTCAAAGTGTGGTCCCTGGTCTCTGGGAGTCTCCAAGAGACCTCATGGGGTCCATAAGGTCAAAATTATCATCTTAGTAATAATAATATCATTTGCCTTTCTCAATCCTCATTCTCTCATACAGTGGGGTTTTCCACAAGCTACAGAACATGTAATACCACAGTAGGCTGATTGTAGAAGCAGATAAGAGAATTCTGCGGTCTCCTACTAAGCCAGATGCTAAAGAGATGTGTTGCAAACATGTCAAAGTCACTCATATCACTAATTGTTTTGGAAAATATAGTAATTTTTAATAAATATGATTATATTAATAGTGAAAAGTTTGTTGTTAACAAATAAGTAAATACTTATGATTTTCTGTCTAATTTCTAAGTATACTTTTAGTATCAATAGATATAATCCATGTGAAAACAAGCTCTTTGGGATCCTTGATAATTTTAAGAGGGAAAAGGGGTACAGAGACCAAAGAGTTTGAGCAAATATACTTGCTCTCTGGGCCTCAAGTTTTTCATCTGTGAAAAAGATATATCTACCTAATAGGGCTTTAGGGTGAATTAAACTGGGGAAAAAAAGTCTGGAAATTACCCCAAACAGTAACTAACACTAAATAGATGGTAACTATTTTATCATGATGATTATCTGCCTTTTTTTAAAAATTAAGTTTTGTTTCGTTTTTATTTAAATTCGTTAGTTAACATTTAGTGTAATATTATTTTTAGAAGTAGAATGTAGTGATTCATTATTTACATATAACACCCAGTGCTCATCATATCACGTGCCCTCCTTAATGCCCATCACCCAGTTACCCCATCCCCCCAACTCCCCTCTAGCAACCCTCTGTTCTCGATAGTTAAGAGTCTGTTTTATGGTTTGCCTCTTTCTTTTTTTTCTCCTATGTTCACCTATTTTGTTTTTTAAATTCTGCATATAAGTGAAATCATGATGGTTATTTGTCTTTCTCTGACTTATTGTGCTGAGCATAATACACTCTAGCTCCATCCTGTCATTGCAAATGGTAAGGTTTCATTTATCCATTGCAGATATATACCACATCTTCTTTATCCATTCATCAGTTGGGAGACATCTGCACTTTTTCCACAATTTGGCTATTGTTGATAATTCTGCTATAAACACTAGGGGAGCGTGTACCCTATTGAATCACTACGTTTCTATCTTTTGGATAAATACCTAGTAGTGCAATTGCTGTGTCATAGGGTAGATCTATTTTTAACTTTTTGAGGAACCTTTATACTGTTTTCCAGAGTGGCTGCAGCAGTTTGCATTCCCACCAACATGCAAGAGGGTTCCCCTTTCTCCACATCCTCACCAACATCTGTCATTTCCTGTGTTGTGAATTTTAGCCATTCTGACAGGTGTGAAGTGATACCTCATTGTAGTTTTGATTTGTATTTCCCTGATGATGAGTGATGCTGAGCATGTGTCTGTTGGCCATCATGTGTCTGTTGGCCATCTGGAAGTCTTCTTTGGAAAAATGTCTATTCATGTCTTCTGCCTATTTCTTAACTGGATTATTTGTTTTCTGTGTGTTGAGCTTGGCAAGTTCTTTATAGATTTTAGATACTAACCTTTTATCAGATGCGTCATTTGCAAATATCCTTTCACATTCCAAAGGTTGCCTTGGCTTATTTATTTATTTAACCAATAGGTTCTACTACTAAATCAGGAATAGTGGGTGGAGGCAGCAGTCTGTAAGAACTTTCCAGGCCTCTGATACAGTCAAATCTAGGATCTGTTTTGTTTTGATAGCATGCGGGATTTTTCTTCCTCCCCCTCCCCCTTCTGTATTTTTTCCCCATTTTAAAAGCCTTTCAGCTAGATATGCTTTGTCCAATTGATCAGAGACTCAATAACTTCCTGCTTAGTTCACATGTTTATCTTTTTGAGAGCCCCTGGGCAATTAGGTTGCTTGTTACCTACGGTGCTAGGCAAGTGGTGGCCTGGGGGTGGGATGTGTACCAGGTGCAGGCCAACAATCTCTAGAGAATACACTGAAAATGATGGTCCTAGCTCCTGGCATTCAGCAATATTAGAAAGGTAAATTACGGTTATGGAAAGTGGGGCCCTGGGCTCCACTGGGCTAAGTGTCCTCAACATAACTGATTTTTACTGACTTCTTTACCTTAATTTATCTATCCATCTGCTCTCCCATTAAAAATAACAGAATTCAGGCAGCCCCGGTGGCTTAGCAGTTTAGCACTGCCTAAAGCCTAGGCTCTGATCCTGGAACCCAGGATCCAGTCTCATGTCGGGCTCCCTGCGTGGAGCCTGCTTCTCCCTCTGCCTGTGTCTCTGCCTCTCTCTCTCTCTCTCAATCTCATAAATAAATAAAATCTTTAAAAAAATAGATAAAATAAATAAAAATAACAGAATTCAAAGAAACACATGGGGATAATAAAAAGTCATGAGTCATTGTTCTAAAATCAAGAATTTGATCTTTGTCCCAAGTTTCTGGGAGGGAGCTTCTAAACCCCTGGAATTTCTCCAGTGAAGGGAGTGTCTTTGTTGTTTCTGACGGGCCCCTCAGACCACACCTGAGCTGATACTAAAGAGATGACTCACAGTGGGTCCCTAGATAGTCTCAGAATGGGGGCTGGCCTTGCCAGAACTGTAGTCTGTAGTCCGTGGGATTAGAAGATTGGGGCCTTGAGCAGCATGTATCAGCTGGATCTTCAGGGAGTAAAGGGCTTCTGGAGACTGAGTTCTTCACTCATGCAGCCAAAGATTCAACCAATGAAGCCTTCAAATGGAACCCCCCCAAAAAATGCACAGAGGTTCAGGTGAGATTCTTAATGGTGGACACATCAATTTGCTGGGAGGGTGACATGCCCTGAATCCACAGGGAGAGGGCACAGAAGCTCTGCATTTGGAATGCTCCTAGACCCTGCCCTGTGTATTTCTGCAATAGGCTGGTTCTGATTTGTGTCCTTGAAGATAAAACTGTGATTGTAAGCATGACATCTTACCAAGTTTTGTTAGTCGTCCCAGCATATTATCAAATTTGAAGGGTTCAGAGGACACCCTCCCCCAATTTATCGTTAACTGGCGATACATGTGGGTGGTCCAGAGACCCCTGAACTGTGGCTGGTGTCTGAAGTGGGGGCAGTCTTACTAAGGACTATTTGCTTAACCTGAGGGATCTATGCTGTGGGTAGTTAGCATCAGAACTGCACTGTGAGGGGCACCTGCGTGGCTCTGTCCATTATGCATCTGTCTTCGGTTTGGGTCATGATCTCAGGGTCCTGGGACAGAGCCTCATGTTGGGCTCCCTGCTCAGTGGGGAGCCTGCTTCTCCCTAGCCCTCTGTCCAGTCCCCTGCTTGTGCATGAACATGCGCTGTCAAATAAATAAAATCTTTAAAACAAAACAAAACAAAACAGCGATATTGCTGTCAATGTCTTACTTCCCCCAACATGAAAACAAACAAATGAACACTCACTTTGCCTTTGTCAAAGTATGATATGATTTCTTGATACAGCTTCTCTTTAAGCTCTTGCTGGGTATAGACATAGTAACTGTCCCTCTGAAGCAAATGGGGTACGCAGGGTTTATCAGACCACTGAAAAACAAAGGGAGCAAAAGAAATTAATGTAATGCGCTGATTAATTAAATGAATTAACCAAAGGCAGTCAATGTAACAACTATTCGGCCAATAAAAGTTCACAGACATATTTGTATATATTTTTGATTCGGCCACATTATTTAGATTATTTGTTAAACAAAAAAGTTGCCCCCCTACCACAATACACATGTCAGCTCCAAAACAAGTGTCATGCCCAACGGGCAACCACTGGAGGCATCCCTGTGAAAAATCAGGAATGAGGTGAGGTTGCCAACCAGCATAACTGCTGTTCACCGAAGGTATCACTCAGGCAACGGGATGAAAGAAAAAAAAAAAAAGAAGAAGTATAAAAACGGGAAGGAAGGGGTAAAACTACGAGCATGTGCAAACACAGACTGTATTCTTCATAATCCATTCCTTCATGAAGCGTGCTAACTAAAAAACTATCAGAGATAATGAGAGAAATAAGTAGTGGTATAAAAATTAACAAATTTAGAAATTTACAGATGCATTTCCCATGAAAAGATAACCATGCTGAAGATAGAAGACCCCAACAAGAATAAACCCCAAATGAGAAGGTAACCAAGCAAACAACATGAAATGTACATAAGGCCACTGAAAGGTACACTTAAAAATAGCTAAAACAGTAAATTTTATGTGTATTTTCCCATAATTAAAAGGGAAAGATATCTAGGAATCAACTTAACAAAGAATATGCAAGACTTATCTACTAAAAAGTTTAACACACCATTGAAGGGCATAAAAAACAAATGGAAAGTCCTATCATGTTCTTGGGTAAGAAAATGCTACTCCAAAAACATGGAAATTCTTCCTCTATCAATGTTTAAATTTCAAGATTCCAAAATCTACATGGAAAAATAAACGAAAAGGAATAGGGTGCAAACTGGAAAAAGAATAGCAATGAAGAGTAAGTGCCAGGTAATGAAACACACTATAAAACAGTGTGGAGGGCAACCCGGGTGGCTCAGCTGTTTAGCGCTGCCTTCGGCCCTGGCCTGATCCTGAAGACCCCGGATCGAGTCCCACGTCGGGCTCCCTGTGTGGAGCCTGCTTCTCCCTCTGCCTCTCTCTCTCTCTCTCTCTCTCTGTCACTCATGAAGATATAAATAAAATCTTAAAAAATAAAATAAAACAGTGTGGCACTGGTGTGTGAACAGAGCATTCATCCAGACCATGCAGAACCTTACAAAATGTAGTAAGAGACCTGCCTTATGTAGCGATTTACTACATGACACTGATGGAATATCATCCCAATGAGGAAAATATGGGCTATACTTAATACACGGCATCCCTAAATTCAGTAGCTAGCTGGGAAGAAAGAGTTGCATCCACACCTCATACTTGTTTCCAGGGTAGAGAGTTAACTTTCTGAGCACAACAAATGAAAAGACCTACAGTCACAGACACTCTTTGTGATTATGCCACAGTCAACATGTCCTCCCTCCATCCCATACAGGATAAGCTTCTCAGTGTTCTGAACTTAAATATGAATTGTGAATGACTGCCCTGGGGGATGGTGAGGCACAGGACTCCTATTTTTAATGACAAAGCTAAGAACAATGCACACGTGTTATTTTTAACATAAAAATTAAGAATGCTACAAGAAAATTAATTGCTAGTGGCAAGAATGGAGACAAGGAGATATAATAGGGGGCTACCGTCATGCTCTAGGGGAGAGACAATGGACCACAGGACAACAGCAGTGAAGATAAAGAAAAGTGGATAGAAAAAGAAGTAAAATCAAGATCTCTCAAAGATCTCTGCACTGCCGTGTTCACTGCAGCATTATTCACAGTAGCCAAGAGATGGAAACAACCGAAATGTCCAACAGTGGAAAAAGAAGATGTGGAATATAGATGCAATGGGATGTCATCCAGCCACGAGAAGGAAGGAAATTCTGTCATTCTGGGCCACGTGGATGGACCTTGAGGGTATTACAAGTGAAACAATTCAGACAGAGAAAGACAAATTCTATAGGACAGCTTTTATATGTAGACTCTAAAAAAACCCAAACACATGAAAACAGTGGGCATGGTGGTGGTTCCCAGGAGCTTGGGGGGCAGAGGCACTGGGGAGAGGTTATTGAGACAGAAATCTGGGAGATCTAATGCATAGTGATTACAGACAATACTGGATTACAAACTTCAAATTTTCTAGGAAACTAGATCTTAATTGTTCCTACCTCAGAAAAAATAAATAAATAAAAGTATGTGCCTTGATAGAGGTGTTCACAGATGCTACAGGTCCACGGTTCTAGCTTGGCCTTGACAAGGAAGGATGAATCAAAGATGACAACAGGCATTTGCCTGAGGGCCTGGGTAGACGGAGGTGGCCTTTAGTGAAATGGGAAGAAAGAAGAGGTAGGAATGGATCCAAGAGCACAGTGGGGAATAACAGCTTCTGTTACTGCCATGTGAAGTGTGAGTCGTCTATTAGTCATCCAAAGACTGTGATGTGGGAAGAACAGGTAATACATGAATGCAAAGTCAGAGGACTGGTCAGAGCCAGAAATAATTACTTGGGATCCATGACATATAGATGCATCTATATCCATGGCACACTACTTTAATTAGTAAGAGAGTCTAAGTAGGGAAATACTGCTACATTCATTTACAACTCATTTCTTGGCAGTTCTAGAATTTTTTTTTACATATATTAATCAACATGTATTTTATTTCCTCCATTAGACTGTCAATGGCTAGACAGACCTGTAAGCTGTGCTCTGCTTCCAAAGGATTTTTAAATAAACGATAATCGACACTTTCCCAACCTCAGTCAGAAAATTAACTGCACTTGTTTAGAAAGCATACGACTGCTCTTGGATAAAAGAATCTCCCTTGAATAAGGCTTTTCCATAAAAAATCATGAAGTGTGTAGGATCGGGTCCCAAAGGGCTGGACAGTTGACTTCCACCCAATGGAAATAAAGCATCCCTGACCCACTCACCTGCAGAAGCTCTGCATGTAGGAGGAGGGTGTAGGCGGCCTCTGTGTAGTTTTCAGAGTCTCGGTGCAAATCCCGCAGCTTGTACAAGTACCTGGTCAGAAAAGGAGGAAGGAGGCACTCTGCCATTCAGGTTCAGCTCACTCCACAACCAGGCCACAGCCCACTTCCCCACCTTTTCTCTCTTACTCCTTTCTCATAGCTGAAGGGATCCAACGCTTCCCTCTTTCCCTCCCCTCTATCCCTCTGTGCTGTTTCTTGCCTATGTGTCTTTCCCACTCCATCTCCTCTACTTTGTACTCACCCTTTAACCCATCGGTGCTTAATTTTTTAAAAAAAAAATGTCATGGACCCCTTTGGGAAGCTCATAAGAGGTATGGAACCTCTCCTCAAGAAAATGCATGTAGTTCAAGTCCAAGTTTGTTTCATGCTCAGGGCTTCCGGCACCCCACGCTGACAGTCCTTGACAGGTCCATGTCTATCTATGCCTCTGCCCTATGCAGCCTTTCCTGACTGCTCTGGCAGGTCTTCTATCCTTCCCCAGAACCCCAACACCATCCTCCCTCTGCACCCCCTCAGACTGTACTCATGTATCTGTCCAAAGAGTTGACCTTTTCAGGGGGAAGGGGGCATCTCATATACTTTTGGTGTCTCTCAAAGGAGCAAGCATGGTGTGGGGACTGAGTATTTGCTTACTGAAGAAATAAATAATAAAGCCATGACATAAATGGCAAAAGCAGAAGTCTCCTCCAGCTTACCTTATGTATATGTCTTCTCTCTTCTTTTCCTTATAAAAATTCTACCAAAAAAGGGGGGAGCAAAAATCCCAATGTAAGTCAAAGGTTATTGAGAAGCTAGCTATGGGAATGGCCAAATCACTATTTCCGTTCTTCAACAGTGTCATTTTCCCAAAGGTTATTGTCTACCTTTAACAAATACCCCCACAAAGAAAGGGAGGGACCATTTATAAAGGTAAGTTGAAGAATTTTTTTAGGACCATGCATTTAAAAAATGTGAGGGAAACCCTCTATGTGAACAGAGAGCCAACTGATACTCAAGTCAACTCATGGTCTCTTTTCTTCCTCAAGGAGACAGTGGAATCAGGCTCTTCATTTATATTAAGCAGAGGAATGCATGGCAGCCTAAACTTCTGAGGTCTGTGGTCCCAGTTGCATATATAGGGAAAGGCAAGACCACAGAGTTCTATACCATGAGTATTCCATAGACTCTCTCCTCACGGTATAGTGTTTCTGAAGCATATTTGTCTATGCCCAATTTCTCCAACAACAAAGCAACCACATATAAACAAGAAGAGAAAAACATGAAGGGTGGCTTTTGAGTAAGAGTTGAGCCAAGACCTTTTGTTTCACTCTTCATCCCTATGTCTGTGGGAACTGATACCCGAATGCAAAGCTGAGTCAGCAGTCCCAATTGGACTCAGCAGGACACAGACTCCACTGAGGTGGCCCCAGGATACCTTTGAGTCTGTGAGGTCTACTCAGAACTGAGTTATGCTTGCGGGGGTGACCCAGCAGTGCCCTCTCACCAACCTGGGGGCCTGGCACCTACCAGCACATTCACAGTACAGCTCATGCGGTTCTCCTTGCTTTCATCATGCATGATAATGGTTCTGTAGTCCAGGAGGTGCTCTAACAGGCTGCTGACCAGGAATGCAAACACTTCTCCAGAGCTGGAGAGGTATTTATGTTTCCGGCAATGTTCTAGGAGCCTGGAAGCGGGGAAGCGTAGATAAATACCCATGTTCCATACTGTCTGGCATTCCAGTGCAGCTAATGAGTACCCTCTAAGGGCCTAGCAGCAGGTGGCGCCAGACTAGGAAATACACACCCTTCCTGTAACATCGTCCTATCCCACGGCTTGGCTTCTGCTGTGCCTCCTAGTGACTCAAGTTCTGCTTTGTCTTCAGGGCTTTGGCTCAAGTCCCATTGTCACTTAGAATCCCAGCCCACAATGCCCATCTTTGAAGCTCTATCTGTACTTGTTTTCTGCTTTTGTCTTTGCCCAAAAGATTTGTGTATGCTATCTGATCCATCTTTTTATGTCTTTATTCTCCCTAAAGCCTAGCACTTCAGGACATCCTGTGGGCATTCTGGAAAGCATTGAATCAATGCACAACCTAGAGGACCCTAGCAATCTAGTGCACATGCACACACGTGCCTCTTCAGACAAAACTGCTATTTAACAACAACAAAAATGCAAAACTATAAATAAATAAGCTGAGGATAAACTTTTGAGCTAAATCTTCTCTTGTTGGACCCAAATAGAACAAAACTATTCTACAGGGGCTTCTTAGATTTGACAACTAGAAGAAAACTTGGAGAACAAGAGAAAAAAAAGAGAAAGAAATGGGTCCAAGGAATTAGCGCAGACTTTAGGATTATTCTTGAACACTGGAGATTCGTATAGTCATATTTTTCTGAGTTAGTGATTCAGGAAGAATGAAGAAAAAAAAACTTACAGAGAAAACTCATCTTGGGAATAAAATAGGGGTAGTTTATCATTTGTAAATTTTTTTGTATATATAAATATATATATACACACACATATATATATTATGTATGTATAGATGTATATAATTTTCCCATTTGACTCCTGTACAAGATCTGAATATAAAAATCATAATGTGGGAAGGTTTGAAACACAAGCACATAGACCTAATGGAAACATGATGAAAAGATCAATGAACAGGTCTTGTCATCCACTAAAAGAAAAATCAGAAAGACTTCTGGTTCTTGAAAATATAGCTGAATCATCAACTCCATTCCATTTCTCAGCATCCAGTGTGCTGGCTCCTAAAATCTTAAAAAAACAAAAAAGAAAACCAACTTGCGAGTTCCCTGTCCCCAAGCATACTCTAGCACATGCCACTCCCTGGAAAGAGGTGGGCAACAAAGTGACAGAGGCATAAACCCAATCAACAGGTGGCACAGCTGGTCAGTATCACAAAGGCTCAGAGGACATGAGAAATGAGTAGTCTAGGTAGTGAGCACCACGGAGGATGAAGGTCCTTTCTTGAGGATGGCAGCAGTGACCAGCACAAACCGAGAGCAGCGACACTCCATTAGTATGGAGTTGGTAACAGACACTCTGCTAAACGAGATTTAAAGATTGTCTAACGCCAACATCCAAGTGCTTTTAACCGCCTTTTTATATCGTAACCCCACATGCGCAAAGGAGAATTCAGAGGCCAGGAGGGGTGTGTGTGGTATGTGTGGGTGGGTAGGGAGTGGCGGTGATACTGTGAGCAAAGGAGGGAAGAAGAACGTTAGATGTGGGCGAGGTGGGTAGGGCAGTGCAAAGACCAACCTGGCTGGAGATCTAACAGGTGTTCTCAGAAGCCCTCGATAGGGCATATGGTATTTTTAAATGTAAAGTGGACTTTGAAATGTTTTTTCCTTCCTCCTTTAAATTGGTGCTTTGAAGCCATAATTAGAGGCGCTGGCACTTTTGGCGAAGTTCAGCGATTCAAACATGGGCAGAATGCCATCGCTTTGTACCTCCCCCCCTCTCCTCCATCTGCTCTGTTCTCGAGGGGCCAGGCTGGCCAGGAAAACATGGACATTTGATTCACATCAGACAAACAAACATCAGCAGTGGACGGTGTAAACTCCATTAATCCCACCGAGAACCATTTGTGGTGGTGACCCCCGTGCTTCTGGGACTACTCAACTGGGTTGTAAGCACAGCAGAAGCCTGCTTCCCTCCATCATTAAATGATGCGTCAACTTGAAGCTTTGTTTCTGAAATACTCACAGTTTTTCCAGAAGGATCTTGTATTGTTCATCTCCTCTGCCCCCTTCTACCTCTTGGTCCAGCTTTGTGATCAACTCATTCTCAAACTGAAAGCAGAAGCAGAATTTCACAGGAGAATGCCTGGTGTCCGTAGAAGAGGACATGCAAGACACCCAGCCAAGCTTTCTAGACTCGACACAACTCCTTTATTGAACTGTGAATGCTTTCCAACATGGTATAGGGGAAGATCATGCTTCCTGTCATCTGTTAATCATGTACTAGGGTCCGACAGAAACTCTCTAAACAAGTCTCACATTACTGTGTCCTCTGCTTTACATTTGCAGGAAAAAAAAACCAGATATTAATTTTCTGTTTTGACAAACCTTAATGATTCTAATGATCTATTTTATTTTTCTTTCTTGTCTAAGCCCTGGCAGTGGAATTTACTTTTGCAGAGCTTCACAGCTACAAAATCTTCCTTTCAATACCAATATGCTAGATAGATAAAGAAACTGAGGCATAAAGAGAGAGATCATATAAACTAGGGAAGGGAAGGGAAGAGATCATATAAATGAGGGAAACTTCAAAACAAGAGATGATCACAGCATCATTCCCCTAATCTGGCATTATACTGTATATACACAGCTATACTGCAACAGACAGGTTTAAAATGGGTGATGTCAAATTTTAATTACCCAGAGATGCAGAGCTATTTAGAAAACACATGTAGAAAAACAACGTTTCTCAGCCGTGGGATAGGTTATTCAATTCTGTCTCTTAATTGCTTTACAAAATGAAAAGTAAATAGTTTTTAGACCAACTTGGATTAGTCTAAAATTACTTGGGCTACTGCTTCTCTATATTAAAAGAAAGCAAGTCAGAGCTGACTATCTGCGCCTTCAGAAGATTCCAGCTCTACCACTTCTTACCATATGGAAATTGCCGTTTCCGCTAAAGTTGAACTCACACTGCATCATGTCAAAGAAAATGGGGATAGTGGCTTTCCGGAGCTCGACTTCAGGGGTCAGTGTGACCTCCAGAATGGGACCCACCATGGAGGGGATAAATTTGATTTTGTGGGGACCTGAAATGAAAGTAAGTGAGGATATTAAAAAGTGATTTCAACTGCAAGTCAAGTGTCACCATGTTCCTCCACAGGGCCAGAACAGGAAAAGGTCATGTGGGTAAATCAACTCAGTCACTTACGAGTGACTAAGTATCATATTCTGACAACATGTGGATGTCATAATCTAAGATCTACAAGTCAACTTTCACTTCTAGACAGACAAATCAATCTTGGGGTTACTGGGAATTAAAATCCAAGAGAACCCATGGTGGGATGCTTATGACACAGAAGTTGTGCAGGAGCAGGTTCAAGGTCATACACTCACCCAGGTTATACCACATGTCACGGATTCTGAAACCGATTTCCTTTCTCATGTCCCCATATCTAGGAAGAAGATCATAAACAAGAGAAAGATCTGCAGTGGAAATGAGCACATATGTTAAAATGATGAGGCAAGGAAAAATAGCCTGTTGCTCCTCTAGGTCACATTTAAGACAGGCCTGAGGCGAGGTCACTCTAAGAGACACAGTTAATACCAAAAGAAGCCCCAAAAAAGAAATGGGCCACATGGAGAGGGGACTTTACTAGCAGGAAGGGGCCAAATGCAAATGCTGAAAAATAACTGACAAATGAAATTGTCAAACTTAGCAAAGAGAGAAGGGTGAGGAGTATTCTGGCCACTGCTAAGCAAAGAAACAAAGCATAACAAGCAGTAATGAAAAGGAAGATGAATGAGGCATGATGTACATGGCCATGTGACTGATGTCTAACCAACATGCTGATTTTATACATTTTTATTTGAGAAACCCACATCCATACCACTATGTTCTTCAGAGTACTCACACTGAGAAACTCTAGATATACCTTCTCAGTTGAGAAACTTCTCATGTTCTATTTAACTACACAGCCTTGTAGGGTCCTTGGGGCACAGAAGGCTTACTGTTCTTATGTAGGAAGTACAAATATACACAGAGTACATAAACAGATATGTTTATAAACATATATATATATGGTATTAATATTTCAGGGGTGGTGTGATTAGAAAAACAATTCTGAAAGGTTAAAAGAGAGAGAGAGAGAGAGAGAGAGAGAAACATTGATTTAGACAGTGGTTAATGACTAGAGAAGAATCAAAATCACCTGGATCTCTCTTAAAGAATACATAGGCCTGAGGCTACCCCAACCACAACCACAAGAAGCTGGGGGCCAAGAAAACTAGAAATAGGGCAGGTCAAAGTCGATATGGCCAATGTTCCCAGGGATCTCTAGTAAGGACCTATGGCCCATCCTACAATCATGTTTCTACATATTCTACTCATTGCACTAAACATTTTTTTTTTCAAATTCCTCCTTTGTAAATTTAGAAACCAGTATAAAATTCTTTTTAAAAAAAGATTTTATTTATTTATTCATGAGACACAGAGCAAGAGAGAGGCAGAGACACAGGTAGAGGAAGAAGTAGAGACACAGGCAGAGTGAGAAGCAGACTCCATGCAGGGAGCCCAACATAGGACTTGATCACGGGACTCCAAGATCATGCCCTGGGCCAAAGGCAGGAGCTACACTGCTGAGCCATCCAGGGATCCCCCCAGGATAAAATTCTTATGTAAAGGCTTCTTGTACAAAAACAAAACAAACTTTTCTTACTATTACATTCCAACAAAAATACCTAATTTTATTATTTATATTAGGTAAGCATATATAGTTAATGTCTGGCACATAATAAGCAATATATGATAACTACTATTGTTTATTAAGACCACTGTTGATGCTACTTATAAAAATAAGAGAACTCCTGAAAAAATTTTATTCATATTTCTGTAACATTAGTAAAAATGTTTTTCCCAACGTGCATCTTTGCTCATATGCATATATATATATATTTTTTTTTATTTATTTTAAGATTTTTTTTTTTTATTTTTTATTTTTTTTTTTATATATTTTTTTTATTATTTTTATTTATTTATGATAGTCACAGAGAGAGAGAGAGAGGCAGAGACACAGGCAGAGGGAGAAGCAGGCTCCATGCACCGGGAGCCCGATGTGGGATTCGATCCCGGGTCTCCAGGATCACACCCTGCGCCAAAGGCAGGCGCCAAACCGCTGCGCCACCCAGGGATCCCTATTTTAAGATTTTATTTATTTATTCATGAGAGACACATACAAAGAGGCAGAGATATAGGCAGAGGGAGAAGCAGGCTACCCGTTGGGAAGCCTGGGATTAGGACTTGAGCCGAAGGCAGATGTTCAACCATTGAGCCACCCAGGTGCCCCAAAGAAAAGCCTACAGCACCTAGTATTCCCCGGTGGTCTCCCATACAAGTACTAACCAGGCCCAACCCTGCTTAGCTTCCAAGATCAGACAAGATTGGGTGTGTTCAGGGTGGTATGGCCATAGACCATATATATTTTATATAACATGTACTTAGTCACATTTTTCTCTGATCAAAACCAGAATCAAAAAAACAAAACAAACAAACAAAAAAACCCAGAATCATTAATCCTAACTAACCACTTTATATACCAGACGTGGTGTCAACTAACTTCACTCTTGAGTGTTTAACCAAAATCAAATCCATCACTGAAAGAAGTTATGTCATTTAAGATAGTCTAAGATTAAGATATCCATCTTAAAAATCTATTTTCTCTCCATACCCACCCCATAGGGAAATCTGGAAAACCAGTTTTACTTTTATCTTTGAGATTTAAATCTCAATCTCTTAGCCACCAATCTGTGTTTTAGGGAGAAACCAGGGGTAGACAGATACCATAGAGTTTGCCTAGAATCTCAGACATCTTGGCAAGGGAACAGAGCTCAAGTTTCATAGCCTTTAAATGATAAATTTCTCATGTTCTATTTAACTACATAGCCTTGAGTTTCCAGGCTCTCCATGAACTCTGAAACAGACCGGAAAGGAAAGCAATGAAAAGCTTCCCTAAATCTCTCATCGCTCCTGGACATATGTCCATGTTGAATTCCGAGCCAGGAATCTGGAGGGCATTTTTAGGGGATGTGTTAGTCTTGGCTCCTCTGCTGAAGTGACTTGAGAGGTACAGAGTGGGGCCAAAGAACTCTGCTTTGTGAAGTATGAGTGGGAGAGGCGTTGCGCCTGCAATTTGGGTAAGCTGCCAGCAGATGGGCAGCTGTTCTTGGATGGAGGTGGGAGTGCTGGCCAGCCTCAGCACCTCTCCAAGTATAGATGCCACTTAAAAAAACTGCAATGGGGGCGCCTGAGCCTTAAGTGTCTGCCATTGGCTCAGGTCATGATCCTGGAGTTCCAGGATTGAGTCCCGTATCTGGCTCCTGGCTCAGCAGGGACTCTGCTTCTCCCTCTGACCCTCCACCCATCTTGTACTCTCTTTCTCTCTCTCTCAAATAAATAAAATCTTAAAAATTTTTTAAAAGCCTTAAAAAAGAAAATATTTAAAATTTCGATGACTGATGGGTTGAAAAGAGACATGATCCAAGGAAATTTGAAGTCTATTAAGTGATAACATTAAGACACATCTCACTAACAACATGGGGAGCCCCTGAATAGTTCATTTCTGTGATACCAAAAACCCTGCTCTGAAAAAAAATGGAAAAATCACCTTCCCAATCATAAGCAAGTTTAAGAGGACACTTACTTTTTGACAATTTTGCTGCGCTTGGCTTGAGAGAAGGTTTCAAGCTGAAGGGATTCATGGGTGAGAAAGGCTACTGCCAAATGGAAATAATTGTTCCAGAGCTGCTCAAAATTGATTGTGTGGGTGAAAAGAAATGGAAAATAACATTAGTAAGGGTCAGAGTAAAACGATGCCACATGGTAGAAATTTACTCACAGGGATTAAGGGAAAAAAGCAAAATAAAATCCACCAGGCTTCTTTTTCTTTCTTGTGTTTCAATTATTGAGCTCTGAAAATGTTAACACTTACTATTAAGTTTTTTTTTAAATCCAGACTATTATATTTGTCTTTACTCCTGAGATAGGGCAAAACTGCTGCCAGGAAGTGCACCTATTTATAGTAAGTATTTTGGCAATATGTATCAAAAGCCCTAAAATCCTGCCAAACTTCTGAAATAGTAAATACTTTAGGACTTTATCCTGGCAAAATAACCACGGGTATTTAAAAGTATTTAAAGCCAGGAAGGCCTTCACAGTGCTATTTAAATAACAGAAGATGGAAACAATCTAAATGTTCAGAAGAAAAATTTGGTTAAATAAATCATGGCCCAGCTATGACAGACTGTACTCAGCCATTAATAATATTGTGAGAATATTTAGTATCATTGAAAAGATGATAGAAAAAAATTAAATTTAATAGGTTGCCAAAGAACTGCACAGCTTGATTCCATTTTGGCATATATATATATATGCCATATATATGCCATTATATATATATATATATATATATATATATATATATTATGTCTAGCAAATATAGGTACTCCATTTTAGCTTATATATACACGCACACATACATATGTATATATAAATGCGTATATAATCTCTTCTTAGGACTCTCCACTTTTAAAGTCCCACAGATATAAACAAAGCCACATGACACAGCAAAAGCATGTCACCAACAAAATGTTTGAAGTACGGGAGCATGGAACTTGTCTACCTTCACCAGGCCTTAAAATGGTGCTCTGTGCAAATAAATAATATTTGCTGGATGGATGAAGATGGAGCTAGGAGTCACCTGCTTCAACCCAGTTTGGATTTTCACACAAGTGTGTATGTGAATCTCTCCTTAGAAATGAAACCACCTGCAGGCAGAGGAATGTCTGCGTGCCCATCTGCAAGCACATGCGTTTATGTGTATTTGTGTTATGTTCACAGCAGAGGGTAGAACTATTTGTATTTCAATTTACTTCTTTTTGCTTAGCTATATTTTCTACTCTTACTTTTTTTTTTTTTTTTTTTTTTTTACCTGTATTAGTTATATAGAAAGAAAAAAAATCAACTTGATTCTGTCTGGAGGAGAGTGATAGGAATGTGTGCTTTAGGGAAAGGAGAAAAAAACAGGAAAACTGTTTGCATTTGAAAACGATAAAACTTGAAGTGATGTTTTCCAAAATGCCACAGTTGTCTCACCATGACTGAGAATTCAAGGAACCCCTTAGGTGAGGAGATGCTTACCTGAAGTTCAAAGCTTGTCTGATCCATGAAGAACCTTGTGAGAACCTCAGTAAACTGATTTATCGCACGGAGGAAAACCCTGTGGGAAGGAAATACCAGATGAAGAAGGCAACTTTCTGCTCTTCAGAACATCTCCCACCTACGTGAAAAACCAAAGCAAAGCAAACCTAGACTCGGCAACATGAAATCTTTAGCTTTGTAAAGGTTATCAGAGACCAACAGCAGAGCAGACTGCAGAAGACATTCAAGTCAAGTTTCTAGAACTGACTCCACAAGCCACGCAAAGCTGCATCACAATTTAGCCCCTGGAGGGTACAGCTGAGATGATCAACCAGGTCTCCTGAGCCTCAGAGAGGGCTCTTTGCACTCTACTGCCATGCTTCCCTTTTCAAGTTTTGCGATACTGATGAGAGTTTTTCTTTAATCTGTCTGCATGTAGTTGGGAAGGATTTTTCTAAATCGGTATGTTAACAACTCTTAGGATAATTTATTTTTTAATTATTTTTTATTCAAATTACCAACATATAGTATAATACCCAGTGCTCATCCCATGAAGTGCCCTCCTTAGTGCCCATCACCCAATCACCCCATCTCCCCACCCACCTCCCCTTCTGCAACTGTTTGTTTCCCAGGGTTAGGAGTCTCTCACGGTTTGTCTTCCTCTTTAATTTTTCCCAACTCAGGTTCCCCTCCTTTCCCTTATAATCCCTTTCACTATTTCTTATCTTCCACGTATAAGTGAAACCATATAATGGTTGTCTTTCTCCAACTGATCTGTTTCACTCAGCATAATGCCCTCTGGTTCCATCCATGTTGTTGCAAATGGTAGGTATTCATCCTTTCTGATAGCTGAGTAATGCTCCTTTGTATAAAGAAGACCACATCTTCTTTATCCATTCATCTGTCGAAGGACATCCCAGCTCCTTCCACAGTTTGGCTATTGTGGACATTGCTGCTATAAACACTGGGGCCTGGGGTGTCCTGTCATTTCACTACATCTGTATCTCTGATGATTTACTTTATTAATAAAGTTCACAGAGAATTGTGAACATTATCTGTATATATATAATTCTGAAATCTTATTTCATATATATGTGTGTGTATGTATATATATTTCATATATATGTGTGTGTGTATGTGTATATATATACATATACATATGTATATATATATATATATAAAATTCTGAAACTTTGAAAAAAAAAATATATATATATTCGGTTCACTTTGCTCCTATTCATCAAGTATTTGTTATGGTCCAACAACTACAAAGCACTGGCTTAGGTCTGTCTTAAAGGAGAGGGTTCCTGGTCTTAAGATGTTTACAACTTGGTGGGGGTTACTTGCAACATGTAAATCTAACCATGACCCAACAAAGAATATGGACAATCCGGTGGAGGGGGTGTCAAAGAGGTACAGGACGTTAAAGGAGGAAAATGCCATATCCAGGTCAGAAAGGCTTCCTCTGCAGAGGACCTTGGATGGTGGCACGCTGACAGCTGGAGGTTGTGGGGAAAGCACTGCAGCAGGAAGATGCAGCCCAAGGGAAAGCATGGGACACGTTCAGGGACGGAGAACAGGCCACTCTGGTTGTAGCACACGTTGTATATGGAGTGAAATATTGGAAGGTAAGGCTAGAAAAGCAAGGTGAGCCAGGCCACAGAGGCTCTGCGTGGCATGATGATGAAGGCCACATGGAACCACGGGAGGGCGCTATGGGAGAGCCGAGACTAAGGATGGAGGGCAATCAAGAGACTACACCAGAGCACAGAGCTTGAGGCAGAGCAGCTGCCAACAGCCAGGGGAAAAGCAAGAATGCAAGTCCAGAACCGGCATCATAGCCACAGGAGGCTCCTTACTCTATAGAGTCCAGATGTCCCCCCAAGAGATTCAACAGCATTTTCCAAAGGTCAGGTTACTGGTCATGGTCATGATAGCCAAGGATTCAGAGTCAAATGCCTCAGGCCCGATCCTGGGCCGTCTCACCTGCTCTGTGTCATATTCATGACCATCCAGTCTTTGGCATACACATTCTTTCCAATCAGATCCTTAAACATGATGAAAGTTTCCATGAGGAAGTCCTGCAGAGAACAAAGGAGGAATGTTTGGGGTGGGGGGAACTAGGTGACAAGAGGGAGCATGGACAGCATGAGAACAAGATGTCCTTTGCCCATAATTACAGCCTAGCTTTTTAATAAGGTTTTTTTTTGGGGGGGGGGCACCTGGGTGGCTCAGTGGTTGAGCGTCTGCATTCAGCTCAGGTCGTGATCCTGAGGTCCTGGGATCGAGTCCTGCATCGGGCTCCCCACAGGAAGTCTGCTTCTCCCTCTGTCTATGTGTCTGCCTCTCTCTCTCTGCCTCTCTCACTCTCTGTGTCTCTTGTGAATGAGTAAATATTTTTTAAAAAATAAGAGTTTTTAAAGATCTGACAAGAACAAAAAAGCTGTCCACATTTTAGAAATAATAAAATTGAGTCTGTGAAAAGGTAAAAGACTGGCTTCAGGCTGTAGAAGCTGGGCAGTGGGAGAGGAGGAAAGAGAACTCAGGGTTCTGGACCCCAAATTTAGAGTCATGATGTCTTTAGTCCTCTGCTGCCAAGTTTGTCCAAACACATCTACTGCACTTAAAATGAATCTGCCGGAAATTGTGATACTTCTAATAACTCTGAGTCCAATTCTCCTTTATTATTATTAGAACAGAAGAAAGCCACTATAAATAAAAAGCAAAGTCATGATGCCTCCGATTCCAGGAATGTTCCCAGGGGTGGCTTGGGGGAAGGGTCCTGAAGGGTCCTTAAACAGCAATAGTTGGCAGTGGGTCGTGATGACAGTAATAACTAATAACAAAAGAACACAACAAAGTGTCTGGAAAACAGCTCTTATATTCAAAAGGGGGCTGTGATCAAAAAGCAACTTAGAACATTTTGGACTAAAATTCAAACCTAAAGTTTTGAAAGCTTTTTATTTATTAGTTAGTTAAATTTAGACATTTTCCACTCGGATTCCTAAGTTGGAAATCCAGGCCAATCCCTCTGGCACTAAACCGCACAGTTCTATCTTATGAATTACATCATGTAGCAGAAGGAAGGCGGGAGCTGGGAAGTCGGCGGCCTGGGTTCGATCTCTAATGATGTTCCTCTGAGATGGTGGGCATGATGGCCAACTTCCGGCACTTTGGATGCCACACAGCACAGGAGTGGGAATGGTCCTGGCTCTGAAGTCTGTGCCATGCTTGACTCTTCCTCCAGTTCAATGGAGAGTCCAACTTTTCTATCGTCAATTCTCAAATCATACACATATTTCCTTAGTTTTAAAATGTTTCATCATAGTCTCATATATTAATTATTCTACTGAGTCTCTCAAACCAGTAAGAATTTGTGATTTGTGAAGCAAGAATCAAGTTTAGATGCCAGTTATCCACTTCTGATGCCGATTCTACATTGAACTCTTGGGAATCTAAATTAATTGGAAATAGCGATGGTATAAGAAAGGTAATTCACAGATTATCCCGGGTCTTACTTTATCTCCCACTTCCCAAAGTCTGCCAAATGATTTACTCAGAGGCGGAGGGAGGGAAAGGACAATTCGCTGGAAGTCAATGGCCTAGCTGTACCCTGAAGGCTTGCCCCTGATGACAAGTTTCCTCATGGGGATAATAATCCTCTTTTAATTAGATAATACAGGGGAAAGAGCCTACCATTGTTCTGGAATGTATTGTTTTGTCTTTTTTTTTTTTTTGTATTGTTTTGTCTGCATACTTAATGGAACTATATTGTCAAAAGCTTGAATTTAGTATAACTTCCCTTATTCTACTTAACTTTCTGAAGGAAATTTTTTAAAAATAACTATACTATTTTTATGTTAACTTTATTTTATATGACAATAATAAAATTACTATTATAAATAGCTAGTCTTCATAGGCATCAACTACGTGCCAAACACAGAGCTCAGTAATTATCAGGTGTTGATTCAACTGATACTCATTTACATTAACCCTCAAAATAGGTATGATCTTATAGACAAGGAACCTGAGCTTTAGTGAAGTTAAATAGCTGGCTGAAAACTTCACAGAAGGAAATAGAATGGCCAGAATTCAAACCCAGATCTGGATATTTTAAAGTCTGTGTTCTTAAACCCACTATTCCCACTGCCTATGGAGGGGACACGCGGCTAGCACCCCACTTCCACCTCTTCCCTCCCTTCCTTTGTTCCTAATTCTCTTGCACTTGGTCTCTGTGGGCACAACTACATATTGCTATGAGTCCCTGTACCATGCTGCGGGCCAGAGCATGGCTTAAGCGGAGGTTCATGAAGGCCTCCAGATTAAACCACATGGTTCATCACTGGACCTACTCCCACTGCCATTACTACTACTACTACTACTACTACTACTACTACTACTGCTGCTACTACTACTACTACTACTACTACTACTACTACTACTACTTCTTAGCATTTTCTCTGCAGTTCCTTGTGTTTTCTTCCATCATGTGGACCTCACAGAAAGGAAGGCTATTGGCAGAAACGGAACTGGATATCCTCAGGTGTACAGGCCACATCCTACCAGTATAATATAGGCATTAAGTAGAAAATCTAGAGCCTAAAGAAGACTGGAATATGCACGGATGGTGGGAGAATGGTCCACCACAAGGACTAGTGCAACGGGTCACTGAGTTGCTGATCCAGCTATGTCCGGCTCACTGCTTTACAAGATAAGACAATACTTTCAGGGACTTTTTAATAGTCACTAACAACTCCCTAAAGAGAGGATCCTGGGGAAGCACCTGAGGCCCAGCTTTGCCTCTTAGGCAACTTTTGGTTGTATGCTAAACAGTCATTATGAGAACAATTTTCTTGTTTAAAACAAAAGAGAATACAATATTGTCAACTGAAGGTGACAGACATTTGTCAGGGGGCAAATATCATCTTACAGATGTTGTAAGGGGCAAGTATTAACTCTTCTTGTTTCCCTTTCCAGGGAATACTGAAAAAGATGACACCAACCACATCTTAGAAGCAGTACTGTGCACATCTCTGCCTCCCAGAATCCTTGCCATGGCATAACTACCTCTGAAAATGAGGTTCTCTTCTGAGAACAAGAAAGATCTCCCAAATGGTTCTAAATAAAGGTTCTCTCTAAATCCAAGAGACTCAGGAGGCTGAGTGAGGGCCTCTTGGTACATGTTTTGAGGTCTTCAAATGCTATCAGACAGAGAAAATAAGAAACAACCCTTTCGGGATCCCTGGGTGGCGCAGCGGTTTGGCGCCTGCCTTTGGCCCAGGGCACGATCCTGGAGACCCGGGATCGAATCCCACGTCAGGCTCCCGGTGCATGGAGCCTGCTTCTCCCTCTGCCTGTGTCTCTGCCTCTCTCTCTCTCTGTATGACTATCGTAAATAAATAAATTAAAAAAAATTGAAAAGATAATTCCCTTTGGCCACTTCTGGCTACTTCCTAATCAAACTTAAAAAAAAATTCCCTATAATCACATAAGTCACAGATGAGTATATTAAAAAAAAAAAAAAGAAAGAAACAACCCTTTCCTTTTTGTAATCATTGTGGACAGCCATGAAGTAATGGAGATGAGTGAAAGAGAATTCTGGACTCATGATGCTCAGTTTTTCTTTCTTTTTTCTTCTTTCTTTTTCTTTTTCTTTCCTCCCTCCCGTCCTTCTTTCCCCCCGCCCCCAAATATAAGAAGTATAATACAGATCCAACAAAGACAACTTACAATGATGTCTTGTCTGGTTTTGAAAGTGCTGATATAGTGGTTATAGTGGCTGTCGTCCATTTGCCGCAGGATCGTGATCATACAAGCAACAAAACTCCCCTGGAAGGACAGAAGAAACACAAATCCAATACCTCTTAGACCACCAGCTGACAAAACAAGATTTGTGCGCATGTACTTTGGTTATCTCCACCCAACTACCAAAACAGGGACCCTACCAACCTGGATACTTTCTGCATCCTAAAGGTCTAAAGGGCACATGCTTTGCTGTTTCTGCTTAAAATGACTTCCTTCCAGGTTTGAGTTGAGGAATGTGGAGGGCTTTGCTCACCCCTTTAATAGTACGATTTGCAGAATTCTGCAGGTCATCAGACACTGACTCTAAGATCTCAGCTAGATCACCAGTTAAAATACAACAACTCGAAGGCAAAAGAAACAAAAGCAAAAATGAACTATTGGGACTTCATCAAGATAAGAAGCTTTTGCACAGCAAAGGATACAGTCAACGAAACTAAAAGACAACCTACAGAATGGGAGAAGATATTTGCAAATGGCGTATCAGATAAAGGGCTAGTTTCCAAGATCTATAAAGAACTTATTAAACTCAACACCAAAGAAACAATCCAATCATGAAATGGGCAAAAGACATGAACAGAAATCTCACAGAGGAAGACATAGACATGGCCAACAAGCACATGAGAAAATGCTCCACATCACTTGCCATCAGGGAAATACAAATCAAAACCACAATGAGATACAACCTCACACCAGTGAGAATGGGGAAAATTAACAAGACAGGAAACAACAAATTTTGGAGAGGATGTGGAGAAAAGGGGAACCCTCTTGCACTGTTGGTGGAAATGTGAACTGGTGCAGTCTCTCTGGAAAACTGTGTGAAGGTTCCTCAAAGAGTTAAAAATAGACCTGCCCTACGACCCAGCAATTGCACTGTTGGGGATTTACCCCAAAGATACAGATGCAATGAAATGCCGGGACACCTGCACCTCGATGTTTCTAGCAGCCATGTCCACAATAGCCAAACTGTGGAAGGAGCCTCGGTGTCCATCGAAAGATGAATGGATAAAGAAGATGTGGTTTATGTATACAATGGAATATTCCTCAGCCATTAGAAATGGCAAATACCCACCATTTGCTTCAACGTGGATGGAGCTGGAGGGTATTATGCTGAGTGAAATAAGTCAATTGGAGAAGGACAAACATTATATGGTCTCATTCATTTGGGGAATATAAATAATAGTGAAAGGGAATAGAAGGGAAGGGAGAAGAAATGTGTGGGAAATATCAGAAAGGGAGACAGAACATAAAGACTCCTAACTCTGGGAAACGAACTAGGGGTGGTGGAAGGGGAGGAGGGCGAGGGGTGGGGGTGAATGGGTGACGGGCACTGAGAGGGGCACTTGACGGGTGAGCACTGGGTGTTATTCTATATGTTGGCAAATTGAACACCAATAAAAAATAAATTTATTATTAAAAATAATAATAATAAAATAAAATACAACACAACAACTTGGGGATTTTGAGTTTCTGGTTGAGACAGAGTTGTAGTCCGTGGAGAAATGTGTGAAATAGCACAAATTTCATTTTGGAAGAAAGCAAGGAGGAAACAGAGATGGTAAAACTGAGAATGGAAGAGCAGAGAGATAGGGAAATGAGTGCTCCCAGCTAGAGCACTTCAGTGTCATTCTTCTAACTCCAGAATCCTTCAGACTGCTATCTCCTGCAGGTTATTATGCACCTGTGATTATGGATGTGGTTTGAAGAAAGGGACTGAAGAGCTTGATGATTAACATCAATTTATATATTTTTAAATCTTTTTTTAAAGATTTATTTATTTATTTATTTATTTATTTATTTATGATAGACAGAGAGAGAGAGAAAGAGGCAGAGACACAGGAGGAGGGAGAAGCAGGCTCCATGCCGGGAGCCCGACGTGGGACTCGATCCCGGGACTCCAGGATCGCGCCCTGGGCCAAAGGCAGGCGCTAAACCGCTGAGCTACCCAGGGATTCCCCAATTTATATTTTTGATGTCAAGAATTACATATTCAATGTGTTTTCCTCTAGTCCCACCATATTTGAATCACAGACTTAATTTTCTGGCCAGTGGGCAAATATCTAGGGGGAAATGCCCTCCTATATTAACATAGTTATTTAAATGAATTGGCATAGAGAAGATGAATATACAACTATTTTAGGGATGGAGAAAATGACTTTCTAAACACAAAAACAATGAAAGAATACTCTCTGAATGAATGTCTTAGTCTCTTTGTTTAAAAAAAGTTTATTTTTCTAATTATAAAGCAATGCAAATTTACTGTCCTAAGGCTTCTTATATATAGTACCAAAACACACAGAGTTTGCATTCCTGTCAGTATCTAACACTACTTGTTTCTCCAGGCCTTTGCCTATTCTGGGTCTCTGCATTTTATTTAATTTCATTTTTGTTAATTTGCATTTCCTTTCTTCTGAATTACACATCTGTCTATTTGTTGGTTGGCCATTTATTTTTCTCTCATTTTGCTGTTTGCTCGTATTCTTTACCAATTTTCCTACTAAAATATATATATTTTTTAATGGTTTATAATAGGTATTTTTATACTAAGGCTATTAGCCACTTGGCACTTATTTTACAAATAAGTTTTAGGGTTTGGTGCTTGACATTTAATTTGCTTATATACATATTTTCACATATAGGGGTTTAATATTTTTCTCTAATAAACTTTTTTATAGTATCCTTTCCATTTTTGAAAATTCATAAATCTCTTTTCTCTTAAAAATAGGTCTTGAAAAATAGGTACAGGTGAAAAGAATTAACAGTATACTTATCACGATGAGCATTGAGAAATGTATAGACTTGTTGGATCCCTATTTTGTACACCTGAAACTAATCCTGCATGTTAATTATAATGGAATTTTTAAAAGTATAGATTAATTTATGTTTTCTTCTAGCTGCTTTATTATTATTTTTTATTATTTTTTTATTATTTCTTTTTACATTGACCTTTCATACCATCTGAAATTTATTTTTTTGGATAGAGCATGAAATAAAAGTCAAACTTTTTTCCACACCGTTCATGTATTTTCCAAATAACGTTTATTAAAAATCTTCACTTTCCCTATTGAATGGTAATAGAATTTTCATATAACCTGAAGTCTCTTCTTAAATTCTCTCAATTCTGTTCTGTGGATATATGTACTCTATTCCATTAGTCCAACACTATTTTAATTACTGTAGCTAATTATAATGTTTTCAAATATGACAAGCAAATCCTCCACTATTACTTCAATGGGGCTATTCATTTAGATGTATCTTGTATTGGTTTAATTTTTTAAGTTTTAATTTATTTATTCATTTAACTCATATTACTCTCATATTTTCATGACTAAATTGAATGGGATTTTTCTTTTATAATCTCTAAATAGCTACTGTTGTTGTAGAAAGGCCATTGAATATTGTCTGTTTATTCTAAAACTGGTCAGTTTAATAAACTGTTCATTATTTCCATTAAGATTGTGTTAAGTTTCTTGTGTTTCCTAGAAATGGTAATCATTTCACTAAAAATAATGACAGTTATGAAAATTATTTTGTCACTTTTCAATACTCATACTTAGTAAATATATGCATGTGTGTTATAATATTGACTGGAATTTATAGAAAAATGCTAAACAGTGTTGAGATTTAACATCTTGATTCTCCCTTTTAGGAGAATAAATAGGTTGCCTGGTGATTGCATGTTAACATTTCCTTCCATTAATTTGGAATACATGTTATATTCATCATATATTTTGGCATTTTTGGACATAGTCACAAAGCTTTTTTCCTTTTATCCAACTGATGTATTTAATTAACAAATCCTTGCTGAAAATAATTTTTTCTCTCTTTTTTAAAGTAGGCTCCATGCCCAGTTCAGGGCTTGAACGCATGACCCCGACTGAGATCTAGATCCGAGTTGAAATCAAGAGTCAGATGCTTCACCTACTGAGCCACCCAGGTGCCCCGAACAGATCCTCTAATATTTAACTATTCTTGAGTATGAGACTCAACTATATTAAGCCACATATATCGATATTCATTTTTATTATTTGCATATTTCTCTTTGTGACTGTCTTTCCCTTGCTTTTTTCCTTCCTATGTTTATCTTTCTCCTGCATTCTTACTTTGCTTTTCTTGGCATCTTTACCACTCCCTGTATCTCAGCCATCACCACTCCCATCATCTTATTTTAACAGAAACAGGACAAGTATCCTGCTCCTTTGACATTCAAATCCCCACCCTTCTCTTTAAATACACTTAGCCAACATTCTTGAGTTGGTTTAAACAAGTAAGATAATGAACAATTTCATTACTAAAAGAAGCTGAAGAGATAAATTTAAATTAAGACATGTTAAGTATTAGAAAACCAATATATCATTTCCTAAACAACATAGTTCTCAACCTGCCTTTATTTCTATATTCTTTAAAAACATGGCAGCAATGGATTGACAATAACAATGAATGGTATGTCTAGCGTCTACACCTTTAGTAAGAGATCTGAATCCTTTATTATGTTTTTGATCACCCTGAATCTTAACCTAGTGGCTACTTCTCTACAATCCTATTTGGATCAGCTCTGTCACCAGATGTGAATCTTACAAGGGACATCCTGAGGTTTCTGCCCTGGCCTTGCCTCTGCTGAAAAGCCCCTCCCTATACCTCCACAGTACCTCCTCTACTTCTCCAAGTCTTTGTCCAATTTTTCCTTTCTCATGCAAACCATTTTTAATCACCTAGTTTAAATTTGTAACTCTCCCACCCTGATTGCCCTTATCTTGCTCGTTTTTTTTTTTCTTCATGGCATATACCTTATTTTTTGTTATTGTTATGCTAGAATATAAACTTCTCTAAAGTAGTGATTTTTGTCTATTTTGTTCATTAATATGCCTCCAGTGTCTAGAATTGTGCCTGGCTTACAGCAGTCTCTTGACATCTATTTGTTGAATAAATAAATGGCTTTTGTAAAAAAGTAAAAAATAAAAAATTTTTAAATGGCTTTTGGTTACTAAAGCCATTTGGGATGGTTCTTTTCATTCTGTTTTCTAAATGAGATCGAATTGTAGCTTTTAATATCATAAGTAAAAGATCCCTCATTTTAATGATGATACAGCATGGTCTTCCAACAGTTACCCCTGGTTGCAAACTACTTTTTTTTTTTTTTGACATCTAATTGAGGCCCAGCAGGTAGAGAGGAAGAGGCCAGAGCAACCTCCACATTTCTAAAAACATGCTAATCACAAATTCTTTCAAACATTTGTTTTTCTTAAAACCAAAAGGGCTGGATGGTACCACAGGGCACCAATCTACAAGCATGCTAGACAGCAGTGGAAGTATAGTGCGGGGGAAGATGGAAGTGATCAGAATTCCTCTCCTGCTGACTACAGTGCATAGCTGGAAAACATAACCTGGTTAAGCTGCCTGGGGTGAGGGCAGCCACCATGCGAGGCCTCTGCAGCAGGCAGGCTGCCTGGGACTCAAGAACCATTTCAAACCCCTGGTGTTTCTGCAACCTCCGGCAGATTTCTTAACCTCTCTCGGCAGGTTTCCTGATTTGAAAAAAATGCAGCTAAAGAAAGAACTACCTCCAAGGATCTTGTATGAAGCTTCCATGAAATGTAAACTGCTTGAAATAATTTCTGGCAGATTAAACAAAAAACAAAACTCAGCTAATGACTACTACTTTATCATCACTACAGCTAGGAGTAGTGCTCCTGTTATCATTCTAACAAGGGTAGATCCAGACGAGCCTGTGCACCACATATTGAGAATCAGAACCCAGTTACTTGAGATAACGGAGGAAGCCACCACAAGCCTTCATCTTCTACTCACAAAGCCTCATGTTTTCCTTAAATGAAATATTAAACAAATAGAAGAGCACGAGGTCAAATAGGTACTGAGCTTGCCTGCCTGGGTTGCCCACACGTTTCCATCTCTGCTGGAACGTATTACAACAGGCTTTGTCTAATCTTCAATATGAGCAAGACAAGGTCCCCCAAACCCTTCTCCCTCAGCCCCTCCCATCACCCTGCGGGAGCCTTTTCTCTCAAGAGAAAAATCACTGCTGGAATCAAGATCTGCGGGCAGTTAGAACCAAGGTCATCCCATCATTAGGGAGGTCTGTGAAGTCCTAGGGCCCACTTATTTCCCAGGCAGCTGTGAGGCACAGCAGGCCGGTGGAGATTGTGGACCAGGACTGGGGCGAGTGGGACCTGTGGGAATCTGATCCCAAGACACTACTGGTCTGGGGCCTCCCAACAGGCAGATGGAACACTGGGAAGTAGTGGTGGCAGCGTGGTCGCGATACTCACGATATGGGGAGACTGTCGGCTCATCCCAATCACAGTCCGATTGATCCTTCTCAGCAGTCGTTCCATTATCTGCTGGATATGGGTCGCCGTGGGGCCCTGCACGGGGGAAACACAGGAATTGATACCACTTCTTCTGACTCAGCTTTGCTTTTCCTAAAAAAAAAAACCTTGGACAGGTGAGTTTTCTCTAATTCTCATTCTTGCTCTTCCCTTCAAGCAATCTCTTGTCCAAAGGGGGAAAAATAAGTTCACAGATTACTATATACTGTTACTAAGGAATCAATTGAAAATGATTGGATATAGCATGTACAAGATGAGCGTGGGGATGCAGAGAGGATGCCATCCCAATAACCCAGGCCACACACACTCACTGCAAGTTCACTGTGGCCACCAACTCAACCTAGTTTTGGGGGGACCCCTCGCTGGCATGAGAAGTCAGTCCTGACGCTGAGCACATGGGATGGCCCCGAATAACTAGCTATGTACATGGGAAGTAGAAGGCAAAAATACAACGTTTTTGCCACCTTCTGAGTAGGAGGGAAAAAAAAACCCAAAAGACTCAAGTCAAGGAGTTTGCTATTGACTAAATCTGTTCAAAAGTCATATGCTGGGGACACCTGGCTGGCTCAATTGATACAGCATGTGACTCCTGATCTCACAGTCATGCGTTTGAGCCCCGTGCTGGGCAGAGAGATTACTTAAATAAAAATTACTTTTTATACCCCACAAAAGTTATATGCTGGTACTCTAATCTCCCATGTGATGGTATTAGAGATGGAGTTTTGGGAGACAATTAGGTCATGAAGGCAAGGCCCTGGTCTTATAGGGTTAGTGTCCTTTTAAGGAGACACACTAGAGAGCTTGCCTTTTCTCTCTCCACAGACACACTGAGGAAAAGCCATGTGAGGACAGAGAGACAGGGACTGTCTTCAGGCCAGGAGGGAGGCCCTCCCCAGGAACTTGACCACACAGGCACCCTGACTTGGGACTTCCAGCCTCCAGAACCATGAGAAATAAATATCGGTCATTTAAGCCACCCAGTCTTGGGTGTTGTGTTTTGGCAGCCTGAGAAGACTAACATAGGGATTTAATATTTTGACTCTGTCGTGTGTCACTTTGAGCAATTATTTAACTTTGTTGAGCTTCCGTTTTCATAGCTGGAAAAAGAAAGGTTCCCTTACAGGAATGAGCTGGGTTGATGTACACAACAAACAGTGCTTCACAAATACATATTCTTAGTTTTCCTTTTTTTTTTTTTTTTTTGGTGATTTGTACTCATTCAGCTCCAAGTTAGTAATATTCAACTTGTCTTTTCAAAGCCTTTATTCATTCTTTTTTCATGACAGATATTTTGAAACTCCTAGTTAATCCTTGAAATAACTAAATCACTGCTATATAGTTCCTGTTTTTTGTTTTGTTTTTCATGCTCAACATTTTAAAATTTTATTTAAATTCAATTTATTAAAATATGCTATATACAATTTTATTAAAATGTCAAGTATTGGGGTGCCTGGGGGGCTCAGTCAGTCAAGCATCTACCTTCAGCTCAGGTCATGATCTTGGGTTCCTGGGATGAAGCCCTATGTTGGGCTCCCTGCTCAGCTGGGAGTCTGCTTCTCCCTCTGCCTCTGACCCTTCCCCCTGCTCATTCTCTCTCTCTCAAATAAATAAATATTTAAATAAAACGAAACAGTGTCCGAAGTAGAAGAGATCTAAGAGGCCATCTAGAACAATTCCTACATGTTACAGAATGGAAACTGAGGCACCTGTAGATTTGTGTAAGGATAAAGAGCCACACATGCTAATACCGGCATCAGAAAACAAACACCTCGATTCCCATGGTTCTGATTAACTTTGGATCATATACATATACTTCTAGAACACTGGAGCCCTGCCTAAACCAAAGTCTCTGGTACGCCGTTGCCAACTATAGCTTGAGCTTCATTTTAGTATTTTTGATTACTGAGTCATAAGAGTCACTTTTTAAAAATATTATCGTGAGGAGATGATCAGTCACATTTGTCTATTTGTTGCAAAATCTCTGGCTTAGGAATCAAATCCCCTATCACAAAATTCCTTAGCGAAATTTATAATTTATGTGGTTTCTAGAAACACATTTAAGAAAAAAAAAAAAAGGAAAGGGAGCATGACCTATAATAAATATCAAATAAATAATACAAATTGTTAAGGTGGGCTGCAGGGGCTCAGAGAAAGAGCCGAGGTGGGCAGAGAAAGCAATGGTGCTCTCCAGGATCCCTCTGGCTGAGGCGTGAACTAGCAGAGATGCAGACTTGCCCGTGGGAAGATGAGCGGATGAGGCAGGCTGTGGCCAAACTGGGGTGGACCTTGAAAAGTGAGCTAAGAATTTAGCAATGGAAAAAGGGACAGAGCGTTCTTCAATTCTTTTAGCAGAACTGAATCTAAAGATATTGGTGAGCGAGTGGCTTAGGCAAAGCTGAGGGTGTTTCTCTGTTGTATGGGAACATTGGTGCCGTGCAGCCATCGTGGGGGGGGGGGGGCAAAGGGACCAGCGTGTGCTGTGTGGTCTGCACCGGGTGACGATTCAACTCACCACATCCTTCCTGTCCAGCACTTCCAGGATGTTGCTCAGAAGCTGCGAGCTGGCTTCATGGTCGGGCTTGCTGGAGTTGTCATCTAACTGGCCACTGAGCTGGTCTATCAGCAGCGGCAGCAGCACATCTCTGCACTCTGCGGGAGAGAATGCACACAGCTCAGCAGCTGCAGCAGCTGCAGCGGCAGCCCCTGAAATGCCCGCTTCTGTCTGCAACTCTCCCTCCGCCTGATACCACAGTTGACCTCAGAGCTCCACCGAGCAGGAACACAGCACTGCAGGCGTGGGCCTTCGCGCCTCTAACTTAATTTTAAGGGCTAAGAAAATTACACCTATCATGGATACATGCAAAAATGTTTCAAGTATTCAACAATGTCTTTAGCTTACCAAAAAAAATACACCAACTTGACAGTTGAAGGCTAAGTCAAACAAAATGAGCAAATTAAGCAAGTTACGCTTTTAAAAAATGTTTCAAAGTTTCCACCTAATGGAGAGAATTTACTCTGAAATTTGTGTAAATACCGCGTGAGCTTTGCTAGTACATTTCAATGTGTTTTAAGGACGTGCCAATCATGTCCTTTTGCAGGCTTCAGAAAATAAGAGATTATCTTTATCTATGATGTTTTCCTTCTGGGATCTTCGCTATTCGAAGACATTATTATGACGAGGCCAGATGTTCTGGACACTAACAGAAAGGACTATTAATAGTGAGAATACTTCCTCTAACTGGAACCACATAGTGCATGCTTGTCCTTGTGCTCAACCCCCCCATTTTTATTACTTTATATATCCTTTCTGCATGCTTAGGCAGAGATCTCATAGTATAGTAAGATGTTTAGTAATAGTATGTTTTCTACTTAAGAGCATTCACCAGCTTTGTGCACACCCTCAACTGTGTCCTTGTAACAGCTGGAATTTCTAAGCAAACATTCACAGGGTCAGAAGCTATCAGAGTCAAAACAGTCTACTGATAGGATCTAGTTCAAATCCTTCCTTCCAGGGAAATGGAGGCTAAGACCTACAAAGGCTCCTCACGTGTCTGAAGTTACATAGCTAGTGTGGGGCAAGGCCAGGAGGCCTGCCACCAATAACCCACTCACCTTTCCCTATCTAAGAAGTCGTGCCAGTCCTCAACCCTCCAGGCAAAACATGCAATTAGTGGTAGTCCCTGAACTAGTGGTAGTAGCTCCAAAAGAAGTTCCCAAAGTGGACCCTCTCTAGCAAGTCTTGGATTTACTAGAGGTATTGGACCTCTATCCCATATTAGCTTTGGGACATGAACTCAGTGATTTAAGCATGGTGGCTACATACTTGCCCCTAGTTACAAAATGAAGAGTATTTCATCCATGTAAGAGTTTTCTCTCCTCCATGCCCTCTGCCCTCCCAGCAGTATGCTGGTGATTTGGCTCCCCCACTAAGCCTCCCCCATCCCACCCCCACCAAACCCATAACTTAGAGTGTTTGCCAATTTCTGTGGTGTAAACCACTGTAACCCATTTTCAGCTCCTCATGTGACATGACCAAACATGGAAGTTGAGAAGAGATATGCATAATCCGCTCTCCTGAGCCAGGATGAGTGGCACCAGCATACCCCTGCACTGCTACCTCCTGGCTTTTCAGGTTATGCAACAAATATAAGTCAAAGAAGACACATTTGCTTAAAAGAACCATCTTTCCTGCTTGCCTGCTACTTTCTGGGGTGTCCATTTTGAGGACAGTTCTCTAATTAACGAAAGACTGGACTGTTCTCATTAAAACATGTGTGCTTTTATTCTTTAAGATCCCCTTAGAAATACTGAACACACTCTGCTCCTTAAAACGGGTTTCTCAGGAGGTCCCTAAGTCCCAACAAACTACTGGTAAGGACATTATTGACATTAAAACAACAACAGCAAAACAGGTGTTGGTTGAAGAAGGAGCAAGACTGGAATTTCAGTAAGCAGTAGTTTTTGGGTGAAGACATACCTGACTGCCGGAAAAGATTGCTCTCCACTATCTTGGTCATGCAGTTAAGTTTCTGGCGAACTAACTGGTTGTCAGGGATGCTTTGAATGAACTTGCAGAAGAGCACGCTGCAGGAGAAATCCCAGAGGTCAGTATTTGCACTCTGTCACGCTGAAGGTATCATTACGAGGTTCCCCTCTACTCTGAGATTCGGTGTGGAGAGTCTTCCCCGGAAATCTCTCCCAGACGCCCTGAGAGTCTGCCCCTTCGAAGGAAAGCTGAGATTGTGTTCCACGCGCTATGGCGCTTGGCCTTAGGGCCGCCTCTGTTTAAACTGCTAAAGCACGGTCATGTCTATCTGGGCTTTGCAGACCTGCCTGAACACTTCACTTCTGCAAAATCCTTTCCCGGCTGACTCCACCCCAGTGTCGCTCACCATCTGACTTTGCATTGCTGGGGTACTTAGGTATAGGGCTGGAAGCGTATTATTATGTACTTTCTTCTGTAGTTAATTTCACGTCTGCCTGTCTTGCTGCCCCAGAGATGAGGGCAAACCTCTCTCAGGGGCAGGCTTTGTGTCTTCTTTTATATCTTCCACAGAAACGGAGCACAAGAAGGGGTTCAGCTAATATGGGTTCGAAGAACAACAGAAGGTGTAGCAGCCCAGGCCCCAGCCAAGAAAAGGAGCTACCCCTTTGTTAAAGTCAGCAAATGTGTTTTGCTATTTACCTGAGCTCAACGGGATCAAACACAAGTTTGACATCATTAATTATGCTGGGAAGGTACTTCAGAGCTGCCCCCTGTAAGAAAAATACCAAACAGCAAATTCAGTTGCCAAGCAGGACGAATACAGAATGTACTACTTAATCCCAGGAAGAAAAGGCTGGCATCTACATAGGGAACTGGACGCAGATGCTCCTGCAGTCGAGAGGAGAGCTAAATGTTGCTAAGTGCGATTTCTTAAAATCTTTTTCCTAAAAGGTCAGGTGGCACAGTTGTTTTTTTTTTTTAATAATAAATTTATTTTTTATTGGTGTTCAATTTGCCAACATATAGAATAACACCCAGTGCTCATCCCATCAAGTGCCCCCCTCAGTGCCTGTCACCCATTCACCCCCACCCCCCGCCCTCCTCCCCTTCCACCACCCCTAGTTCCTTTCCCAGAGTTAGGAGTCTCTCATGTTCTGTCTCCCTTTTTGATATTTCCTACCCATTTCTTCTCCCTTCCCTTCTATTCCCTTTCACTATTATTTATATTCCCCAAATGAATGAGACCATATAATGTTTGTCCTCCGATTGACTTATTTTACTCAGCATAATACCCTCCAGTTCCATCCACGTTGAAGCAAATAGTGGGTATTTGTCATTTCTAATGGCTGAGTAGTACTCCATTGTATACATAAACCACATCTTCTTTACCCATTCATCTTTCCATGTCTTTGTTTTTGTTTATTTGTTTTGCTTCCTTCATTACCAACAGATACTGTCTATTTGGAATTCGTTTTTTTATCTAAGGAGGCTAGTTAAGATCTTGACATCTCCCCTACTAAGTGGCCCTAAAGAACAAAGAAGAAATAATAAAGTTCAGATCTGAAGCCTCAGAGATTGCATATTTTACATTAAAAAACTGATAATGATGAACATGATGGTGACTCTGGCCTTCTGGGAAGAATGGGGGGAACTTAGTAAAAACCTGTTGCCTATAACATCAGGACCAATTGGCTGCGTTCACAGGGGCCACAGAAGCCATTCGAGGGATGTCTGAAAGGATATAGTTTGTCTTTGGCAAGCTGCCATTTGAGAATACAAATGGACATAAAAGTTAACACACAGGTTTTACTCCTTCCTTTCTATGAGTCATACTAAAATTTACAGGCTTTCCACAAAAAAGGATTCACTTTGTTTCTCTCCCACCCTGTCCAGTTCTGCTGTCACAGAACATCCTAAGCAACAGCATTAAAAGAGGCACCCACGCTGATACCATGCTAACCTTGATCTTGACAGCTTCCTCCAGGGGCCTGTCCATTAGCGTATTGAAAGCAAGAAATAACTGGCGGATTGAATTATTAAATTCATCTCCATCTTCGCTTTGGCCATAAAATCTTAACAGGAGAAAGAGAAGAGCGGTCAGGTTTTCCATGTTTAGAAAGAAATTTTCCATTGCCCAAACAATGCTGGAGGCCTCTGCCTCCCTAGTCACCACTTCACACTGTGCAAAGGGAAGGTCACAGGTACTCCAAGATGGTTTCAGGGAGAAGTCCAGTAGGCTGAGAAGATATTACCACCTGGATGAAAGCAGGTAGGCATTTCTACATAAAGTCCTACCATAGAGCTTCCACACCTGGTCCATAACTATGGTCAGCCAGTTGGGAAGGATTCTCTTGAAGCTGTATGAAGCTGTCCATCCTAGTGGTGTACGGGCATTTCTGGCAGAGGAGGAAGAGCAGGAAGCTGCACAGCCTGAAGGAGCACAAGCACTGCACACATGTCCACCTTCCTTCACTCATTAGCAGAGCACCCCAATGCCAAAGACTCCCCTGGCTCACTTCCCTGACACATACTCTTGCCACAGCCTATCCTCCAGCATCACTCCTGTCCTCCTCCCTCATTCTGCTCTTCCAATCCTTCCATCTCATCTCCTCAAGCCCTGATCATCTGAGCTGAGGTTTCAGATAATGTGTAGAGAAGCTCCTCAAACCAGCAAGGTTCCAAACCCAACCCAATCTGCAAGTCTAGGCAGTGCCATTCTATCTACTAAAGTGGCCACTTGGGTGGCGACCTAACTCTAGAACACGGCCTCGTGGCACACAACACACCTTTGCCTTTACTGGTTTGTGCTCATTTTGATTAAGGTACTTCTGCTTGTCTCCAGAATTTGTCCATCTGCTGAAAAGTTGGTTCTACCTCATAAATAGTAATCAGAAGTCTCTGGCCCATTATTCAGATACACAAAAGTCCCAAATTGTATAGTCCAAGTGCATTTACAGTGGGTGGCAATATTACCACCAATTGGTCAAGAGTAGGGGTTATTTGAAACCAGGATTTTAGACATATCCTTTAGACACACGTACCTACATGCGCACGCTCATACCTTATCAGGGACTCGTGGAATGTAAACTCCTCTGAGTAAATCATTCAGCCTGAGTTATTGGTCATTCTCAATTCACCCATTTAGCGGAATTTTAATTTGTAACTTAGTCCAAAAAGTACCTCAAAATTAACATAGCCAAAGCAGAACTCCCTTGATTCACCTGCTCATCTTTCAGTATTCCAAGTTTTGGGAGACAGCACCCAAAACATGGAAGTTACCCAGGGTTCTTCCCTTCCTCTCATTCTCCCACCGAAACTAACAACAAGGCCACCTTGCGCCCTCTGCACCTCATTGGAGACAGAGCCGCCGTATCTTACACTTCAACTACAATGGCCCATGGTGTACTCACCAAAGATTTGCTCTTTACCCATGATAATCCACTTTCCACCTAAGAAATGAGATGATCAGGGGAAATGCAAGCCAGATTTTACTGTTTCTCTAACTGAAACCCTTCAATGGCTTCCCATTCCACTTGGATAAAATCCAAATTCCTTGCTATGGCCTACCAGATCCTACCTCGTTTGTCATTTGCCTGCCACCCCCATTGCCCATTCTCATTCCTCATGCTCTAGCAACACTGGATTCTTGGACTTCTCACACAGGCCCTATAGAGCCCTTGCCTTGCCACTTCCTGCTCCCGCACTCATCTTCCCTGAGACCTGCACAGGTGGCCTCCTCCTGTTTGGTCTCAACTCAAATGCCAACTCCCAGAGAGGCCTTCTCCCTCCCTGGTCATCCTCCCAGTAAGTCCTCTCCTGCCAGCCTTTACCTATCTGAAATAATCTAATGGTTTCTTTCTTCATTATTTGCCTCCCTGGCTTCAACACAACACACAAGGACCATCAGAGCTGGAGCCTTGTTTACTTGTTACTAGACCCCCAGCACCCAGAGCAGTACCTGGCACCCTCTGTGCCAGGTATTTATGTAAAGGAGACTCGGGGCTCTTGGGTGGCTCAGCTGGTTGAGCATCTGACTCTTGGTTTCGGCTCAGGTTGTGATCTCAGGGTTGTGAAATCCAGCCCAGAGTAGAGCTGCACTGGACTCCCCTCTCAGCGGGGAGTCTGCCTCTCCCTCTTCCTCTGTTCACCCCACCCCCACTTGAGCATGTTCTCTAAAATAAATAAATCTGTAAGAAAAAGTGGGGGAGGGGACCAATACAAGACTGAGGCAGAGTGCTTAATGCTGGACCATGGGCAATCTACAATTTTAATTCTACCTCAGCCTCCCTAATGAAAGTAAATTGCAGTCAGGAAATGGGCTCTGAAGAGGAATTTCAGCTCTGAGGAAGGCAAAGGGGCAGTAGGGGGTGGAGGATGGTGGTGGGGGTGACATTTCATTCCTGTAGCTCCCGGACAGGGCCAGTAAACTGATTGATGTCTATCTGATCGGAGAATGCAGATTTCCAGGCTTACTTTCTCAGATCAAGCTCTTCTTTATGAGAAAAAAACTGGAGGAGTGTGGATAGCCATCAGCAGGTGCTCAGGGACCACATTCAACACAGCAACCCTTTAGGCAATTTCATGGGCTACTTAACCACCCTAATCTTGGCTTTTCCCTTGTTCTCCTTCTATATGATATTGAAAACAATGGCTCAGAGGTACTGCAACATTATGGAAGGGGGACACACTAGTGAATCAGCAATGGAAAGTATTTTTCAATTTCATAAATGAAGATCTCCTTTCTATGGTTTTATGATGATTTTTAATACTGGAAATCAGGGTTCACTATACAAACTTTCAGGTAAGGGAATATTCCCTTGGTGGGACACTCCAAGCCCTGAATTTCTGGAAATTTAATATAATTGCAAAATACAAGGAACTAGCTATAAAAGAAGCCTGTCTGAATGATTACAGAGATTGTGTGTAAACCGCACACTGGGTAAACACTACTCGCTCTTGCTAGAGAAGGGGGAATTGTCATCCACCCAGCTGAACTTTTAAGTCATCAAACATTTTTAAAAACTGTAAAATTGTGCAAAATCACTGTGGAAACTTTAAAAATGGTGGAAGAATAAAAATAACCTGCTTAAAATTAAAACCCTCTTACCTACAGTTTTATTCCTACTAAAATTTTAGTTCCCAAACCTATAATATTTTTGAAATGGGATCATACTGCACTTACATCTTATGCCTTAGTTTATTATTTAAGAACCTATCACAGTTATCTTCCCTCATTAACATACCCTTTATCATTCATCTTTGTTCACACCTGGTGGATTATTTTCCATCAGGTAAATTTTTTAGATGGCATATTACCAGACAAAGGCAGTATTTTCTTTTGCTTTTTTGTGGCTTTTGTTTTTGCTTTTTATTCATGGCACCAAATTTCTGCCTTTAAAAAATTTATACTATCAGTGTTAAAATGCACGACAAATTTTTATCCAATTTCATCAAAGGAAATAGATTTTTAATCTTTATCAAATGTATAGATAAAGGTAGTGTGTGTGTGTATGGTATTTTGATAGTAGAAATTTTTTAAAGTATATATATATATATATATATATATATATATATATATATATATATATATATAGTGGTGGGGGCAGCCCTGGTGACTTAGCGGTTTAGTGCCACCTTCTGCCCAGGGCGTTATCCTGGAGACTCGGGACCAAGACCCACGTCAGGCTCCCTGCATGGAGCCTGCTTCTCCCTCTGCCTGTTTCTCTCTCTCTCTCTCTCTCTTTCTCTGTCTTTAATAAATAATTTTTAAAAAAATCTTTAAAAAATAAAAATAAAAAAATAAAGAGAGTAGTGGGTAGGGGCAAATGGAGAGGGAGAAAGAAAATCCCAAGCAGGCTCCCAGTGAGTGCAGACCTCACATAGGTAGGGCTCAATCCCAGGACCCCAAGATCTCAACCCAAGTCTGACACCCAAACGACCGAGCCACCCAGGTACCCTTGAATATTTTTTAAGAAATTTAATTTACCATTTGAATTTTTCTCTTATACATTATCTGTTTATGTTTTCTATTGTTTAAGGATGTTTATCATTCTTTTGTTGATTGGTAAGAGCTGTTCATTAGTAAAGCTAATTAAAGGCCTTGATCCATACTGTATGTTCCAAGCTTTTTAAATGTTATTTGCCTTTAATTTTAGGAGTATTTAAACATATCAAGTTAAAAACAATAAAAATGCTTAAATCAAGACTTGAAACCCTCTTATCTATAGTTTTACTCCTAACAACATATTAGCATACTATCTGTCCAGTTTCCAAACCTGCCTCAGCAATATATTTTAACAGTTTGGAAATCCAGTTATTACTGAAAAGGAGAGATGGCACTGGGGTTGTGGGCATTCCCAGAAAAGTTATTTCTTCATTCTTTGTCTCTGCTACTTTTTAAAAAGATTATTTATTTATTTTAGAGAGAGAGAGAGAGAGAGAGAGAGAGAGAGAGAGAGAGAATCCCAAGCAGGCTCCATGCTCAGCAAAGAACCCAACATGGGGGTCGATCTCATGACCCTGAGATCACAACCTGAGTCAGAACCAAGAGTCAGACACTTAACCCACTGAGCCACCCAGGCACCATGTCTCTGCTATTTTTGATGGAGCTGTTATTCTAGAATTTCAAGTTGGGAATTATCATATCTGGCTTAGTTTCATCAGTTAGATAAGCATGACTCACACACCTGAGGAAACATCTCCCTGAGGAAACATCTCCCTGAGGACAACTACTACCATTCTCCATCCACCACACCAAGAGCTCACAATCCTAGATTTGTACACCCAATATCATCATGAAGTCCCTTGTGCTAAATGCAGCCCTGCCACAGGAACCTTGCTTCCTGGAGCTGTCATCACCAACCAAGGCTTTCATCAAGTGTGCACATTATAGCCACCTGCATCCCTACGTCCTGCCATCATTACCTCCCTAGAAATTCTGCTGACTTGAAAGGACTTTGCATGGGCCTTTCTAGAGGTTTCAGAGTCTACCATGATCTTTAGCCTTGCAGTTCTGAAATTTGGCAATTCCATGACCCAACCATGACTCATAGTGCTGAACATGACTGTGAGATTAAGGAAGTCCATGAAGAGAGAACAGACAGTATAAACATCTTGCTACAGCTACCATTACCTTAAGTAAAGTACTCTAGATTGGATGATGAATCTAAACAAGTACTTTAGGGCTTTCAAAGCAGCAAAAAGCAATTCTGTCTTGCTGGAGTCATCTGCATTAGCCACATAGAAGTTCAGTACCTTGGAGAGTTTCCTTAAAAGAGAGAGAAAGAAAAATGTTAGTGGGGCAAAGTGGTATTCTGAGGTTTGGGGTATGTTATATAGGAAGGGAACTTGGCATAGCAGGGAAGCCAAAATTATAACTATAATTACCTCTTGAGAATATGCCCTGAACAGGGAAATTAACTCCTTTGCAATCTGGTTTCCTCACTGCAGCCTAGGTTTGGAGCTTCCCTAAAGCCTAGAAATACGGGTAGTTTCTTTCCTTTTGTAGGATTTTTTAAAAAGAATCAAAAATGAAAGTTGAAGGGATTCAAACCATGAAGGTATTTTAATCTCTAGTATGTTATACAGACATCCTCAGACGTTCCTGAAAGGAAGGGATTGTCTGCCTAATGTAGTCATCTTTTAAAAAGTCTAATTCCTGGAAGTCTGCCTCAATTCTCTGGGTTCCATAGAATGGAGCCAGATGGACACTTTTGTAAGCATGGGAAGAGAAGCTCAATCTGACTCTGGCTCAATCTGATAAGAACAACCATGGTTTCTGAGCATCACAACAGATAAAACTGTGCCGAGATGTCAGATTGCTCTTTGTTTGTTCCCAGAGTCTAGGTATTTTCTTAATCATTTGCTAACTCACTGTTTTGAAGACACTAACAGTTTGCCTTTCTTTCTGTAAATCTCTGAGTTTTCATAGTATTAATAAAAATCCACAGAACACATGTAGAACTGATAAAGTTTTGTAAAGAAACTCAGATTACTACCTCCTGGAGTATTTCATTTGGCTCACTTGCAACTACTGCCTGCTTGGAAAATGAGGCTACTGGAGACAAAGAAACCTATCACAAGTGTATCTGCTGCTTCCCCCAACCCAGTGGGCATTATGCCCACCACATTCATTGGTGATTATGCTACGTAACACCTCTTTCCTGTCACTTACATTTTAAAACATTTCTAGACCTCCCATGCAAATAAATCCCTGGAAAATCAGGTCAGCAGCCAATCTGATAGATCTGCAAGAGCAGCGAGCATGATCTGGCATAAGCCATTGTCAAAAAGAGCTCTACCGATCTCTACTACAATCCTGCCACTCTTTATCATGTTGTTCTGCACGGTAACTGGAATGCATGGGGGTGGGGGTGAGAGGCCACATATAATGTCGTGGTGAGGTAAGCTGAATATTAGTTGCTTTCCTGAGTCAGAGGCTCGTGAACCAAAGACAGAAAGGCTGCACTATAGAAAAGGCAGAGATCATTCTCATTTATATAAAGAAATATGTAATTGTCTCATATCCTCTATAATAAATTCTATAAAGCACTTGTGGGGTAGGGCCGAGGACATGACCCTCAGTTCTACCACACTTAGTCTTGCTTTAATCCACTGTTTGATCCCCTTGGGATTTCCAGCTAATCCCCCTGATGATCAACTCTCCTAAGATCCTGAGTATGATCTTCTGTCCTTGACTGTACTTCTAATGCCTTCAACTCCTCATCTCTATATGTTCTGGATTCTTAAAGACATACAGCTTTATCTCTTCTGGATTGACCTTAATGCTTTTCCCAAGGTTGAAATACTTAAAAGGTTCTCTTTTTCTACCAGAGGAAGCTTAGAACAAGGTTCTGCACTTAAGGGGAACACTTACTCAGCTTATGCCCTTTGCATGTCTTAACAACCCAACCCTATGAGTCCAAACCCAACAATCCAACAGCAGGTAGTTCCCTTGAATCATACTCACACATATGCCAGAGTGGCGCTGAAGTGCTTGTAAATATAGGTTTCAAGGACAGGATTAAAATGCTGGAACTTGATGTCTCCTATCAGTGAGATGATAAATACCTGCCAAAGGGGAAAAGTATAAATAGCAGCACTATATGACCCCAGGCATTCTGTTAATAAGCTAGACGTTAACATCTTGGTGCCCTCTTTCTTGACCATTTTTGCAGTGTTCCCACTTCACTTTTCCAGAGCTGAAGTCAAGTCTTGGGAATTTCTTTTTATTTAATATCAATAGAGAAACTATGATGTGTTAGGCACTGGGCCAAATGCTATAAAGAATCTAATAAGAGCCAGCCCCTGGCCTCAGAAAGCTCACTCTCTCAAAGGGAGGCCAGTGTGCAAGCAACATGAGTTAGGGAGGAAGATAGGAGAAGCAGCAGAAAGATAGAGAAGGGGTCTTCTGTGGGAAACAGAAACTCTAACCCACGGATACAGTTAATGAGTTATTTCATGGCCTTGTTCTTCTGATGGCATGAGAGTCCCCAGTAATTGAATTTCATCATCAGACTTTAGCCTCTCAATTTCCCCTTCTTCTGTGAATGGTATCCCTATCAGGCCCATAATCCACCAATAACCACAATGCACCTGCTGATGACACAAGAATGCAGAAGAAGGGCACCAGGGATGCCTGCAGGTACCCACTGTCACTTGCCCTGTCCCATGAAAATCTGCAGACCTCGTCCCACAGGACCTATAACCATTATTTTCCATCAATCTGGCCAGCTGTGATCCTAGCTCGAGTGTTTCTCCTCTTTATCTCACATCCTTAACCTCTGACAACTTCTTGAATGTATCAATTTCTCCACGCCACTGAGACACCTAACATTTTCTTGCTGCAACATCCAGGGAAATTCTGCATGGAATTTTAACCCCAACAACGAGAAAACAATGCTTGGCTTGGGTGTGTCCGCTTCCCCTACTCCACCACAATTTGTAGCCTTCCAAGATTCTAATATCATCTCTCCTTCTCGGGATCCTAGTTTTTGGAATGAGCTGTATGCTTAAGTACTTGATGTCACAAATTTAATTGTCTGTTGGGCTGTGTGTTATACAGAATGAGATTGACACTCATTTCTGATGTATGAATTCAGTCTCCCTTGTATGAACACACAAGCACACACAACACAGCCACAATCATCTTCGTTAAAGGTGTCTCCTAGTTTGTAACTAGATAATTTTAAAGTATGTTCAAGTGATTCCTGATTTCTAAGGTAACACAACACCTTGTTTATCTAATGAGAAAGAAAGTATGTCAAAAAATTAGATCTAATAGAAACAGAAAAACAAAGACTTTGAACTTAAGTCCATTGTTTCTAATTTAACTTCTAGGAACCAATCAGAGAGATGTATACAAATATGTATGCATATGCATCACAGACATGTATAATAGCAAAATATTAAACACTACATAGTCATGAGAATAAACTAGTTAATGTGCTTAACTGCTTACCAGTGCATCAAACACAAGGAAGTCATAGGTTTCATTGTCTGACATTTCCATCATTATGTTAAAAAGTGCATCTAGTGTATCTTGCAAAAACTGAAGATAAAAAAGATAGAGGTTACTTCATGCTTTTAGTTCAGCTCCATACTGCAAAATTTCAGAGAAATTCAGTTACTATAGAATAAGCTTAAAAATAGCATTTCTTAAAAACTGGCACTTCTGCTTTCTGATGTAGATAACAAGTTTTATATTTCTAACCACTGATTTCCTTTGAAATGTTGAAGTAACGATACAGTGACTGTATTTCTACTCCTGAATACATAAACATACCTTAACAATCTCGCCTCCATCCACTTCCATTAACTTCTTTAAGTTGTGTTTAATGTTCTGGGAGTTTGAACGCCAATTTAATAAGCCCAACAGGTCAACTAGGAAGAATGACCACAAGTCATAAAATTAGACACGGAGTAGAGAAGTAACACACACTATTTCAGGATACAACTATAGAACTCTCCAGAAAAAAGATAATTGTTCTTAATAGGGGCTAATTCCTTGTGTATTTTTTTTAAACTTATGGTCTCCTATTTAAAACAGAAAAAACTTTGTGGTCTTTTAGTCTTCAGAGAAAAAATTAACCGCTAATTCATAAGAACATAAAACTGAATTCCTGAATGGAATTCAAATTTCTGAAATAATGACATCATAGCCATATAGATGAAAAGTTGAAAATACTTTTTTTAAAAAAAGATTCTATTTATTTATTTGATAGGGAGAGAGCAAGCAAGACAAGAGCAGGGGAGGGGCAGAGGGACAGGGACAAGCAGATGCTGCACTGACATGGATCCTGACTGGGGCTTGATCCCATGACTCTGAGATCATGACCAGAGCCAAAATGAAGAATCAGATGGTTAGCCAATTGAACCACACAGGGGCCCTGAAAACACTCTCAAATAAACTTTATACCTTCAATTTGCTGCATTGCCTAATTTGTCCTTTGCCACCATGTGTATCTCAGTGGATGCAAAGGGAAAAGGGAACTTATATACATGCACTAATGCATTTTTTTTCAAGATTTATTTGCTTTAGGGAGTGAGTACGAGCAGGAGGAGAGAAAGAACGAATCTCAAGCAACTCTGTGCTGAGCGTGAAGACTGATGTGGGGCTTGATCTCGACCCTGAGATCACAACCTGAACTGAAACCGAGTCGAACGCTTAACCAACTGAGCTACCCAAGTGCCCCACACTAATCCATTTAAACGCTGCAACCACATTGTAGTGATTTCATTTTTTCCATTTTTGAATTGAGGAAACTGAGGTCTTATGAAATTAAATTACTTGCCTTAGGTCACACGACTGCCAGGGAGTACTATGAATGGAATTTAATTATAGATTTATCAGATTCCAAAAAATCCATGTCCTTGCTACTCTATCATACTACCTCCCCAGAGTTCTTCAAAGAAACAAGCAAGCAAATTACATAGGTTGCTATTTCAAAGGAAGGCAGAGGGACGCCTGGGTGGCTTGGCGGTTTGGCGCCTGCCTTCGGCCCAGGGCCTGATCCTGGGGTTCTGGAATCAAGTCCCATGTCAGGCTCCCTGCATGGAGCCTGCTTCTCCCTCTGCCTGTGTCTCTACCTCTCTCTCTGTATCTTTCATGAATAAATAAAATCTTTAAAAAGAAAAATCAAAGGAAGGCAGAACAGACTCATGATCCTTGGGGTAAGACCAGGAAAGAAATCTTGAGGTGTATTTGGATTTAAAGTGCAGATTTATGAATCTTTAAGCCATTTATAGCTTTTATCAATGCTAAAAATGTCACAAGGAAATATAATAGGCATCTGGGCTATTACGGTTGTATTACTTTGTTTAGAATATTAAGCTACTATTCCAATTTACAGAGCATTATCTAGTATAAGTAGCAACACATGCTTTTTAATCAATGGACTTGTGTAACATACAGAAATTGTTGAAAACATACTGTTCATTAGAACAGTCAATTTACTTCATGAGTGTTTGTTTTATTAGCTTGCATATTGTTTGGTTCCTGGGAAACCTCCAAAACTCAGTGCCTAGAGACTCTCCACTGTCAACAGAATAAAGTTGCAATACTACTCACAGAAGGCGGTGAGGCTCCACCCGTGGCCTTCCTGCCCACAGTTCTGTTACCCCTCAGCAGCCAGGCAGATCAACTCACTACTCCCCAGACTATGGCATGCTCTGATAGATCCATGCCTTTGCATATAGTCTTCTCTTCATTTGAAATGCCCAGAAATACTTTAATACTATGTATGTGGTAAGCTCATCCTTATGTTTAAGACCCACCTCAAATTATGGGAAGACTTTCTCTGGGAAGACTTTGTCAATCATCCTGGGCTATTTGTACTCCTTCCTACATATACATATGCATATCCATATACCAACATTACAAATAATAAAGACACACTTCATATTTCTTTGGCTCTTTCCATAGACTTGAGCCACTTGAGGACAGGAACCATATTGCATTCATTGTAATACCCCGTCAGGAGTGCCAGGCACCCAATGGGTGTTCAGCACGTTTGATAAAAGAATGAACGAATGGGTGGAAAGGGAACCAGCAGCCCTGAAGAAACTCAACACAGTTTTTGGATTCACTCATTTGTTCAATAAGCATTTAGTAACTGACATTGTGCTGGGCTTATCTACTAGGCACTGCCCACTTCCACCCTCCCATCTCCTATTTCTGTCAGAGGCTAGTCAATGCTACCACTCCATTTGTTACTTCACTCTACCAGTTGCTGCCTGAGGAAAAGGATCTAGATACTTCTTCAGGGTGAAGAGTCACCCAGCAGCTTTAAGTATCTGCAAACCACCCCTCTATCAGCCCAGAGATTTACACCCTAGAAATATTTGCATGCCACCTCACTGCCCATGTCAGGAATTTGGTTGTTGTCTGGTGAATCATAAGGTCCTGGAGTAGAAAAGTGGCAGTACTTTGTTAGAGCGAAGTCCTCAGACTTCCTATGCTCCTGAGATTCTTGGGGGCTGAGGCATATAGCTCTAGTTAATTCATGTCAATTGCTATATAGTTTATCTCCTACTGTGTGGATGGGATGTACCACAATGTGCTTGTCCAGTCCACACCTGATAAGCATTTGAGTTGTTTGCAGTTTTTTTTTTCCTATTTATCACAAACAATTCTGCTATGAACACTCTCATGCATCTTCTGGTTTCCAGGTCCAACCATCTCTGGGGAATGTAAGTAGAATGGAATTTCCGGATCATCCCGAATGACCATTCCAAATGTTATCCAAAGTCACCTCAACTTATGTCCCTACCCAAAGTATTTAAAAATTCAAGATACTCTTGGGGGTGTGGGGGGGGAGGCAGGTACCTGGGTGGTTCAATTTGTATAGCGTCTGCTTTTGGTTAAGGTCACGATCCTGGGGTCCTGGGATGGAATCCCTCATCACACTCCCTGCTGTGGGAAAGCTGCCTTTGCCTTTGCTTCCCTTTCTCTCAGTCTCTCATGAATAAATAAATAAAATCTTAAAAAAAAAAAAGGAATTCAAGATACTTTGAATGACAATCCCCAAATTTAGGCTACTTTAGGGAAAGGATTAGAGACCGTAACACTTAAAAAAGAAACGAAAAATAAAAAACCCTAAGTTTTGGAGTTACAAATATCTATTTTCAGACCTGTGTCTGAACTTTCAGACCTGTGTGTTCACTATTTATGAACTTAGGCACAATATTTTGGCACTTGAGCTCAACTCTCTGATCAGTAAACAGGAGAATAATGACAATGGTGGTGTCTTCATGTGCTAGAGTGTTGCAGGGTAAAATAAGATTATGCTGGGAATCCCGTGGCACCAGGCCCCACACCTATAGGGACCTGCACTCCCCTCTCCTTTTATTGGAGCCACAAAATGATTCTCACCCTCTATACCCTCCCAGAAACAAATGATCCCATATAAATTGGGTCTGATCTAGTTTTGAAAAAATTTATAAATCAAGAGTCTACAAGCTCTGTTTGTAACAAAGGTCAGTGGCTTTTAACCTTTTGAGTCTGAATAGTCCTTTGTAAGGCTAAGGAGAAATGCCCTTGGTTATGGTCTCTGTGAAAGAACAGCTACCCTCTTTGCCAGGAAATAGCCTCTTGGCGTTGATGCTTTCTTACTGTTCTTCATCTTCTTGGAATACATTAAATTGGTTCCTTAAAACTTCCACCAAATAAGAAGAAAGCAAATACACGAACCACCCACTGTCCTTATTATCAGTATTTGTCCCTTGGAATGCCCCATGTCTTTGGATGGTTGGGATGTCCTGCTGTTCTCTTCACTTTTCCCATATCTGTCCTCTCTTGTGTGGCCATGGGGCAGTATACATTTCCCCCTGGTTCCGATGCATTTGTTTCAAAAACCTTCTTTAGGATAGGTTATTATGTAAGATTTTTGTTTTGTTTGGTATGTTGAGGTTTTTTTGAGACCTAAACACTAGAAATGGGGAGGACAGGAAAGCAGAGGGCAGTTCCATCTGATGGAACTTTCTGGAATGACAGTGATGTTGTGTATCTGCTGGCCAACCCAAAAGCCACCAGTAACATGAAACCACATATACCTGAAAAGACACTAATGCAACCAGAGAACTATTCATATTTTCTTCTGCTACTAACTACATTTCATAAGTTCCAGGTGCCTGATGGCTGCCACAGGGGGATAGCAGGGCCTTAGAATATCTAGAAGATAAGCAACATAGGTATCAGCAAATCAAGTGTGTGAGCTGAGTACTGCCACCTGTCCATACACTTCCTGTATTTTTGACTGCAGATAATAATAAATTTAACCATATGGTTATTTTTCATGGAAATTCCTTCTGTTTTTCATCATAAGTCACCTACTTTGATCACTTGTTTTACTTGAAATCGAATCTCTGGAAAGGATATTAGATAAATGCCATCTCTCTTGACGATCCCTTGCAGGTCCTAAAAGAACATTAATGCTTTGTACGTCTGTTACTGTACTTACAAAAATAACATTTCATAGTTAAAAGTTTGGAAAATAAAGAGAGAGCACAGAAAATAAACACTCCCAACTTTGGGTGTCTTTTCTTTTAGTCTTTTCTTGTTGACATATAATGAGAATGATGATGACAATGGTGACAGCTAATATTCACATAGTGTTTACAATGAGCAAGACACTTGTTTTTCTCTCATTTTAACTTACTTCATTATTTGAAATGTGTAGTCGCACTACTCCCTTTTTAAAAAAAGATATTTATTTACTTATTTATTTGAGAGAGAGAAAAAGAGCACTTGCAAGTGCACAAGCAGGGGGAGGGGCAGAAGGAGAAGTGGACTCCCCGCTGAGCAGGGAGCCCTACCAATGGGGACTCAATCCCAGGACTCTGGGCTCATGACCTGACTCAAAAGCAGACACTTAACCGATTGAGCCACCCACGTGCCCAATATTATTGCCTTTTTAAAGATGAGGAAATCAAGTCACAAAGAGATCACGCAGCTCGCCTGAAATGAAACAGTTAGTGGCAGAGCTTGAACCTAAACCCAGGCAATTGGCTCCAAATTGTCAACATGTATCTAAATACTAGAATTATAACCCTCCTAGTGTTAAAGTTTTCACGTGTTTGATTACATTTTGAAATGTATTTGGTAGTTGCACATAATGTCATTTAATTACATGATAATGCCCCCAGTTATTGGACATTCAGATTGTTTCCACTATTCCTCTATTATGAGTAATAATAAGGAAATATCTTCATACTTGAATCTTTGTGCTCATCTTTCCCTGTTTACTTAGGTTTAAATTCTAGGGGTGAGATAATGGGGTCAAAGGGTCTAAATACATTCAAAACCTCTGATACACCTTCTAAATCATCCTCCATAAATACTATACTATTTAACCCAGTACCAGCAGTTTATCACATTTGCTTTTTCCCTAAGAAGGACTAGGTCACTGATATAATTTTGTCCTATCTTCTATGAAGCTCAAAATGTTTTCTGGCTTAAGGGATACCTGGGTGGCTTAGCGGTTAAGTGTCTGCCTTCAGCTCAGGGTGTGATCCTGGGGTCCTGGAATCGAGTCCCATATCGAGCTTCGTGCATGGAGCCTGCTTCTCCCTCTGCCTGTGTCTCTACCTCTCTCTCTCTGTGTCTCTCATGAATAAATAAATCTAAAAAAAATGTTTTCTGGCTTTTGTTTTTTTTCTTAACAGACTTTATTTTTCTAAGCAGTTTCAGGTTTACTGAAAAATTAAGCACAGAGTACAGAGAGTTCCCACATATGCTCTCACTGCTCCCCAGCTCCCCTACTATTAATATCTTGCAGTAACGTGCTACATCCGTTATAACCAATGACCTAATATTAGTGGTGTTTATTAACTGAAGTCCATGGTTTATGTTTGGGTTTACTCTGTGTAGCACATTCTGTGGGTTCTGACCAATGCAGAATGCCATGCATTCACGTATCCATCACAGGATCCTACAGAATAGCTTTACTGCCCTAGAAATCCCCTGTACCCTGCCTGGTCATGCCTCTTCCTCTCCCTGAGGCCTCTGCCACCTTGAAACTCTTCACTGAATCCATGCTCTTCACTGAATCCATGGTTTTGCCTTTTGTCTGGCTTAATTCCCGATGAGTGTGTTTTTACTTTCACAGATGTATCAGCTCTGCACTTCACTCTGTTGAGTCTGGCCACTTGTCCAAGTTGAAATACTATCCATGTTCTCTAGCCAACCATGATTCATCAAAACAAACAATACTGACCCCTTTTAAAGATCAACCAACATCTGATCCCTGAGTGTACCTTACGTCTAAACTGTTTTGTCTACCCCTTAGCACTTCTGTAAGGCAGAGTCTCAGCCATACACTTGGCTGCTCACCCAAATCTAGGAGGCCAAAGTGACTAATCCTCTATATGTTGTAGGGGTTGTAGAATTTCTTAGGCAAGTACCTGAAGTTCCTGATTCTTGGTTTACTATGTTCAGCAGGACTCCTTACTCTTAAGTTAATTGAATGAGAAGCTGCTATTGGATATTAAAGCCATCACAGACACAAGAGAAGTGAAAATTGGTATCAGAGATTTCAAGAAGGAGGAAAGCGGGGCCCATTTGAACTCTTCAGTTGATTTTATGACTGCTTGGGGGAAAAAGAAAAAAAAAAACAATGGAAAAGAGGAGGCTCTGTGGGGGGCAGATGGAATTCTAACAGGAAACCCTCCCTGCTCTTGGCCATACCTGTTTGGGCAAGAGACTGGTTTTTTTTTCTCTGCCAGTATTCTTCCCCTTATTACTAACATCTGTTCTTTCATACATTTCACAGAGTAATTAGAATTCTTTGCTGCCTTGAAGGAAGGAAATGTAAGAGCTAAAAAATTTTTTCAGCCTCTGTTAATGACTACATTTACAGGTTATGATACTAAAAAAAAAATACCCAAATACTTTTCATCCTATTTGAAAGATACTTCAAGATAACCTCAGAATGAGCGTTAGTTTTGAGAATGCCATGTGAAGAACAGAGAGTAAAATCCAAAGGGCCCAGCATCCCATGTAGGAAGACACAGCCCCATGTCTTGGTTGGACCCAGGGGGCCCAAACAGAAAACTCAGTATGGTATCAGTGTGGTCACCACACCTACCGTTCTGGGTGAGTTTTGTGGAGCAAATGAGGGTGGCAATCTGAAAGCTGTCTTTTGTGCTATCCTTGGCTGGGGTAAAGTTGGCCAGGGTTTTGGACGCTTGGAGTTCTTTTTCTTCCATCTCTACCTTGGATCCAGGCAGGGTCAGATAGAATTTAGCATCTTCCATTTTCTTGTTGTCACCCTGAAAAGGATGTATGTTAGGGTCACCAAATGATGGGCAAAATCTCTTAGGTGCAAATAAAAGTAGTTCTATCATGAACACAGTGCATTTCCAGGGTGTGAAATAAGGTTTTCTCAAATTATATTTAATGTTCCTTCCAACTCTAAGACACTGTGATACTTTCCAGGGTTTGAGCCCAGAAATAGTTTCAACACTGAATAAATATGGAATAAGTTGTGAACTACAAACTGAGAACATCCTAAAACTCTGCTATAAATAAATAAATATTAAGGAATGAAGCTGGATTTCATTTTCTTGAACCTATAAATGGTCAGAATGATACATCATTGGGTTGATGAGTTACTGGATTCACCGGAAAGGAACAGTTTGCCATGCCTTCCAAAAATATTTGTGAAGTAAGGAGCTGTTACAGGAAGAGCCATACCAGGTAGATGCTGCTCTACCAGTTCTGTTATACCGTTAGATGAATGAGGCCTTCTTGCATCAACTTTCCACTAGAAAATCTCAGAAGATAATTCCATAGCAGTTAAAGAGTGAGGATCAAACTGCTAGGGAAGGAAGTGAGGCCCCCTAGCAGAGAAATGGTGCCTGGCTCTTGGTGATATGAAAACCACATCCTACCACACCTACCACACCCCAGCCAAGCCCAACAGTGAAACTATCTCTGTTCCATACAGGATGATGCAGAGGAGAGGAAACAGCACAGCCCTTGACCATTCACTGCTGCCTAATGCCACTGTAGGAAAGGGAGACATTCTTCAGAAGCCTCAATAATAATACAATTCACTCCTTACATAAAGGGGATGGGAGACCATGTCGCTAGAGAGACCAGAGCCCTCTGCTTTCCTGGACTTTAAGGGGCAAACACAGCTCTAGAGAGGTTTATACACATAATTCTGACTGGAGCCTTAACAATCAATTTCAGAGGGAGGAAATATTTCCTAAGCAATATTTTGAGCCTTGTTCTGTTAGCTCTACCTTATAAACCACCAGGTCATGCCTCCCATCCTGCAGAGTGGTGCCATCCGGGTTCATCAGTTTCACGAAGGCCACTCCAAAGGCTCGCTCCGATTTATCTCTGGCTGAAAAGACAGAAATAGATGTCTGAGCAGTGCAGAAAGATACCAGGAAGCATTGCCTATGATGGATGCTTTCATATTTTGCTCCAGGGTGTGATATTCAATCACGCTATAATCAACACTGTTCAGCAAGCTACAATAACCCATCTGTACTATGCATGTCACAGGAAATATTCCTCAAACTGAAATCTTCTAGTATATCCACATATGTGTTTCTTTCTGCATTTGCAAATGAATGAGACCAGCAACTACCCAATCATCTAAATAAAAAATGTGGATGTTGACTTTGACTCCAACCCCACGTCAAGTGCATGTCCTGAATACCTCTGAAACCTGTGCCTTTTCCCTCCATCCCTTCTGTTCCTACCCCAGTTCTTGTCAAGCCTTCCCTGTATTTCTAGAGGATCTCTCCAAGCAGTCCTTTTCAACCCCAACACTTTCTCCACGCTGCAGCCAGAATGAGATTTCCAAAAGCAGGTCTAATCAGGTCAACTATGCTGCTCCAAAATGCCTTCATGAAATATCTCATTTCTGTTGCTTTAAGATAGAGTTGGTGAAGTATTAATTATTCTCCAAGGTTTATTATGCAGGAGAGTCCAGCCTCCCCAAGAAAAAGTCCCTCTCTCTGGATCTTTAGGTGTTGGCCTCTGGGCTGTTTCTGTCCCCTAGTTAGGTGTCAATGCCTAGGGCAACCTGTGCCCTATATTCTCATCGAAGGCACAACTCTGAGGTTTGCTGTGGCTCACATGCCCCCTGGATCAGGTGAGTAGTAAACCATTGTAAATTACATTACAATCTGCTTATTCTTTCTCCTGTTGGTGGCCGTTAGGCTATATCCAATTTGGCAATATTATGAATAGAGCTGTTATAAACATAGAAAACCACAACCACCATCACCACCACCCACAAAACACCTTTTAATGGCTCCTCCATAACATGGTTCAAAATAACCACCATCCTTCACAATGCGGCTCCAGCTTGCCTAGATACCGACTGCTGAGGGGTCAACCCAGGCTGTGTCACTCCCCAGCCCTGTGGCTCTGGGCAAGTATCTCATTACTCTGCTCCGTTTCTTTTTTGTGTAAATGTGGATAAAAGCAGTATCTATTGTACTGGATTACTGTGGACACCACACAGTGTATAAATAGAGATTCACTTTAGTATTTCATACAAACTAAGGGCTTGATAAATGCTAGCTCAGTATTATGTAGAACCATATGAAATTGCTGATATTTGACTACTTGATATGGACCTACAAAAATAGCAATTTCGTGGGGCTCAATCTAATATTAGGACTGCTCCCACTTCAGCCCTAGGGCATTCACTTTGTGGCTTTCAAACACATTTCTCCACTGTCAGTGTTCACTGGCTAAAAGCAATTTCTTCTCTACCTCCAAGTCTCAGAATGTAGACTTCACACATAAATCCCAGAAGGGGTGGGATGCTATGCTCCACACCCCTTTACAACTTGTTGCTGGTGTAGGATATACCACACTGTTCTGGCCTTACTTGCCTTTTTTTTCTTGCTCCTCTTCCTAGCCAGCCTAACAGAGACTTCAAAGCATGACCCAGGTCCTATCATAGTTCCAGGGCCCGGCCTACAGTCCAGTATGTGGATGGTGTTCAGTAAATTCAGTTTGGAATGAAGAATTGCATGTTTATATGGTGTTGAATAAGACATTTCCAGAAATGTTATGATCTATCTGAACATAATCAATTTTCTTCTTTGTTCACACTTTTGAGTAGTCATTTCACAAACTGGGATCTAAGACTTGAAGTAGTTTTCTCATGGAAAAAAAAATTTAATTTGAGGAGACATCAACAGGTTTGCTTGCTGCAGGACTTCTCAGCAATATGGCAACAAACAGTGTGAATATCTAAGAGAGAGATAATATACAGCATTTCCTATTCCTATTTGACTGTGAAACTCTTTTTGCTATAGAGAGCATCTATTAATGTCATACATTCAGGGGAAATTCTTTTTTTAGATTTTTATTTAATTTCAATTTAGTTAATATACAGTGTATTACTAGTTTCAGAGGTAGAGTTCAGTGATTCATCAGTTGCATATAATACCCAGTGCTCATTCCATCATGTGCCCTCCTTAATGCCCATCATCCAGTTACCCCATCCCCCCACCCACCTCCCCTCCAGCAACCCTCAGTTTGTTTCCTAGAGTTAAAGAGTCTCTCATGGTTTGCCTCCCTCTCTATTTTTATCTTATTTTATTTTTCCTTCCCTTCCCCTATGTTCATCTGTTTTGTCTCTTAAATTCCACATATGAGTGAAATCATATGGTATTTGTCTTTCTCTGATTTCCTTAGCACCAACAAATCTTGAAAGAATGATGCTAAGTATCTATTTACCAAACATTTTGTTTTCCAGACCCACAAAAGCACTGTCAAGCAAGAGAATTTTTTTTTTTTAACAGAAATATGTTGTAGCCTTCTAGTACTTACATTCCTGAGATGACCTATGTCGGAAGGTAAATCTTATATGGCAGCGAGTAACTTCTTCTATAGGAATGGATACCTACATAATAATAAGGAACTTATTATTTATATTGTTTATATATACACAGTATGTTGTGCTCTTTGCTCGTTTTACAGAATTAGACTCATTTTTAGTATCTTATTACAGCACTGATTCCTACAGAGTGAGATTTGGATTTGGATCCATTCAAAGCAGATTTAGTCATTTTCAAAACCTAAAGAATCTCAAGAGAAATCCTCTTTGCTGTTTATCATATATTCTGAGGATGGAGATATTACAAGTTTCTAGTACTTTCTCAAGTACGAAAAGGATCAGTACTCTGGGGTCTCTACAGGAGCTTTCAGATGTCAAGATTGATTGTATATTGATGTAGTAGTAATTAGTGTTCATAACAGAAGGAAAAGATAAAACATTGGGGATCAGGAAGCTTTTTGCTGTTTACATATACAGAAGAGACAAGGAATACAGAAGTACGTGGCAATGAAAAGAGTAGAGAGTTTGTATAGCATGATTAGTGAAATATTATCCAAGTACCTAGAAATCCATTTCTGAAGAACTTTTAATGCCTTGAGATAAGTAGTTTTAAAAAGCACAATTTAAATCTGTTACAAATGGCATGTTGCAAAGCATAGGAAGTATATAAAATTGAGGAAAATGGTTACTTCTTCATTGAGATATTAGCGCAATTTTTTTCCCCAAGTTCTCTATGGAGAGCTCATAAGACTGACAATCTGGGATTCAGAAGAAGTTAGGTTTGGACTCTAAGCAGTTACAGGACCTTGGGAGGTCACCTGACATTTCTGAGTCTTAGTTACCTAATCAGAAAAGGGCGTTACCACACTGTTTTAGCCACAGGGCTATTGAGCGACTCACAGGGGATGGCTTATCTAAAAAGCAATTGGGAATATGTAACACACATATTTAAATTGAAAAGAGGCCCAGAAAACTTGGTTAGAGGCCAAGAAGACAAAAAAATGTTAGGCAACTGCTTGCAGAGTGTGAAAATTTCCATTTGGTTTTGGATCATCTTGGCAGCCTATTACAGCATTACAACTGCAAGTGTCTCTAGTCAAATTTTTACACATTTATCAATGAGAATGTTATTTATTTAAGAATTCTGAGTTAAAGATAAATACTCTCATGCAGAATTGTACCAATTCATTTCTTCTAGGACACCACAGGCAACCTATGTATAACTTCAGGATAAAGAAGGAATGATTTGTGGGTAAAAAAAAGGAATCTAAATGAGTTTTAATATATGATGGAGATTACAAGTAGCGCATCTCACCTTGACAGTTTCATACCAACAGGGCTGCTTGACTTGGTAATAGACTACTGATTTGTACTCTGAAATACCTTCATATCCAGCACCAGGATGAATTGCTTTCTTTGGATGCAAAGAAAAGAATGAAAAAAGGATATTTTTTATTATTTTTTATTTTAATTCCAATATAGTTGACATACAGTGTTATATTAGTTTCAGATGTATAATACAATGATTCAACAATTTTATACATTACTCAGTGCTCATCACAAGTGTGCTCTTAATCCCCATCCCCTATTTCACCCATCTCCCACCCACCTCCCCTCTGGTAGCCATCTGTTTGTTTTGTATGGTTAAGAATCTGTTCCTTGGTTTGTCTCTCTCTTTTTTCCCCTTTGCTCATTTGTTTCGTTTCTTAAATTCCACATATGAGTGAAGTCATATAATCTTTGTCTTTCTCTGAGTGACTTATTTCACTTAGCATTATACTCTCTAGCTCCATCCATTTTGTTGCAAATGACAAGATTTCATTCTTTTTGATGGATGAGTAATAATCCACTGTATGTATGTATGTGTATATATATGAACATATATATGTTTTCTTTATCTAGCCATCAGTCGATAGACACTTGGGCTATTTCCAAAATTTGGCTATTGTACATAACGCTGCTATAAACATAGAAAAGCATGTATCCCTTTGAATTAGTGTTTTTGTTTTTGACGGTAAATACTTAAAGGGATAATTTTGTATTTTGACGGTAAATACTAAAAAGGGATAATTTTATCTAGAAAAATAAGAGCACTCCACACACCATTCATGGGCTGTCTACCCTCCATGTGGCCAGTACATGCCTCACACTGGCACACATCAGCCGATCACATTTAGAGACTGAAGAATAGGATAAGAATGAGTTTTGGTCTACCACCTTCTTTGAGGGTATAAGTGGTATATAACTGTGGTAGTACCAAAGGAACCCAGCATCACCATAACACGCCTCCACTGTAAACTTTATTCTCTTTTCCATCTGCAGCCATATATTCTCTCTCCTTCCTCTTCCTTTTTATCTCAGGGAGCAGAGGGCCAGTAAAGGTGACCTGGAGCTATGGCACGCAAGCAGACGACCACTGTGTGAGGTCCTGTCCACGTACTGTGTTAAGGACCTGGTGTCTAGGTAGAGCATGTTCACTAAAAATCAGAGATATGTCTTTTCCTGGTAATGAGCCACTTACTTCAGTAGAACCAGGTCTCTAAGGAAGCACTTCCAAGCTAGTTAGCAAAGCTGTAAAGTACATAGTCAGGGGAAGATGTATACTTGAACTCATGGGGCTCCAGGGCTCTATCAATAGCACAAAGAAGTCACTCTCAAACCAGGACTACCATACTGTTTGTTCCCCTACCACAGAATAGGACTTGATTCAGGCAACTGTTGCTTTCAAAGATGATAACGTCCATGGGAAAGTGATGGGGATATGTATTCCACTGTGCCCAGAAACACCTTTGTGAGAGAGGCCTTCAGAGAGTGTAGGTCTTCAATTCCAAAGAAGGTAACTAGAGGTAACTATGACTCATACAAGGGGAACTGGATCTCAGCCGGGACTAATAGGGCCTCCTACCTCTCTTTCTGCCTGACGTCAGAATCAACACTCACTACACTTTTCCATCCGGACAGGATGCTGCCACGGTTGGAGGACCTCCAGGAGGAAGGAGGAGGAGGAACTCCTGAAAGCCAGGATACCGAGATCTAGTCTGACCTCCTCCAATGACTTCTGTGTTTCCACGAGGAGAGAGCTCGCCCCTTGTGGACTGCAGTTTCATAATTACTAAAACAAAATCTAAAGACCAGTCTGAGGTAGTCGATGTGACCCAAGAGTCTCGCCAGTTTAAGAGCTCTCTACTGGGTGCATCTCCTCTGGTTCTGTCTCCTCAGTTCAGGCAGTGTGCTCTTCAGGCACCCATGCCACCTCGCTCAAGCCCCACAGGGACTTACCGGGCTTCAGAGTGGCCAAATAACTTGAAAACAATATAGAATTTCTGTATCAGAAGCATACCCATGAAATCACTGGTAGCTGGATATATTTCTTAGCATAGGAGAAAATAAGAATAAAAATAAGAATCTAAGTGGGTTTATTAGTAAACTTGGTAAATTGCTAATCACAAATTTAACAGGTTCCATACTTTTTCCTTGTGAAAAAGCAAAAGCATATGAACGTGGAGAACCATTTGCCTCAAACCAAAGTCCTGAGTTGTTGTAAAGAAGTGTGTGAGGGCAGCAGGATTTCTGGGTGGTCCCACATACCTCCAAGAGCTTGCCCTCCTCATCATACACAGACATGGTCACTTCCACGTTTTTTGGTGTCTTCTTTTTTCCTTTGTCAAACTCTCCATGGATCAAGGTGACATAAATATCATTCCGAACATCACCTACAACAGGACAACCCACCTGTGAGTGGTGCTGAGAAGTCATTTTTAATTCTCAGGATGTAATAAGATATATAAATAAAATATGAATTGCCCTGACTTCATAGGGAGCTATTCATATAGCAGAAGTTTTTATATGTATTGTCCTCTTCAGCTGTCCTATCTATCATTCCATACAAACCAAAGTGTCTTTAAAATGCAGTGCTTTATTTTTCTTAAAGGTTTTGTTTATTTATTCATAAGAGACCCAGAGACAGGCAGAGACATAGGCAGAGGGAAAAGCAGGCTTCCTATAGGAAGCCTGATACAAGACTCGATCTCGGGACCCCAGGATCATGACCTGAGCCAAAAACAGATGCTCAACCACTGAGCCACCGAGATGCCCCAAAATGCAGTGGTTTAAAATGAACTCCTTCCAATAGTAATTCTTTGTTCTATTTATTAATAACTGCTGTCTAATAACAAGTATACAATGTATCTTATTAGGTTACAGTGGCAGATTTTTTTTTTCAATAATACCTTGGAGGGCAGTATTTTCACACATCTGAAAATAATGAAAGCTAATGTTTATTGGGTGTTTCCTCTGTGCTAGGCACTGTCCAACGTGACTTATAGGCAATAATTTATTTGATCCATATAATAACCTGATGAGATAAACATTGTTTCTAAAAGCCTGTAGAACACTTTGTTTATTTAAATCAGTCTAATTGTTTTTAACAGTATCATGCACACTTTGAGCACTTTGCATTCTCATCACTCATCTGTTTAGAAGGAAAATTAAGATCTTGCCCACAGTTGCTTAAGGTGAGACAAAAGGGGCTTATTCATACAGCACAGTTTGAAATCTTAATTAACATATACTTTGTAACTGACAATTGTGTTAAAGCAACTGCACTGGTAACATTTGTCCCAAAGTATTAAGAATCTGAGTGAAAATTTATTTATAAGGATATTCATTGTGGTATTGTTTACAAAAGTGAAAAGTTGGAAAATCCTTAGTTGCCAACAATAGACAGCTGTCTGATGTACAAAGTACCATACATTATGGTACAATCAGATGAGATAATATTCATTTATTCCTGTAAAAAACTGATGAACACCTACTCTGTACAAAGCACTGTGCTAGGTGCCTGGGAGACGATGGTGAGCCATGCACCAGCCTCACTCTCACACAGATCTAGTGGGGAAGAGAAGCATTATCAGATAATCATAGGACAAAGTGAATCATTATCAATGAAGAAAAACTCTAGGCTCTGTGAAGGCATAACACTAAGTCTCAACTGTGTCTGGAGGGTGTGGGAATCTTTACTCTGAACTGACACTGGAGGGAGGAGAGTAAGAGGGAGAGAAAATAGCATGTGCAAAGGTCCAGAGGCAGTAGACAGAGTATTGCGGTCCAAACATTAATGGTTGGCAGTAGCTAAATGGCGGCAGTAGCTACAATTAATGTGGTGGCAACGGAGAAAGGGAGAGGGGGACAGCTTTGAGAGGCCTCTAAAGGTAAAACTGGCAAGTCTTAGACACTTTTTTTGTGTGAGGCCTAAAGAAAGGGAGGTTTGGCAGTGCAACTGGATGGATGCGGGTGCCATTCTCTTAGATAAAACACATCTGAAAAGCCAGTCTGGATGCGGAGGATTGCAAGTTCCAAATGGGGATTTTGAGACAAAATTCACCAGTTAAAGAGAAAAGAGTGATCCAGTGAGGCAGGAATAGTACCTACTCAAGTCCAGAGGCAGGAAGTGGTTGGATCTATGGTAACAGAGTTCAAAGGAGTGGTTTTGAGGGCACAGACAGGAATTTAGAGGGAACTAACATACCGAGGGAAAATGAGAGGATGAGATCACATAGGAAGAAAATATAATTATGAGAAGGAGAAGAGGCCTGTTATGGACTCGAGCATTCCCCCTAAATTCACATGCTGAAGCACTCACCCTAGTACTTCCACATGTGTTGGTCCTTGGAGACAGACCCCTTAAACAGGTGATGGGTAAGATGAGGTCATATGATTGGGCACCAATCCTGTATGACTGGAATCCTCATAAAAAGAGATTAGACCCAGGGGTGACCATGTGAGGACACAATGAGAAGATGGCTATTTCCCAGCTAAGGAGGGAGGCTCAGAAGAAACCAGCTCCATGATGCCTTAATCTCGAACTTCCAGCCTCCAAAATGGGAGAAAATAAATGTCTGTGGTTGAAGCTGCCCATCCTGTGGTACTTTTTTGGGGCAGCCCGAGCAAACTAATACAGGCAATAAGGACTAAATACTGAGGAACTCTTAACAGGCGAGGTAGAGGGTGACATGCTAGCAAAGGGAAATGGAGGAAAAAAGAGAAGAGTGTGGGTCCCTGACGATGAGGGGGGAACGTTTCAACAAGGGAGTAGTGGGTCGTGTCACGTGCTGCTGAGAGAACCAGAAACAATACTTAGGCTAAAAAAATATCCACGGGACTTAGGTGACATTACAAACTCTGGTGACTTTAGTGACACCATTCTGGACAGAACAGAGAGTGGCTGGCAGATGCAGAAACAGAGAGTATGTGATCACTTCTTAGATTCTGGCAGAGAGCAGGAGCGCCTGAGCCAGAGGGGGGAGTCTAAGGCATCTCTGGAGCCTGTTCAAATGGTGATGAGGAGCTACAAGATAAGGGACCTTGGTCTTGATCTCTGATTTCTCAAACTTGGCCAATCACCAGAATCAGCAGGGGAGCCCTAGTCCTACAAACTGAATCAGAGATCTGCAAGACTCTGGGAACCTGCATTTTAATGTTTCCCAGCTGATCCAAAGACCAGCATTTGGGAGCCATCATCCCAGATGATTTTCAGAGTCTATTATACAGCCCTGGCAGTCTGGGAACCAATCCGAGTAACTAGAAAGACTAGAAAGAAATCTTCCTAGCCAGATTTGAAAGATCAATTCGCTTTGTCCAAAAAAATACATCTCTCCATTTTATTTTTTCATCTTTTGTTCTCAACGTAGTAATAACACAGCCTGCAATTATAGGAATATTACCAATGCTTATGTTTTTAAACAAGAAGAAGACAAAAATTTTCACAGAATGAAGATGAAGATGTGTTAGGCTAAGGAAGTCTGGGAGGGAATGACATCAGTGGACTTCTTTCATGAGAAAAGAAGATGGTCTCCATTTAATAGTTCTTTTTCCCATTCATCTTTTTTTTTCCATTCATTTTTTTCAATGCTCACTACATGCAGACAGTGTGTGTGGCAACACAGTATTACTGCTCCTTAATCTTCAAAATGAGTAAGATGTTGTATTACTTTAAAAAAAAAACCCAATTTTTATGCAATAGACAACAGCAAGGTTTTCTTAAATTTCTCCAACATGCCAAAGATTACTTATTTATATATTCTATCTACCCATCTATAAAACATATAATATGATGATCTTTTAATGTTTATTTATAACACAAATGCTTTATGTAATACATAAATATCTTATATAAAGTTCCTTGAGGTGATTTCCCTTTATTACTATAAACATTGAGAAATTAAATGGGTTAAGTCAGCGAATTCAAGAGAACACACAGGCAGATCACCAACACGTGATGCCAAAAAAGACAAAACTAAAGTAAGAAGGCTGTAGAATGTTTACATTCTTGTCACCACAAGTATGGGGAGAGCCAAGCACACAGTCGGGATTTAAGCAAATGGGGCCGAGGGTCTGGCTGATGCTGAGCTGAGCAGTCACCTCCCTAGAGCTTCCTGGCCCGCAGCCCACAATGCCGGGATGTCATCCTGAGAAAGCGACACGGGACGAGGCAAATCATCTTTGGTACAAAACCAGTGCTCCCATTAGCTCTCCCTAATGGATAATTTAGGGAAGAATTTCAGAGGGGCTTTTGCAGAGCATAAATGAAGAGCATGAAGAGGAAGCTCTGAGCTACATGCAGAAGCATTATCTCATGCTTGTGTACTAGGTACCCCCACTCTGTTAGTGTCCCCTACTGTCTTGATACCACCAAATGCAGGTAACTAAATACCACAGAGGATCTTACGTTGCCTCAACCACTCTGTTGGAAGTCACTGCTACATGAAGGGAGAACTAGAGGAAGCAGAACAGATGAACCAAGTCAAAGCTTTTACCTGGAAGTATTATTTCAGGAAAGCCCATTTTTCGGGCGATTGCAGTTGATCTATCCACCAAGTGTGAAAAATTCTTCTGAACCTGCGTGAGGTCACCTGGCAAAAGCTTCAAAGATATCCAAAGTCCTTGAAAGAAAGAGAGGATGAACTTTTAGCTAGCTCTCTTTATGATCTATACCATAAACACACATCGAAATGCTGAGAAAAATATACGCATTGTGTTAATATACAGATACTTTATTATAAAAATGTAAATTCTCCCCCAGTGAACTTAAATTTTCATGACACGCCTATCAAAATCACAATAAGACTTCCCTGAGAATTTGACAGAGGTGTGAACAGATGTTTACTTTGGGGGAAAACAGAACACGAGTAAAGATAGCCCCCGCCATCAGATACTAAAATACTGTAGAGCTGTAGTGAAGTGTTGTATTCATGGTAGAAAACAATTAGATTAATTACTAATTAATAGCAATTTAATATATAGTAAACATGCATAACAAATCCTGAAAGAAAGAAACAATTTCATAAATGTGCTGGAATAATTTTCTTGCTACTTAAGAGAATCAATCTAATTTCTTACCTTGCTTTTTCATTAAAATAAATTCCTACTAAAATAAAGAAGTAAAATGAACCTTTTTTTCTAAGTATAGAGACAAATGAAGAAATCAGACATAAAAAGAATTACTGAGGGACATCTGGGTGGTTCAGTCAATTAAGTGTCTGACTCTTGATTTCGGCTCAGGCCATGATCTCAGGGTCATGGGATCGAGCCCCATGTGGGGCTCCACACTCAGTGAGGAGTCTGAGGATTCTCACCCTTACCCCTAACCCTCTCCCCACTGGTACACACTCTAAAATAAATAAATAAATCTTTTTAAAAAAGAATTATCTATACACAAATGGAAAGTTGTGATATTTATAAAGAAGTGAAATGCAGGCTACAAATGGTGAAATACCCCTAAGAAATTACAAGAAAAACATCAAATACATTGACCATGAAGACGCTATTCACAAGGAAGTACATAGGTTGGCGAATCTTTGACACATCAAAAATTGAAAAATACATGTTCTGTATAAGACATTATCTTCATAAAAACTGAGAAGGAAACCTTTAGGAAAACTCACAAATGCATAGGAAGGCTAGGTAATTCATCATCAAGTAGTTTTGTTTTGTTTTTTTTAAATGCAAGGGAACTCTGGAAGTCTACTTTTCACCTTTCAAACAGGTGAATTTTGTTTAGTTTTGTTTTGTTTTGTTTTGTTTAGAGAGAGAAAGAAAGAGATAGAGCATGCACGATCAAGTGCATGCAAAGGGCAGGTGAGAGGGAAACAGAATGAATCCTAAGCAGCCTCCACATCCAGCATGGAGTCTGACCCAGGGCTGGATCTCATGACTCTTGAGATTATGACCTGAACCAAAATCAAGAGTCAAACGCTTAACTGACTGAGCCACCTAGGGGCTCAACAAACAGGTAAAGATTTCTAAATATCAGCTCACCAAGTGGGCACTGTGATAATTATCACCCAGTGGCAGAAGTCGATAGGAAGCAATCTGGAAATACGTGTATCTCTGACTTTGAGCTCATTCCGTCATTTGACCCAGGAATCCTACTTCTGGGAATTTTCTTAGGGGAGGTAATCCTAACTATGGAAAAAGCTTCATAAATAAAAGTAGTCATAGCAGAGTTATTTAAATTCATAATGGTGACAAAATAGAAAACACTAAAGTGTTTACTTAGGGGGGGCAAATTTTCTTAAATCCAAGCAATAAAATATCATGCAGACAGCTACAGAAAAATATTTGTGATGAGCATAAAAACATTTGAAAAGTATTTGCTTTGTTAAGCAGCAAGAGAGGAATTTTTTTTCACTTTTATTTGGGAAAAAAAATTACACACACACAGCAATTTGTTTAGTATAAGGATTTTCCACTCTAAAAAATCATATTCCAGGTTAGGAGGTCTAATACAACAGAAACATATTTCACTATTCATTTTCAGATTCTTTTATGATTCTTCACCATGTCTTTCCTGTCCAGAACAACTGTGAATACATGGAAAATGAAATACATTGAAAATAATGTTTTCTGATTGCCTCTACTTCAGTAGATAGTCACAGGGCGGTAAAAAAAGAAAAAAAAAAAAGAAACAAAAAAGAAAATGAAAAAGAAAAAGAAAATGAAAAAAATGACCCAATCTTCAAAATTATCCCCAAATCATCACCATCTTAATATTTGAATTTTAAAATTTTAGCTAGTTTTTTTTATATTATTTGAATTTAAAATGCAGTTTCAATGGGTGGAATTTCTTAATTAAAACGTGTCAACTGAGATGCCTGTGTGGCTCAGTGGTTGAGCATCTGCCTTTGGCTCAGGCTGTGATCCCAGGGTCCTGGGATCAAGTCCCATATCGAGCCCCCCATAGGCAGCCTGCTTCTTCCTCTGCCTATGTCTCTGCCTCACTCTCCATGTCTCTCATGAATAAATAAATATTTAAAAATAAAATAATAAAACTTTGTCAATAGAATATTATACAGAAGCACTAAAAACAACTCAAAATGTTCTGCTAGTTAGCCCATTGTTTCACATTAATATCTGTTCATTTGTATCACTTTGGTCTCTTTCCTCTTCATTTTAGGGAATGTAATGAAATAGACATTTAGAGGGTGGAACATAATAATCCCCAAACTTCTTTCTCTTTGTGCATTTACCTAGAATTAGCATTGGGATTGTAGGGGAGACAAAACTAAGAAAGGATCCATGGGATAAACATTGGTCCCACAGAATTTACAAAATACAGCTGTGATCCAATTCTGTGCTGGGTGCAGCTTTGATGCTCCTCAGTATTAAATGCCTTCAGCAGGAAGCTGAGGTAAGCAACCCCCCAGTAGCATCTGCTTTGCATCAGAGAAAGACAGGGAAAAGCGCCCAAGTCCAAGGACCCAATGCCAATGCCGCTCCCCCACTCCCCCTCCCAGCTTACTAATGCAGGGCTGTGTACCTTGTCCTTTGTGATTCACTTCCTTCGCTGCTATCACTTTATTCAAGACTGAAGTGAGTGGCTCATTCTCCCCAATCACATGGGATGTTATCAGGGGTGACATGATTAGCTGTCTCTGTCGGATATAGGTTTCCATTGCAATTCTGGGAAAATCAGAAATGAGAGGTAAGGAAAAAAGGGGAAGTTTCTGCAGCACAGCTTCAAATTGGGTGGGTCCTGTAATAATTTGGAAATATAAACACTAGACACATCTCACTAGAGGACTCTTTCTTTCCTTTATTTTTCCTTTAAGCGCCTATCTTGGTCATTTCCAAGATGAATTTGGTGTCTAAGATACACACTCGATGGAAAAAGGAAAAATAAACTTCTCAAGAACAAATGAAACTGATGTGGCCAAATGTTAACAAAATCAGAGACAGTGCCTAATGCTCTTTCTGAGGCAGGAGAGGCTGATGTAATGGAACTGGGGATGGAAGCAGGGATGAGGTAGGAGACCTGGCCTCCAGTTCTGGTTCTACCCAATGGTAAGCTCCGGGCCTCAGTTTCCTCATCTGTAACATGAGTCTAGATCATATGCCTTTCAAATGGCTCCATCTGGCACCAACACCCAACCTACATACAAGAGCAGTATGCAAAAAGCAGCTTTTGGAGGCTGTCCCTAGATTCTCATGTGATGACAAACTATATGTAGAGTTACGATGGCATAGCCACTGGCAAACAAGCTTCACTTTAATGATCCCACCAGGCCGAGGTTCATATAGGGAGATCATAGAGCCAAACACAACCCCTCCTGACAGCACACTCACTCTCAGGTGCTACCTATCAGCCTGGTGCAATTCAGTAGTCTCCCTCTGTGTTGTGGTTTTGTTCTTTTGCCCACTACACAAGCCAGCTTTCTCTGCAGGGTTCTGATCTATATTCTGATAGTAGCAGGAAAATGTAATGCAATGTCTTACTGAAAAGCGAGGTGGCTGTGATCTGAATGGCTGTCTTCAAATGACCCTCTCTTAAAGGGACTAGCAGAATACATATAGGAGACTCTCCTGATATAACAGCACTGTAAAGCTCTTGAGATAAGTTATGAAAATATTTGCCATAAATCTTAGGAGTGAAAAGCCAGAGACTTGTGATTTGCATCATAAATGCTTTACAGTGGCTGTTGGCTGCACAGTGAGCAGTAATCAAATTGGGGCTGGGCTCCTCAGCAACTCAAAGTGTGTATTATTATATGGGAAGGCGATCTCAGGGCTTCACTGCTTCAACATGACAGCCGGATGGGCACTAGTTCAGAAATTAGGCAGGGAGGCACATAACCAAAGGATGAAATAGACCTCAGAAGTGAAATACACCTACAGAATAACTTTCGCATCCATGCATGCTGCTCCTATTACATATATACATATATGTGTATATACATCATGCACATATAATAGTGACACATAATAGCATTATGCACATATATAATAGGAACATCCATGGACACATAAGTTCTTTATGTTTATATATATCATGACCTATAATATATACATTTTAATGTATCTAAATATATATTCATATTTATTCTCTATATATTATTTACTTAATATTTACTCAACATTTAAGACAGTCATATATTAATATATAAATACATTTTTAACTCCATGGATTAATATAAAATTATAGTTTAATATAAAAATTTAATATAAAATTATATGTTTATTACATTTAATATATTTATTTAATATACTTGAATGTGTATGAGCTATTTATATTGGGATCAACATTCAAGAATTTCAGAGTCATCTCATAATTCATATTAGTACTAAGCTACATAAAATATTTACCTTGTCACATTCTTGGAGGGTCAGTGTATAAGTGGTAGGATACTAAGTAAGCACCCATTTAAAAAAATATTAATAGCAGCCTTTGGATGAAGGAAGAAAGTGCTACTTAGCATAAGCTATTTGTACTATTACTATTACTATTAGAAACTGGTCCAACGGTGGTAGGGTTTAAACTGAGAGAGAAAGATTTTTGTACTTTAAATAAAATTACATATAATACATATTTTTTTTTTGTAGAAAAAACAGGAACACAGAGTTAAACAAAAATGGAGTAAAATCACCTTTGGTTATATTAACGGAAATACTCACTGTTAATTATGGAGTATATTCTTTGAAATATCTACATTTTGAGGCTTCTAATGCCCTGTAACAATTTATATAAGTACCATGTATTTTCTTATGTCCACCCAAACTCCAGATATTGTATATATTTTCAAGACTCAGTCAAACCAAATATCAAGACTCCTTGCTTAATTTGCATTCCATTGATTCTCAATGAATTTACAGGCCATTTCTTTCTTTGTGTACGTGTGCATGGCCATGTGTGTATATATACACATGTATATTATTTTCTGCTCATACCTTTATGAATTTCTACTAATTATATAGTAAAAATATTCATCCTTTTTTCACATACATTGCAAAGATTTTACTAAATTTTATTCTGGACATAAGTTATTTAAAATTTTTGTGTGGTTTAACCTGTCAATTTTTCTTTTTTGGTCAAATCTTTGGAGTCTGAGTCAGCAAGACCTCCCACACACCACTATTACATAAAACTTCCATTTTTCTGCAGTATTTTAAGATTTTAGTTCTTACACTTATACATTTAATCAATCAGAATTTACAGTGGCACAAGATGTGAGACAAGGCTCTAGTTTAGGTTCCATAAATGATTAGCTAATTTTGTCAAATAATTCATCTCTGCATAGTTCCTATTTCTTCACTGATGTGCACTATTATTTTAAAAAAAAATCATATATGAATTTGAGTATCCTTGGGCTGGTTTCCAGAATTCTCAGCAGTTCTACTGATCTGCTGTGGCAGCTACAGGTTGGCTGAGACAGTCACCCTCCCTCACTGACACGACTGCTCTGTTAGGACTCAGTTCTATCATCTTCCGTGGCCTCATTTAGGCCACCTGCATATGGGGTAATGCGAGCACGACTGCTAGAGCCAGCCACCATGTTCACACATACACTTCTTCAGAGTCATGTTGGTTGGCATTTGCTGGCCCACAACTCCCCGGGGGCCCACCCAGGCCTCCAGCTCCCAAAGCTCAGTCTAAGTCTTAGCCGAGCTCTTCAGGGAATCCTTTCATGTCCTCCCAGGCTGGTTTTCCCTCCACCAGCAGGAGCCCAGGCATTATTAGTCAGCCCCTCACTCTCAAACCTCCTACACTCCTTCTACTCAAAGTGTGGTCTCCAGCTCAGCAGCAGCAGCAGCAGCAGCAGCAGCAGCAGCCAGAAGCTTGTCAGCTCAGCCTCCAGACCTACCAGACCACGTTTTTTGTTCTGACAAAATCTCACAGAAGCCCTGTGCTGTCCTGAATGATGCCCTGTCTTCTGTAATACTTGCACCCTACAACAGGGTGCAAATACACTTTGGCCTTTCTGACACTTACAGGGCACCATTCTCTGGTTTCTAGTGTGGACAGAGATTTGCCCCTTCTATTCCATCAGCCTTTCCATAAAATCAGAAAGGTTACATTTGCCCTCTTACATGTGATCCCAATATAAAGGACCTTGAATAAAGCCTTCTGTCAACTTCTATCTCACAATCTTCCAGCTTCCAAGGCTTTCCTTCTGTAACTGAGCAAATGGTTCCTAGCACCTGGTTCTGTGTTAACAGATCATTCAGAGAACTACTCCCGGTCTCAAGTCACCCGGGATAAATGCCAAAGTACTTACTGCTGAAAGGGAATAAAATGCTGCTTTTCTTCATCATCCACCTTCCCATGTATGATATCAGTAATATCCATCACTAGGAAAAAGATAAAACTTAATTAAAGAACTTAATTGCTTCAGGCTTCAATAAGTTACAATGGAAAATTATGGTATCTGCAAACACAGGACACTAGAGAAGAAAGATACCAAGCAGGGACACCCCGTGTCTTTGCCAGCGAGGACTCCCTGTGCCCAGCCTGCAGAACGATTCATCAGGAGCTCTGGCAGAGGCTTGGATTTCTCTCAGATCAACCCTGCAAACTACCCACTTTTTAAAATTCTACACGACCATGTGCTAAATTCTTGAGAAATCTGAAACCATTTTGTTTGTTTGTTTGTTTTAGCAAGCCTGCGTTCAAAGACACAGAGCACACATGTTTCTGTTAGGAGTGTTAAGAGAATGAAGATCTGAGAAACTCAAAACTGAAGTGGTCAACCGCCTCTTGGACTTGGCATAGTCGCACCTGGTTTCCATGTCCACAAAGGTAAGCCAAGGTGCCAGCAGCACAGAACTGAAGATCACACAGTGATTTGCTCCTTTGACAAGAAGAGCAAGTAATACAGCATCGTTCTGCACCTTCCGGGTATATTATCTTATTATACAGATACTATTATTTGCCCTACTTTAAAAGATGAGCAAAATGAGCACAGGAAAGGTTGGTAATTGGCCCTAGATCCAAAGTTTTAAGTGGTCAAGCCAGGGTATGAACCCAAGAGTGATTATGGGGTCAAATCACTTAAGCCAATAATGCTCTGCTGCCTGGAGAACTAATAAGTGGGCCACTCCACAGCTGCTCAGACGAGGCAGGGCCCATGGCCAAGAGGCCACCCGTGGTTAATGAATTACAATCCGGCCATAAAACACACACTCACAATCTACTCTCCTGATAACCTGTTTGGAGATTAAAAGAAGTACTGATATAGGAAACATTTCTCATATGAAAAAGTAAAGGATAAGGACAGAAATGCCTTCTCAAAGCCAGTGGGTAAGGCCTGGGAAATAATAATGTTGGTGAAAGGATGCTGTGAAAGTGGGCTGTGCCATCAGCCCCTAACAGACCCCTACAAATACTGTACAAAAAAAATGCTGAAAAATCTGTGTCTGGCACATGTAGTCCTCAAACAGGCAGTTCATTTGCTGATGCCATCATGTAGTTACTCATCTGCTGATCGGTGCTTGGCATCAAGGATCAGAGTAAATTACTGTTCTCTCCTTACATGTGCACCCACCCACCTACCCTGAAACAGAAAAGCAAGCAAAGCCGCAAGCTTGATGTTCCAATCTCTTTGGCCCATTTGGAAGGACAGTGATCTCAAATATGCCCTAAATTTGAAGTTCAGTGGATTGTCCTATACATGGCTAAATTGTGCTAGACCAGGGCTCTCTGTCTTTTCTGAGATTTCATTTTAATTCTCTATCAGGAGTAATGGTGCGCCCCCTTCAGAGACTGGCAGACCTTGAGCAGCAAATGGGAGTGCAAGGCTGGTCAAGGGATGAGAGTGCAGAGTCTCATAGAGAGAAAGCCTCGTTTTCCACACAACCCACAAGTTCAAGCCTGCTGACATTTTCTGGCCATTTGTTCCAGGAGAATTACGGCATTTCATTGACAGCGTTCAAAACTTCTTGGCAACCAAGACGTCAGTGTATGACCTGGAATGTATTTCCTCAATTTAACAAACTACAGAAGAAAATGCAGGGCCTCTCGGAAGGGATTTTGATTTAAGCCAAGGGCCCTCTTTGAAAGCAGTTACCAACACCATGTTGTCTTTGAAGAGTAAATCTCTCAGACCAGGAAAGTCTTTCTAGGGAGAATTTTATTGGACTGAAATCAATATGCAGCCCGCAGGCAGGGAGAATGCCAATAGTCACAACTGAGCCTCTACTCCGGTCCTACTGAGCACAAGGCACTGTGCTGAGCACTGAGAGAAAAACAAAGGAGATGGGGTCTAGGCGAGGATGCAGAACCCAAGAAAAGACAATTGGTAGCCCTGGGCAGTAAATGCTGTGTGTCTGATACTAACGCTGACAACCAAATTCATCTTGCACTCTCTCTAGGTTTCCCTCCCTATCTTTAATTGTGTGTGTGTGTGTGTGTGTGTGTGTGTGTGTGTGTGATGAGGGTAAAATATACGTAGCATAAAATCTGCTGTTTGGGGCACCTGGGTGGTTCAGTGGTTGAGTGTCTGCCTTTGGTTCAGGTCATGATCCCAGGGTTTGGGGATTGAGTACCACATCGGGCTCCCCACAGGGAGCCTGCTTCTCCCTCTGCCTATGTCTCTGCCTCTCTCTCTCTCTCTCTCTCTCTCATGAATAAATATTTTTTTAATATGCCATTTTAAGCATTCGTAAATGTACAGTTTAGTGGCATGAAGTACATTCACAGTGTTGTGCAGTCAGCTGCACCATCCATCTCCAGAACTTTTTTATCTTCCCAAACTGAAACTGTCCCCTTTAAACACGAGCTCCCCTCATTCCCCTACCCCCACCCCCAGCAAGCCCCATTCTACTTTCTATCTCTGTGACTCCGACCACTCTAGGTACCTCATGTAATTGAGAGCATGCTGTTTATTTTTTTGTGACAGGCTTATTTCACTTTACACAACATCCTCGGGGTTCATCCACATTGTGGACTTTCCTTCCTTTTTAAGGCTGGATGATATTCCCCTGTATGTACAGACCACATTTTGTGTACCGTTTATCTATCCATGAACACTTGGGTTGCTTCCCCTTTGGGCTATTGTGAATAAGGGTGTACTTGTACCCGGGTGTACAAATATCTTATGACCTTCTGCTTCCAGTTCTCTTGGGTAGACACCCAGAAGTGGGATTCCTGGATCATAAGTTCTATATTTCACTGCTTGAGGCCCTGCCATGCTGTCTTTTTTTATAGCGGCTGCACCATTTACATTTGTCTCTGGGTCGTTCTGTACCTGCTACTCCAAAAGGTCTTCGGAGCCCACAGGTGTGCTTTTTGCCCTCCTTCAGCTCCATGTGGCCCACTCGGACAATCTGGCACACGAGGCTGATGCGGGGTCGGATGAGGTCTGTGCTACTGAGATCCTGAAGGGACAGAGAACATGTAAAAGGAGATCATGCCACCTCACCCTGTCACCTTTGTTTCTCTTTTCACTCTACAACAGACCACCGTTTGGAGCGTATTTTCCTAATGTTAGAATTGCAGCATAACTCCTCCCTTCCCCGTCCCCACCCAAGAACTACCATGGTATCCCAGGAAAATGACTGTATTCAAAAAAGGAAGGAATTTTTTTTATTTCCCAGTTCCTACTTCAAGTTGAGAAATCAGATCTTGGTTGAAAGTCTCTAATTTATCCATTTAAGCAGGGTACCTAAAAATTGGGACACCTGTCATCGCTACTTTCTACTCTGCTAGGACATAGCTGAGCACAGGATGCATTTCAGTGTCAAATGAAATCAAAGACACTGTGTGACACTGACATTTATGGGGGAATCTATACAGGCTGGTGATATTTCATTTCATCTCCCAAATAATCCTGTGAGGCAACTATAACAGAGAAATTTACATGTGCTGGTTTCTATAAATTATTCATCTGTTTTATGAGAGGCATTCATTGAGAGCTTCTGGGTGTATGTTGATTAATGAAAGATGTGTAGATAAGATGTCTTTTTTTTTTTGTGGTTCATGTTCTACACTTGTTTGTATTCTTAAGGCTGGATGAGTAAACCCATGAATGAGCCCACGTATCCCATTCTCTAACATCAAAAATAATTTAATTGCATTTCAAATTCCTTTCATGATACAGCTATCCAAGGCCTCTTTACTGAATCAAGAATTACTTTCTGAATAGTCACTCCAAACCCATCCTCTGTAATTTAGTTAACTCAGGTCTCCAAGATAAGAATACAAAGCAATGATAGCATCAACCCTGAATTTCTGCTCTAGGTTTTGTGAGGCTTCTGTTAATAGAAACGTAAAGACTCTAGGTGACTATTTATACAAATGTGGCACACTGATATTATTTAATAATGTACAATCATTTGTAAAAGAAGATTTTGTAGAATGTTGAGTGATCAAGAAAGTGGTCACCACATTTTATTTAATTGAAAAGGCTGGAAATGAAATTTACTTCCCAAGAAGACCCTCATTGGTAAGGGGAGTGGGGGGAAGGGGATGAAATGCAGCTTTTCTAAAATGCTATCGAGTAGAAGATGAACCAAAAATTCAGCAATTCCTTTTATAATGTGTTTTTTTTTCCCAAGGGACACGTTGAAATGATAAATGCCTTTTGATTTTAGGGAAAAATCCACATTATCTGTGAACTGAGGAAGGAAGGTTTCAGGAAGAGTTCCAGCTCTTTCTCTTTGTTTGCCAAGTGGTAAAGATACAGGTGTGTCAGTATATGAGCAGTAATGACACCGTGCTCATCCCAGAAATGAGATGTTAATAGAAGGACTGAATAATAATGAGAAATGAATGAACAAATGAGAGACTGATGCACCTGTACTGGGTCTGCTGCTCCATATCACGTTCTTTGGCACTTACACTATTTTCCTTGCTGTAGGAGTAGTAAGAGAACAGGAAATAAAATACGTGCATGGGCTTAAAAAGGAAAGAAGGCAGAAAAGGAAGAGAGTTCTCTGCTTTAGGCCTAGTGCAGAGCAGTGAAGAGTCAATAAATTCCTCTTGACTGATACAGAGCAGTACTCCTCCTTCCTTGGAGAAAAGGAAGAGTATAGGGTAAAGTCCATTAAAATATGAGCAAACAAAAAAGTCAAGATCCTCATCTTTGCCTGAGCTATCACCTTGGTCTGGAACACTCTTGTATCAGCATTGCTCATTCTCTTGTCAACTTTAAGTTCTTGCTCAAACTGCCCCTTCTCCAGAAGGTCTGCCTCGACCTGCCTATTTTAAACAGCATCCCTTCCCCAGTCCAGAAACTCCCAACCCCTCCCCCAAAAGTACTTATGACTTCTAACATTCTGTACAATTTATTTATTTATTTGATCATTGTTTCTTACGGTCTCACCATTTTGGATAAAAGCTGTTTGAGGTCAGGGATGCTTTTTCTGATATGTTCACTATTATACGTCACAAGTGTCTATCTAGGTCAGTGGCTGGGATCTAATAGCGGCTCGATAAATATTTGCTAAATAAACAAGTGATTATTCCTGCTAGAGGGATTAGGATGATTTTTCTTTTCAGCTTTCCATTTCTGAAGTTTTCCATATACTTACCACAAGCACCTACTAATATTATAAGCACAGAAAATTATCAAACATAAGGTAGGACTTACAGTAAAAACTGCTTGAAGGTTATTAAGCTTCTCTATTTCCTTGGGCATCCCATTACTGCCCCAACGAATTAGGTAATTCTCACTGGTGAAGGAAAAAAAAAATATCCTTAATGAAAGGCTAACTGGGGATAGGGCTGCCCTGAGCACAGACTTTACAGGGTAAAACGAAGGCCTAAAAAACTCTGTTGAATTATCAGCTAAGTGTGAATGTAGCGCCCAAGTGGCTGCTCCCTGGTCTCCTGGCTTTGGAGAAGCCTGCGTGCTGCAGCCCAGCTCTGTGATGCATGCCCAGGGTGGACCCAGACAACACTACTCAGGATAGGCAAAGGCACAGCCAATTCTATCACATTTTGCTTCGGGTCATTCTCCCACCTCCAATTCTTTGTATAAAAGTTTCAGCTCTTCTGAATCTGGAATCTAATTTCAAAATAATCGCTCTAAATCCATCCCCTGGAATCCACACCACTACACTTAAACAAAATTTCTACTATAGAAATAAACAGTTTGTCAGTAACAACCTTGAACCATCTGCTCAAGAAGAAATCTGTTTTCTTAGCTGCTCAGCTAAGTAGTAGCATGACTGTAGGGTCAAACAAAGCCTATTATCAGTCCCTACAGCCTTAAAAAAAAAACTTTTTTTTTTAACAGACTTTATTTTTAGAGCAGTTTTAGGTTGACAACAAAGTTGAGTGGACAGTACAGAGAGTTCCCATATACTCCCTGCCCCCCCACCCCCGCCAACAGAGCCTCACCCACTATGAGCATCCCCCCAGCACAGTGGTACATTTGTTACAATTACTGAACCTACACCAATACCTTATTACCGCTCAGAGTCCAGAGTTTACCTTAGGGTTCACTCTTGATGTTTGTATTCTACTGATTTGGACAAATGTATCATGACACACATCCACCATTATAGTATCATAGAGAATAGTTTTACTTCCCTAAAATCCTCTGTGCTCTGCTGATGTGTTCCTCCCTTATCCGGTCCCCAATGGTCTTTTGAACTCTTTGTCTCCGTCTCTGATAAGTTTTATGTGACTCTAAGACCCTGGGAGTACATAGACTGTGGGTGGCAGGTGAAGGCTGGGTATTTTTGCAAGGTCAAGAGCAGATGGCCTGGGACTCCACTACCTGATGAAGGTGGACTGGTCCGGGTCATAGAGGGCCATGAACAACTCAGCGTCTTCCCCAATGTTGCAGACAAAGTTCTTGAAGTTCACATAGAGGCCATAAGTGTGGACAGCACTGAAGACAGACTGGCCTCGCAAGTCTAGGTTCTGAAGAACTGACTGAACACAAAGGAGGAGAGAGAAATCATCTCAGTTTCAGCAAATGGAAAATAATGGCCAAGACATGGGCTGGCAAATGGGGAACAAGTATAATTACCACCTGAGGGGAGAAACACTGACAGAGAAGAAAGTGTGTGCATGTGGCCAAAGAAGCAAGTGAGCAAAATATAATCACTATGATTTGGATGCTCAAGACTGTCCTCTTTTGTGGGGTGCCTGGGTGGCTCAGTTGTTTAAGCATCCCACTTTTGATTTTGGCTCAGATCATGATCTCAGGGTCATGAGATGGAGCCCTGTGTCAGGCTTCACACTCACCACAGAGTCTGAGATTCTCTCTCTCCCTCTCCTTTTGCTCCCCCTCTCCCCACTGTGCACACAGACTCTTTCCTCTAAAATAAGTAAATAAATCTTTCGGGGAGTGCGGGGGGAAGGACTGTCGTGTTCAGGGCCTTGAATCCCGCGATTTCAGTTAGTGCTATCTAAAGATGACAACTCATGGCTTAGCAGCTTCGAGAACTTCTCATCTCTCACAAAAGCTTCTGAATGAGCCTCATAGGCACAAAAATCATGATCCATTATCCTTCTTTTGGGGAATAGCTCTCACTGCAACACTGGAAAGGCCTCACTCTCAAGTGTGGTTAGCCACTGGATCCAGAAACACAATTAAATACGATTATAACTGTTCTAAAGAAACAAAAAACAACAGACTCAATAAACAGAAGCCTTTACTCATTAGAACAGAAAGATTAGAAGAATATATGCCAAAATATCAATATGGATGGGTCTGTGTCATCATACTATGGCAGGTTTTTCTAGTTCTCTTTCTCTGTACTTTTCTAATTTTTATTTAATGTCTAATTGTTACTTTCAAAACCCTTGGAACGCTTTATTTTTAAATATTTTATTATTTAGTTTGGAAATTGTATCATATATACCAAATACAGACAGTTACACCATACAAAGGCTCCCTCTCACCCAGTTCTCCTTCCTAGAGGCAATCATTAATTATCAGTTTCTTGTCTATCACTTCTGAGTTAGTCTATGCATATACAAACAGAGATACATATATCCTTTTCTGAGATATGAAGACTAGTGTTCTGTACACACTGTTCTGCATCTTGCTCTTTTTCTATTAATGCACACTTTTGCAATCTTTCTGTATCAGAAGGTATACCGCTGCCTCATTCTTTCTATTATGTTTTGCTTTCAGTGAAGCAATGAATGATTTTCTAAACATTTCTATCTCTGGTTGTCCATGATTCCCTTTCTCTCATTAAAGTAAAAGCAAAAGCAGAATCTCGGCAGCCCAAATCTAGACACTGGAGTATGTATACCTTTTCTTCTTGGATCTTCTCCTCAATCCTTTTCGAGGCCATTTCATGGGCCTTGAAGAGGGCAATGGTGCTGGTCTCATCTGGGTCCAGGATGTTTCCATTGTCATCTCTTACTACCAGATCCAACCCAAGCATTCTAGAAAGAAAGGAGTGATTAGCGAGTTCTCCTCATTAAGAACAGACTCTCTCCGAAGAGTCCCCGAAGGATGCACAGTTAGAAAGCTGGGCATTGGACCAGTCAAGTTAAGAACAATTCCTTGGCTTTTCTCTTTTGGATTTCCGCCTCCTTTCCTCATAACTTATGGTAGGTAAGTTATGAAAACTCATGGTCATGTTAACCAAACTCAGAGGATATGCAAAGTAATTTGTTCCACAGAACCTCCATAGCAAAGGAAAAACTGGCACTGATTGCGAACAGATTACTCGGACCAATGGCTCTTCCCCTATCTTCTATCACTTGGCATAGGGGGAGTAATGATAGAAGAGTCCCCAAATATCTGGGGGCTTTGCCTGATTTCCTTAAAAGTTCAATGTTGAGGACAGTCCTTGATTCAAGACTGTTTTAAAGGCAATCAGTGAAGTAGGTCCTGGCTGTTGGAATCTCATAACCTCAAAGCATGGGCTCTGATTTGAATCGTGGCTTGAATACATGCTAGCACAATGATTCCAGGTAATTTACTTCATTTTGCAAAGCCCTAACTTCCTCATCTGTTAATATCCCCCACCCTTCAGAGCTGCTGCAAGAATTTAATGAGATAACACATAAAAAGCACGTGACGCAATATCTAGTATATAGTACACTCTCCATAAATAGCAGCTCTTATCGCAGAAACCAGCACAAGAAAAAATCTGTGTTAAGCTGTAGCTCTGAGTGGTTTTTTAAAATATTTTATTTATTTATTCATAAGAGAAACAGAGAGGGAGAGAGGCAGAGACACAAGCAGAGAGAGAAGCGGGCTCCATGCAGGGAGCCTGACGTGGGACTCAATCCCGGGTCTCCAGGATCACACCCTGGACTGTAGGCAGCACTAAACTGCTGAACCACCCAGGATGCCCTGTAGCTCTGAGTGTTACATAGGAAAAGTAAGAGCCACATGACCTAGGCATGGCACGATCCCTACCAAGGCTCTTATGCCCAATGTGCACAAAGAAATAGAAAAAAATTTTTGTTTAGTTCCAATAAGTTGGGGACTGTGGTGGAAACAGGATACTGCTATCTGAATACCCAGCGTACATTCCAGGAACCAGCAATTTGGGAGAGTAGGGATGTCCAAACAGCAAGAAAGCTACGGGATAATAGTGAAATATGCCAAGTCTTTGGGAAGAAAGCAAAAATGTCTAATTACCCCCCTCCCAGTTTTATAGCATCTCCATCAACTGATTTAATCTGGCAGATTCCTTTCCATGACAGCCAGACCCACAGGCCACCCAGACGCAGGAGCTATGGGTCTTGCTGGCAGCTCAGAGACTGAGCACTGAGGCACTGATGAAGCAGCTTAATTTCTTGAGCTGCTTCTAAAGACTGGAGAGGGAAGGCAGGCATGTCTGACCCTCAGTGAGACATTAACATCCTATGCTGAAGATCGGAGTCCTCCAGGCCAATGTCATACTGTGACAAGACTCAAAAATACTAGGGCAGCCTACGTGCAAGGAGGGAATCTCCTAACCTATCTCAAAGCATGGGTTCTGCTGTCACTTAGACCAGGATTTAAATCTTGGTTTGAATACATGCTAGCAAGATGATTCCAGGTAATTTACTTTAATACTTTGACTTATCCCACCATGTCTTTGAAGAAATACTCGAGCACATGATTAGCAACCCCTGTGGCTATAGTCCTATGAATGGACAAGTGAGACGGCAGGGAACAGTTCATTCTTAACCCTAAGGAGGGAGCATTAAACATGAAATCATCAAGTTTGGGGTTCAAATTTAGACTTCCCCACTTCTGATCTCTGTGACTTGGAAATAAATTACTGAAGCTCACTTATCTGTTTCTTTAACCATAAAATGAGTTATAATCAAGTAATATATGTGAAGGTACATAGGAGATTTCAAATAATGATTGAATATGAATCTTGTATGTTATAGTCACTCCGGATATTTCTGAATATAGTTGCCAGAGTCTATAACATCTAAGTCCATAGGATAGTGAGCTGTAGTTTTACAGATGTCAGAAGTACATTCAAGAGTCCTGAGGCAAAGGGGGAAGGGAAAAAATCACATATGCACAACTTGAAGAAATTTAGAAAATGAAATGTCAGACAGATCAACAAAACTGAGGAACCAACCCAATCTTTTAAAAGGAGCTGGTCAGGAGAGATGTATCCCAGGCTACCATAAACTGATGAGTGGACTGATTTCCCATTTTCCAAAGGGAATCTATAGATCTGCTTTAGCTAATCAGAAAATTAACAAAGTGATTAACTCTTTCGAGGTTACTGGAGACATAATTGTCAGGCTAAGAATATGTTTTACTCTTCTTGTAAATTTGGTTTTTATACACTTCACACAATGGTCCCAGTTAGGGACATGGAGATAATCTGACGTTGATTTAAAGTTCACTGTCGGAATAAGAACTGTGATCCTTGTAGGCCTCAGAAAATGTGACTTTGGACGCACTGTCCCTTTCAGGCTTGTTTGGCAGCAAAGTCCCATCTTCCCTGATCATCTGATCATCCCTGATGATCTTCTCTGATCATCCTTGACCCAGAGATCCCACACAGGGTCTGGCCTCCATGAGGGGACTGACTGCCAAATTTTTCCAACAAAATTAAATGTCTTCCAATGCAGAAAGAGAGAGCAGTAAGCACCATTCTTTGACAATTCCAAGATGGAAAGCTGATGGCAAGCCATCCTTAGCACATGTGTCCATCTCTTTCCGAGTTCTCGGTGAAATTGTCCCTGGTTTACCTGTTGCCATGATCGATTTTGGCTGTGACCTTTTTCTTGAGCTCTGCCAGTTCGTCCTTGGGGAGTGTTCCAGACAGGATCTGGGACCGCCACTCAATCAGGCTGTACGTCATCTGCTGCAGCTGGCGGAAGAGTGTGACCTTATTGCTCTAGGATGGGAAATTGAGGTGGAGGAAAGAACAAAAAATAAAGGTGTGGAGGATGGAAGGCATCTTTTGACTTGACTTACTCTATAAGGTATTGCTTAAGCAAATAATTTCACCATACAGTAAGCTGTGTGCTTCAAAGAATTTTTTAAAAAAATAGGGATGGCTTTGCTCTAGGCCATTCCCACTCCCTCTTCTATTCCAATTTTAGAATCAGATAAGCCACTGGAGGATGGATGGTAGCTCCTAAGTCATAAGTATATCAAATCATCCATGTACCCAAAGTTCAACCATGGCCCTCCTTTGTTTTAAACCCTCCAGGGAGTTCCTCTGTCCTTCAGAGACAGAAAATTACATTGTAAACCCCATGGGTCCTGCCCACATACCCAATTGCATTTTTTTTCAAAATATTTTATTTATTAAAAAAAAAGATTTTATTTATTTATTCATGAGAGATACAGAGACTCAGAGACATAGGCAGAGGGAGAAGCAGACTCCTCACAGGGAGCCTGATGCTGGACTTGATACCCGGACCAGGATCATGCCCCTAAGCTGAAGGCAGGTGCTCAACCATTGAGCTACCCAGGCATCCCACCCAGCTGCATTTTATACCAATGTCTACCTCAAAAATCCATGCTCCTTTCTTGCAAAAGCTGTGTCCATTTCTCTTAAGTGTTCCAGACCCTCTCAATATGATACCTCTTCTCCTTGAAACCACTCTTCTCCTCTTCCCTCAAACATCCCCCCATTTCGCACCTCCTCACACACTACAACCTCTACCAATCATTAATTCTTACTTCTTTGGTCTCAACTTAGAAGTCTCTTGCTCAAAACCCTAATGATGGGCTGGCTATCCCTCCCATTGTTCCTGGAATTTACTCCCATTCTGGCACTCAGAACCCAGAGACCATCTTGGCCCATCTGACCCTCTTCTTGGACATAAGCTCCTAGAGGACAGGACAAGGGGCTTGTTCATGCTTGTATCCCTAGGAACTGATATGGAGTAGACGTTCTATAAAATGTACTGGATGAGTGAATTACGGATGGAGAAAGAATTATCATTTCAGAGATAAAGGATAATGGAAAATGAAATGGAGAATATTGTTTTAAAGTCCTCATAAAACTGTAAGACCATCCCAGAAATCATCAGACCTACAATAATTAAACTACTATTCCGGGCTTCACTAAGAACTTCTCTATCTGAACCAAACTAACTTATGACCAACTAATTATATGTAACTCTGTCATTTGAAGAGTCAAATATCTGATTTCCAAGCCATTATGACCTTGCCTCTATCTAAATGACTATATAGTTATATATGCAAATAATGTCACTAACATACACAGTATTGTTTACATAAATAACATACATCTCATTCTATTCATATAACATAATTTTAAATTGTGACAAGAACCAGAAGGAAAACAAATGGAGGCAATATGATGGGGGAAGGAAGACACTTGAGATAAAGTCATAATGGAAAACTGTTTTGTGTATCACTTTTGAAACATGTTTTTTAAAAATAAAAACCTGCACAATTCCACTCACCACTTACATACTACAAAATCACTTCTTTTTTATTTACAGGTAAAAATTCATGATATATTTATATAACTAAATATTTTTAAATTATAGGAAATATTATTATATGCTATAAAAATAATGCACACACACACATACACACACACACACACACTCAAAGAAACTGTGGATGGCTATAGAGTGTGTTCTTCTGTGATCTTCTTCTACAACAATCCCTGGGGCAGATTCCCAGGCAAGTTATCGAGTACAATCAAGATACTGAAAATACCCAAGATACTCCTGAACAAAGAGTAAAGGTGGAGCAAAGAGCCCTCAGCCCAGAAGTGGGGACAGGGGGAGACAGCGAAGACTAGCAGAGTGGAATAAAAACCCTAAAAGAAGGTCAATGTTCTGAGTGCACAAAGGAGAGAGTCAAAGAACTCACTTCTATGCTCCATAAACACTACTGATCTGAAAAATACAGACCCTGAAACCTGCTTCAAATTTTGTACTGCCTACGTTTTAGGCTTTTAGCATTTTCTGAATTGCCTCTTCCTCATCAGCCAGTCTTTCAAAAAAGCATAAAAACGGGACTTTAAAAAGTTCCATTTTTAATAAGCAAAGGTAAAACTTTTTTTTTTCATGCAGTACTGTATAAAATGTTGCCATCCATTGTCTTTCAATCTGAAAAAGGGAGTGAGAAATTAAGCCCATAAAATTCTGCCTTTCAAAGCTGCTAGGCAGAGAGGGGATCTTCTTCCTTGCAACACATTTGTCTACTCTTAGGTGTTTTGTTTAAGTGTTTTCTAATTTTAATGAAGATATTAGTCCTCATATTATGGTAAAAAAAAGAATGCGGGAGGTGTTGAGACTCAAGGGAGCCTCTCTGAGAGACAGTGCTTTGTTTGTGACACATGGTCACAAGTTCTTGGTCTCAATTATATTAGACACTATCCAAGGCAATTTAATTATTGCCTGTTCATATCATCTTGTTTGCCAAGATCCCCCCATAAAAGAAGGATGAAGACAGCCATTCTTCTCTGACTCACTGTGCCAAATTAATTCTGAATAGACAAGCTGGAACACACCAAAGGAAGCAATTTCCCCAGTTATTGAGGAAATGAATTTTATAGCCACATTTCTAAAACTGTTCTAAGTAGGATGTTCTGTAGTAGCTGGACCCTGATGCTTATGGGTTCCCAGGGAAGCACACGAGGACAGGTGAGGAGAAAATCAAGCACTCCTCAAAAGACCCTGAGTCTCCATTTATTGTCCCATCATGCCCCCCCCCTTCCTGTCTTCTTTCCTGAACTCTCCATTGCCCAAGTCTGCCTGTTGCAGAGCACCTTCTCTGTTATCATTAATCCCCACTTTTTTTTGCACTAGTAGCTATGGGTCACATAATTTAAGAGGGCAGAGAATTTATTTAATAATCCCTTTGATCCTCTCTGCAAAAGTCAGCACAGCCCTGGGAACAGAAGAGCAACTCAAAAACAAATTCTGACAGTTCACATGTAAAACTCCACTCTGGTCTCAGTTTCAGTTACAGCTGCATGAAAGAGAGAGAGTAAAGGCATTCCTGTACTTGCTTAGAATTTCTCCCTCTTTTCCTCTTGGAAATCTCGAAGGTCTTGCTTTTTACATTTCTATTCTGAATGGCTCTCTCTCTCTCTCTCTCTAAGAATTTCTAGAGATAAAAAAAACAAAGTCACAAGAAAAAAGCTTTGCCTTCAGCAGTGGCCACGAGGGGTACAGAAGGCCTCCACTGAGTATTTCAGAAATTCGAGAGACCACTGGGACGATGGCACCAGCACCACCTCCCTGGGTGTCAGAAAACCTGGACTGTATTTGTCATTTTCTCAAAGGAGGCAGAAGACAATCAAAAGACTTTTCTCTGGTCCTGTCTCCATCTGCAAAGGAGTATTTCCTCTGCTCGCCAACCTCTCCTCTTGCGTGCAGATTTTGATTTAGAGGCAAAAGGCCATGACGGAAAGTATGGGGACTGGGTCTCTATCTCTAATTCTATCATTACCTTGCTAAACGACTTTGGGGAAATCATTCCCTCTGAGATACATCCATCTGGAAAACAAAGGAACTGGGTCAGAGACCTATTCCCCAGGATAAGCAAGCGTCCGTGAGTCTAGGCGGAGACATTAAACTTAATTACTCCTGCAAGCAACTTCCTGATTAACTCTATCTGACTCTGACCATCTCACTCCCAAGGTGCTCACATGCTCGGGTGGCTCCATATCAAATTTCACCTGTAGAGAGCTCTCTGCAGGGACTCTCCTGTCCTTCTGTAACTCTGGGGGTCCTGGTTCCTGGGTGTCCTCCTGCCACGCTGACTCCAAACTCTGGGAGAAAGGGAATCCATGTGGCCCTGGCCCCTCTTCCTCTCCATTCCTTTCAGTGCATCTTCTCCCTGCCAGAAAAAGGCTTTGCCTGACTAGCAAAGGCTTCATTTTTGAAGGAAAGATTCCAGTAAGACACTCTTTGCCTCAGGAAGTAGCACAAGAAATCCTGAGAGGCAGGCAACCAAGACAGAGTAAAACCAAACTGGAAAAACAGCCAAAGCACACCCCCTGCCCTGTCCCGGTCACTGCCGAGTCTCATCTTGTGTCTCATGAGAGCCAGGCCCCAGCCGGGCTTGCAACTCACAGATGGAATGCCCTGACAATGAGACCAAGTTTTCTATGGGAATTTTCTGTCCCTGGTAATAAGCAATCAGATGCTGGTTTCCAACCATGAGACTAGCTTAATTACACTTCAGAGCATATGCTCCAGCAGCCAGTAATAACCACCAGTTCAAAAAGATTAGACTTGAGTAGCTTTAATCTGCACGGCTATGCAATGATGGGAAGAAAGGCAATTCATTGTGTCTGGCAAGTTCCCCACCCCCACCTCCATTAGGGGTACTTTCTCCCCTCCAGATTTTTATACAACTACAGACCAGCTCAGGGTCTTATTGTACCCATGAATTTTAAATGAGAGAAGATCAGGGGCAACTGGGTGGCTCAGTCAGTTGGGCGTCTGACTCTTGGTTTTAGCTCAGGTCATGATCTCAGGGTCCTGGGATCAAGCCTCACATGGGGCTCCCTGCTCCATGGGGAATCTGCTTCTCCCTCTCCGTTGTCCCTCCCCCATCTCTCTCTCAAATAAATAAATAGATCTTTTTTTTTTTAAATTTTTTATTTATTTATGATAGGCACACAGTGAGAGAGAGAGAGGCAGAGACACAGGCAGAGGGAGAAGCAGGCTCCATGCTCCGGGAGCCCGACGTGGGATTCGATCCCGGGTCTCCAGGATCGCGCCCTGGGCCAAAGGCAGGCGCTAAATCGCTGCGCCACCCAGGGATCCCAATAAATAGATCTTTTATTAAAAAAATAAATAAACGTGGGACACCTGGGTGTCTCAGTGGTTGAGCATCTGCCTTTGGCTCAGGGTGTGATCCGATCAAGTCCTGCATTGGGCTCCTCACAGG